TAGTGTATGGTGGGGTGGACATTCTGACAAAATCCTCTGCTAAATTTTCGAATCTACCCCAACTTCGACACTTTATTTCTCAATTTTTTTTGCCTGTACGTAAATTAAAACGCTTCATAGAATTGCTCTTTGAATCTCTCTCTATCGTTCTATGAAGCCAAAAAAGTGGGTTGTATAAGTGAAAAAAGTTGAAATAAAAAGTTGAAAATTGGTCCAAAAATTTACGTTTCTAGGTGGCGGGCACCATATGTAGTTATTCAAAAGAAAGCAAGAAGCATATCGCAAGGATGTCGAGCGTGCTTTTGGTGCATTGCAATCACGCTTCGGTATAATCCAACGACCTGTAAGATTATGGAAACGTGAAGATATTCATAATGTCATGACTTCGTGTATTATCCTGCATAATATGATCGTGGAGGATGAGCGTGCTAGGTACAAGCTACCATTGCAGATTGATACGGATAATAGCCGATTCCAATACCACGATCCTACGACACCGCAGATCAATCGTGATCAACAAACTTTAGAAGAGTTCATCCAACGACATGTAGACATTAGAGATAGTCAAGTTCATGCACAGTTGAAAGAAGATTTGATCGATCATCTATGGAGCCGTCATGGAGAGAGCTCAGAATAAACATTGATCTTTTAATTTTCATCGCTTACATGTTCGTCATTTGCATCTTCTCTACTTTCTTCCCCTTCTTCTCCTTCTTCATCTTCTACACTCTCTTCTTCTATGACAGCTGCGGCATCTAGTTCAGCCACACTGTCTTGTTCAGCAGCTTTTTCTTCCTCCTTCAAAGCCTTGAGGACCCTTTTCTTCATTATACGGAAGTATTCCGCAGAGTCCTCGTCCATATCACTTATGTTCGTGTTCATGATGATGATGTCTGATTGGCGTTGCATCAAAGAAACGCGTTTCCGCGTCCACTCGAGTTGCTCGCGTTCTATGGCGACTAACTCGGACTCATCTTCTTCGAGTTGACGCTTCTCGTCACGTTGCGCTTTTGCTTGTTTGCGCCCGATGGGTCGCTCACTCGAGCCTTGATTCGCGCCCCCCTTCTTTGCGTTGTTGGCCCTGGCCGTCGACCCTTCCTAATTCTTCTTCTTCTTCTCAAGATCCATCCACTTTGGCTCATTCTTGAGGAGAGCATAGCAATGGCTTAGATTCCAGCTTTGCTTGTAATATCTCTCGAACAGTGCTTTGGCAGCTTCCACCTTCATAAGGGTTTATTTGCATTGATATAAATAACCGTGGTGATAGGATCACGTTTACCATGAAAACTATATCAGCATATACGCTATGATAATCACCTCGTCAGTTATATTTGTGCCACTTGTATACCACTCTCCACTTGGGCAACGCAGCCAATGTACTTGGAAACTCTAGGGTGGATATAGGTCCAACGATCCTTAATCGACTTTACAGTACGTTCAATGATGTGAACTTCATATCCAGTGCTTTCCAGCACGAGTTTTGCGCTCTCCTTCATGCGTTCCAAAAAACTTTTGTGGATAGCAATCCAAAATGCCTCTCCTTTCAATTCAACGCCTGTGACAGGACACATGCTCGTATTCAACCATGCATTACATAGCTGTTTATCTTCTGCTGCTGAGAAACTCTTTCCTCGGCCGCCGTTGATAGGTTCGGTATCGTTGCTGTTGCTGTCACTGTTGTTGGGACTCATGGAAGAAAAAATTAGCTTATTGAAAGCAGAGAAAGGGAGGAAGAAGAAAAGTTTTTAGCACGTCGGCAAATTGACTCTATATTTGCCGTCAACGGTGTTGCAAATGGAGATAAACTAATTTACATTTCTATTTAGCGCTACCGCTGTAGTCGCTATTTTACAGATACAGCCACCGCTGGGGATGCTCTAACAGCTACAATCGCGCGTTCAAGAGCCGGGTGAACACTTTGGAGTCGGTGTTGATGAGGGCAGTGCTCAGATCTCCCTTTTTCGGCAAAAGGCAATATATACGTTTCAGACCAAGACTTCAGGAAAAGCGCATGCTAAAGAGCATCGTTGTACACACGCATGTTCAGATTAGAGTGGAAAAAAAAGACAGAGTTTCATATGGGAGTCCATCGAGGCCAGGACTGCTGCGGCGAGGGGACCGGCCCACAGCTTCTTGTAGCTCGCCGAGAGTGAATTCTTTGAGTAATATATTTCGATTTTCTGGGGACAATACGCAAGAAGACGGTATGTGTCAAGCAGGTCGTTTACTGCAGGCTCGTAAATCGGGGATGCTGTATAGAGTTGCCTATAATGGTGCAAGCTGCATCATGCTTGTCAACCAATGAATTTCTATTTACATTGCTGCTGGGTGTTCCAGCTCGACGATGTTGCGTTGTGCTTGACGCTCATGAGCAGCCTGCTTCGACTTTGGAACAATGTCTATTTCGTAATCTCCTATATGTAATATGTGTAACACTATGCGATGTAGAATTTAGTTGTTTAGCCATGCTCAATACACTGAACTTCTGTACTGGCTTCGTTCTTTTCTATTATATAACATTTTCTGTTATATAAAGAGACGTTTTGCAGTGTATCTCCTCAGCATATTAGTCGGATCCGTTGATTGGATCGGTATCTGCCTACCCACTCGATCCAATCTGTCGATGCTTAGACCAGATCGGATCCGAGTAGAACCTGTAGAGTATATACAATTACTACGAGGCTCAATCCATAACAATTAATTTTACTGTAAACAGTAAATTAATTTTAGTTATGCCTCTCACAGTCAAGCTAGCCTTCGTCCAAGTATTCCTTGGCTAGAGAGGGGACTTGCTCACTACCGTTGCGCCACCTACACTGTTTGTTCTCAAACATAATAGTTAAAATTAACCCTAAGGGTTGAGAATCTTATAGTGTTTGAGAAATTATTATTTTTTTAAAAAATTAATTTCATCACTTATTATAATTACTTTAAAGTTATATTACTTATAGTTTTTTATATATTTATAATTTCACTAAAAGCATAATACTAAGGGTTACCCTCCTACTATATTTAAAAATTTTAATATACAAAAATTATACTATTGTATGAAATTGTATTTATAGTATGAAATAATATATAATCAAACTTTTCTATATTTAGTTACTATAGTAACCTTTTTTTATACTTCTGGGATTGTCAGACAATTTTAATACCTATGTTTTTTCAACTCTAGCAACAAGAAATTTTATTATGTGACGGGCTGTTTTCGTCAAAATAAATAAAAGACGATATAAAGATAACAATTTGCTTATAAGCAAATTGTAAAATGAATATGTATTTATTTTCTTTAAAGAAAATATGGATTGATTATTTAGAATCTAAAAGATTTCTTATTTGTTGCTCGGTTACTATTCTTTTGTGTAACATTGTTAAAAATGATTACATAATCATTTTCTATATATATAAAAACATAATTTTTTTTTGAAAATGGAATTTTAATTCTAATATCAAAACATTTCAATCTCCAATTATCATGTGATATTTCAAAATTTATATAATTGATTCTTTTTTTTTTGTATGAGAGGCGGACCTCTAAAAGAATTTATTGACGAACACTTGTTCAAAAGAAGGGAAGTGCTCGCGGCTTTGCAAGCACAGGTAGGGAATGGTATAACGGGAGTATATGGAGCCGAGGAATTATTGACGGAAGTTACATTGATGATAGAGTTTTGTGTGGGGTTTGTTCATCTATTACATGAGAATTTTTTATGTATGTGAGATGGCCAAAGGCATAGTTACCTTATGGGCAGGGTGATATGCTCGTATCTGAAGTAGGATAGGATTTGTTATTTCTGTTTTCTCTTTTTTCTTTTGTGGTCTGATATACAGGTAAGGATCCCATAATCAGGTAGGTATCATTTGTTTCTTTTTTTTTTTTCTTTTTATAACTTCATATGGGTTTGTATAACATCGATCGCTTTGGTGACGATGATGGCTGGGGTGAAAGGGATGGTGTCGAAGACGGTGGCCCAATGAGCTCGCCAGATATATAAAAGTATGTGGGATACAAATTGTAGTAAAGTCTGTTGTGATAAATGGTGGTAGGCTTTATGGCCAGTCAGAAGGAATGTGGTGAGGGAAGGGAGGTGAGGGTCACAATGCATAAACTGTTGCCATATGGTTATCCATATCTGTTTTTTCAGGGGACACCATACTAAAAAGTGAGCAAGGGATTCGGGATATTGGTTGCATATTCGACATATAGGGGTGTTGATAAAGTCTGGTGTAATCCAGTAAAGAAGTCCAGAGGAAGGTATGGTGTTGTGATATATGCGGAATATAATGTTGCGAGCAGCATGATCCAAGGTGGTGTCCCAGAATGGTTGCCAATTAATCTGGGGTGGTTGTTGTTGGTCAGAATATCTTTGCCGCTGATTGATGGTGTAAAGCCTATATGTTTTGGTGCTATTGGCTATGAGTGCCGGGTGATTGGATAGTTGTTGGTTCAAGGACTGGAGGGTGTTGTTGACATTAGGGGAGTGTCCACCACCAGGGTGATCGTGTGGTAGGCATAGACGTGCAAAGAAAGGGTGAAAAATGATGCGCGCAGCTGCTAGATCTTGGCAGAATCGGTTAAGTAATGTTTTGAAGTGTGGTTGATCTGATCTCATTTGAAGTCGGAGATGTTGAAGGTATGGATCATATATGAAGATGTCTTTGACTTGTAACTTCGAAAAACCTGGTCTTCGGATATGTGGTAGGTTGTTGTTTATTGCATAAATTGTTGTCAACGGTAGTTGCAGTGCCGTATGTATGTCAATAATAGTGTTGGACCAGTCGATTGATAGGGTGTCTACCATTCGAAGAATGAGGGTGATTAGTGATGAAATAATGTGGAAGTGATGTTTGCGTGACACTGGATCTAGTAGAAGCAGCCGGTGGTCTGAAGGATGCTTTGCCATAACCCGAATTTGATGGAGCAGATATTTTATATGCGGTGCAGGCGTACCAGATTCCTCCAGCGTAGGTTGTATATAATTGATTCTTATTAATAAGTATTAAATATTTTGTATCTGAGTTTTAATTTAAAATACATAAATATTTATTTTTAAATCCCGCTCCATATTTTTGAATTTGTAATTTCAATGTTGTAAATGAATTATTTTAAAATAAGAAATCCAAAGTTTGTACATCTAGGAAACAATATACAATAAATACAGAAATACTCATTTTTCTGTGGTCGGTGCTGGTAGTAGTGGTAGTAGTTGATGGCGATGATGTAACGATGCCTTGAGGAGTGATGATTGCTGTCAGTTATAGGGCTCTTTTTTTTGTTTTTTCGACTTAATGAAACAATTTCTTGATCACCCTCAATTGCATCAATCGTTTGTAGTAGATAAAGGCGCACGTGGAAAATCAGTTCCATGATGGGGACCAATTGCTTCACATATAAGGCCGGATCTTTGGGGAATTCAGCGCATTAGGAATATGTCAAACGACTAGCAGAAACTTACGGCTATACAACAGGGAATATACCGGATCCCATCCGATCTCCGCAGTCAAAGCCCTGTCTGGCCTGGTCAGTAATATGGCGGGGGACCACATGGGATACCAGGTGCTGTACGTCTTTTTGAAAAAAAAACGACAAGTAGATCCTTCCGGACCATCCATGACAATAACAGTGATATGAAGACCAGATAGATGAAAAAATTAGTAAGAAATCAAGATTCAAACAAATTGTCGTAATATAGCACAATAGTCTCTTACCAGAGATGATGAAGGCGGCAGTTCTTGATGTGCGGATGGAGTTGGGGAACGTGTTGGTTAATGACACAAAGAAATCCTTGAGCATCTTTGACGCTTTCAAACCTCGCTCGTACAACTCCTTCGTTCCATTCTCGCCGTCATCACACAAACCAACTTCAGAAAACGCAATTTCATGATCTAAATAGACACATTTTAAGTCAGGCTGACAACCAGAGACTTGCCGCGCAACTTGGTCGATTCCTGCCAATGTGCGATTTTATTTATGTCGTTCGGTCGAAGCTTGAGATTTCTTTTCACCATTATTATTATAAAACATGATGAGATAATTGGTAAGACTAAAAGTACTTTAATAAGCAATGCAACATAGAAAAACTTACGAGCTGGCTCGAACCTTGGTCGACGCAAAGCATTTGGAGACGAAGAACCACACGCGGTATTCAATGTCGTCCTCGATGAAATCATCATTGAGAGCCTTGTAGTTATAAATGTTGGCCACTTGCAGAAACGTTTCCCAAGCCCGAAACAAATCTGGCTCGTCAGTAGGATGAAACATGCGACTCATGATCTTTTGATTTAAGTCGCTCAAGGTCGTCTACGTTTATGATACAAGGAAGATATAAGTGTACTGTCTAATGGACTTTATATCATAGAATATAACACATTGCATCTCACTTACCGCTCCTTTATAATGATATAGGTAGTCATGTAGTTTGCTTGGCAATGGCTCATCAAATGCGACAGCCTTGTGATCGCGGATTTCATCCAAATCCTCCTCGCTGAGCTTGCCGGGGTAAATAGGATCGTCGGGGTCAATGATCATCGAATGGATCGGACTATATCCCAACAAAACGGTTAGCATAAAGTATCGGTAAGCAGCGGACAAAATAAAAATGTTTCTGAATGAGGATGTCGAGAAACGGGTTTGGGGTCAATTCTAACAGCAAGTTTTATTACGTACTGTTAAAAAAGGCATGTCTGTAGTGATATCTTTCATAGCTTCTTCCACAATAGTACCACTAGACAACAAGCGTTGGATTGTTCACCCACTGATAAGGAACGTGAGCTTGGTATAGACCGTCGTGAGACAGGTTAGTTTTACCAAGGTTTTTCCCGCATTGATAACATCGTCGTACTTTTTCTTGACATCCGCAAACGCTGCTTCTGGCATAACGCATCCGCAGCACTTTTCGTTGCCAGTAGTGGTTTTGGTGGTGGCTTGCGTTGTTGTACGGGAATAGGCCAAATTGTTCGAATATCAGCACGTATATCCGTATAGTCTGCCATTATTAACATGCTTATCGAGGAAATTGCCCAGGGATGGCTCTTGCTTCGAGTCTTTACAACTTGTAATGTATTTTATGACAATGGCGGCTATATTGCACACAGTCAGCATAACATTCAAACAATAACCCTGGTTCAATATATACATACCACGTGGATGAACCCTTTTCCCTGCAACTGGTGCTCTCGAACTCCAAGCCACGTTTACGATTCTTGCAGAAAGAAAAAATACCAAGGATAGAGGCAACCACGCCATATTGAGAGGTGGAGAGAAGGAGGAACGAAACATAGTGGTGATTTACAAACAGATCACAGGCAGATTGTTTTTTGCTATTCTAAGCGTCATATACGGCGTTTCTTTAAACATTGAAAAAGGAAATGGTGAAAATCAACAATCCCATGGACGTAAACAGGACATTTGTTCAAGTCGAATTCGGCAGGCAAAAGCCGGTGTAACGTAGCACGACAAGAGAGATTTTGTGAGGTGCATGAAACAAAAGGTTGCGCACAAGTACAGCCGTAGGAATTGACCAAAAGCGTCTCCATTCTTGTTTGGTCAGAAAGTCTGGAAGTACATATTGAGATGGGGTATGACTGAATGATTGCTTCCATCCAAAAACCTTTTGCAGTAGCTTAACGAAGATCAGATCAGCAAGATTGCACCGGCTGATAAGAAGCTGGATCCCACGAGGTGCTGTTGCTGGGTCAAATACATCTGCTACTAGAGTAGAACTGAAGCAGGCACGATAGAACAAAGCATGATGTTAAAATTGTCTAGAGTCAAGCAAGGAGTAGAGACTTGAAATGACCCGAGAAAAACGTTCTAGATCCGATGGCATGTTAGTACGGTGAGCGATTTATGAACTGCAAGAGTATGTGGTTTTGGTAACTATGTGATTGTGTCGAGGATGTGTAGCTAAAGAACTGTGGCTTTAGCAAGGTATATCGAGTTGATAGTACAAGCAAAGCTGTACATAGTTTTGCTTTTGCATAAACTAACATTTATGCTAACAGGCGATGAGAAATATGAGGGGCGAAGGCAGGCAAAAATGTGACAAAGTAATGGATCCTGCCCGTCACGCCAACAATGCAACAGCTGGTGAATCTAAGCGTGGACAAGAAACCGATGACGCTGATCAGGATCACATTTAGCGGTTGACGCCACCGCAGTTGTAAGGCTTGTTTCTACAGGGGTGGGTGCATGAGAGATAGACCACCCAATTCTCTAGGTTGCAGGAGGGAGTCATATATCACTTTTGGTCACATTTTTGACGGGAGGAAAGAGTGGCAAATAGCTCGAAGCTTGTTCATGAAAATAGATGGATTAGATCATACTTTTAAACGTGCTATAATATCGACAGAAGCAGTACATCGAGAATAGTTGCACGACCCTTGACTGATAACATGTTCTTCCTGTAGAGAAAAGGTAAAGAGCAGCGGAGCGATTCCTATTGACTCACCAAGAATCAGGTCAGGTCAGAAAGGGAAAAAATGCCTGGTTTTTGACAGCCCCAGGTGTACATAGCCTATGTTTTTTATTGAACTTTCGTCATGTTGCCTCGAGATTACGCTCCATGTCGGTGCTTCGCCATAGTATTCGACGTGGAAATCCAGACTCTCTCTAGTCCTTTTACTAGAGGAGAAGTACATTATTTGGACACGGGGACATGGAGGTAACCTTGACAAATGAAATCATGCAATTGTTGTTATTTTCTTGTTATTAATGCTGCTTTATTATACTTGTGTTTTAGAACCCTGTCACCATCTGGCTGCATGTATGCGTGGCATCTTTTTATTAAATTAATGTTTTTCAAATATTTGGATAAGCCTAGAGTGCGTGTGTCACAACGCAGCGTATACAATGAAATCTACTACTTTGGTAATGTGTTTCTTTATTTTTAATATTAAGAACGACAAGGTTTAAGGAACTGACACTGATGACAGCACTGACAGCTGTATAGCTTGCTACCCGCCAACTTGGCTATAATACGATGAAAATATACTTTCGCTGCAATGCATATATTGCTTCAAGTAGATACGCATTATGTAGTAGTGCCTAGTGCGTCAAAGGAAGATGTAAAAACATTCCTTGTACGTTGTACGACCTCTAAAAATTCAATATAAGGTTTATTCAGAAATTCTGTCATATTCTACATATGATAATATTAAGCACAAGTTGCTGTTGGTCGTAATCAATGAGAAATATATTTGCTGACCGACTTCATCGCTCCACCTACGCCTTGAGAATAACTCTGGAGCACTCGATTTTTTTGAAAAAAAAAAGAAAAGGACAAAAAATGAGCTATACCATGAGTTATACCAAGCTCGGGGTATGAGAACTTCACTACACATACGACCATCCGCTAAACAATCTACAGATATACGCACAACATGCACCATCACCCGCAAATATATAATCTTGGATTTTAGCCAACTTCAATCCATACTAAAAATGCACTCGTGACATCATTCGCTACCTGTTGCTATTACGGCGCACATCTTCATCGTTCTCTCGACAACGGATTACAATTTATAAAGAACCCGTATACCTATATACTTATATATTTATATATATATAATTAGCATGAGGCATAATGCGCCAGTGCGAGCCATAAAGTACGTCGACGACATAATCGAATTTAGAACGGGCAAGAAACAAAGAGTTACAAATACGCTGAATCGTTCGGGTTGCACATTCGACCAAGACGATGACGATAAGTTTACAATGTAACGTGATCGATTGTAAAGAAAATGTGTGGTTAAAATTTGTGTGCACACTGCTCATGGTATGGCAATTTGTGCTGTAAATTTGCATATGATCATCACTAGCATCGGGAACCATCGGGTTTTGCAGTGCGTCACTTAAACATCTTATTGAATATCAAATAATATAAAAAAAAAGATAGTTATATACCCAATGTCGTGATACACCTTGTGAGAAACCATGGGGCGGGTTAGCAGTTTACGATAGTAGCATATAGAGATGGTATCATAACTAGTAGTGATGCTAGTCTCTTCTACTATAAGTGTAAATGAAATGCCATTATTAGCTTGGTGATGACGGTATTGGAAATCCTTTGACGATAAAGCATAACTTTATACTGTAGAAGCATTATGTGTGTAACGAACTCTAATCCATACATTGCTAGATTTGAACAAGAGTTCCGTTTCCTTTTATTTAATCACTCAGCTAAACGTAGTATGGTAGCAACAATAAAACCTTCGATGTTAGCATTGCGATTGAAGAAATGACATTGTTGACATTTTCACATAGAAATGTCAGTTCTCACTTTTCTCGTTACTATAGCAAAGCGTGCCTGTACCAACAAAAAAAAACTTCGAGACGAGCGGTTTAGAAATTAATACAAAGTTGGTGTGCCTACTTACGTCAAGGGTCTAACGGAAATAGTGAAAGCTTGTATACGGTGGCACATGCATTTTTTAAGATCCCCGTACTATGACGCAGCAGCTTGGAAAAAAGAGACAAAGAAGTAAAGCATTATGCCACCGAATGAAGGTGCCAGAGAAACCAGCCACGCCACAACACGCACCCAAAAATAAAAAATAAAAAGAAGGCACTTGCTGCAAAACAAAGCACCTGTCAATCTGTACAGCTGATGATAATAGCAGCGTCATGGCGGCCTCAATATAACTAAAACAGTTGCTGGCAGCAGCTCTTACTGTTTCATCTGAGAGCCCCCACTCCACCTTGCTCCGCCAAAACATTCTGCACTGCGGATGACACTTTAAAAGAGCAGTCTCTCTTTCTTTGTACGTGTCTTCATTGTTGTTTGTTGCTGTTATCACCTTCATCATCATCAGCAGCAGCAGCAGCAGCACCGCAGTGCTGGGTCTGTAATGTCGTGCATATATTATCAGGCTGGGCATGAACTGATTTGGATGGATCGCTGTTGTTTGTTTGAAGAATGAAAAAAAAGACGGCCGGCGCTTTGGGGAGCATGATCTCGTTCTGTCCGTGTATCGGGGCCTTTGATACGGGAAGAGAAATGACCCAGACAGATGATGTGCCATATGGGAGATTCTTTCATTGGGGGGGGGAGCTGGTGCCTATGTTAAAGGAGATGATAAAATTAGCTTTTGGCTGCTTATGTGAAATGCAAGGCGCCAGTCTATGCGCCTGTGCAGAGACATACAAAGCAAATGCAGAAAAGTGTCGACACGTTGGTAATAAACAACCAAAAGGGTGACCCATTTGTTGGCGCTGTTAAGAAACGGACGAGCTTGGAACAAGAAAGACATCACTGTGCATAATGGTGGACAATGAATTCTGTATGACAGAAATACCAACAGGATACGGCAATATCGTGCCACGAGAACAAAATCTTGGGTTGATGGCGCGGGGGAAGGTGGGATGTTGCACTAGGACTAATTAGCACTTAATTATTGGAATAATTATTAAGATGGCCACAAAAATGCGCTCAAGAGCAATTTTGGCGAGAGAAGAGAGAAAAATGAGGGGGGGGGTGAGGCATCGAGTTTGGGCTGCTACAATACGGACAACAGCGAGTGTGCGCGCGCGCAAATGGTGCTATCCTTTGCGGCTGCCTTGGCTGCTGGCTGATGCTGCTGGCTGACGCGGTGGGTTAAAAAATGTTGGAGGGCAAGGGGCGCAATAGGGTAGGGGGAGGAGTTACGGTGGGGGAGGAGAGGAGGAGGAGGAGGAGGAGGAGGACATATTCGAAGGAAGCACAATGAGGTTATTTTGCCCTTGGTGAGAAACTGCTCAATTGATGCATGCTGGGAGATTTGCGATCGACCCGCAATATAAAATAAATGCAGATTACGGCTGCCATCGCCACTTGTGCTCCTCTTGTTTTTCTTTTGCTTTTGCTCTTGTACCAGTATATACCCTTTTCTTCTTCTCTCTTTCGCCGCTTCTTTGTACTATAGAAATGACTCTGTCGGCCTCATCATCGACGCACCACCTCTACCAGCACAAGTGGAAGAAGGGCCTGGCCGTATTTTCAAAGTGGTCGCCGCGAGACAGAAAGCTGTTGACGCCAACCGTCATGGCAGCTGCGACCGAGAAAGTGATCCGGCACCAGCGCACATCGACAGCTGCTCGTGCAGTCAACAGCGAAGATCTCACCGCAAGCCAGTTTGCTTCATATGCGGGCATCAAGATCCACGACGACGATAGCAACGACGATGACGACGATGATGACGACGACGATGATGATGAGGTACCACAACAGGTGCATACGGCCATGCTGTCGCCAGAGCCCATGGCTGTCCCGATGGCGCGCAGCTGCTCAGATCGCGGACGCAAGGCACCTCAGATTTGGGATTCAGAGTTCTGGGAGCACGAAACTATGCATACGACGACGACAACGACGACGACGACGACGCCGACGATGAAACAGCAACAACGACAGCCAACGTCCATCATGATGGCACCAGCCAGTTCATATGCTTCGACTGCTTCAACATCGTCTACTTACTCCGCGCTCTCGGATTGTAGCACATCAACAAACAGCAACAGCAACAACAGTAGCAACGATGTGCCTCAGCTTGTGCGATCGCACCCGAGCGTTATTCATAAAGGTCGATTCAAGATTGTTCTCGGCAACGAAGATGTCAATGAGACGCCGGCTCAGCCTCAGGTCATCGAGTGGCGCCGCAAACGCTCCTGCACGAATTAAAAAAACCACAAAACACACACACACACTACGGTCCATGGACCAAGTTCCTCTCGTTCCTCTGCGACACCCAAGAACAACATTCAAACAAAATGTACATAAACAGCAATAATACCCAAACGCGGTCTCTTACCAAGGCATACACACACACACACAACCAACCAAACCACGTATACAACTCACAACGACACTTGTTCTCCCTTATGTTTTTCTTTTGTGCGCGGCTCCAAAACGGTTCCTATGTTATTAACAACAACTACTACTACTACTACAACAACGACATACCCTCTCTTTCTCTGCCTATATAACTTAATGTATCTACGTCCTACCTTTCTATTATTGTCCTAATTTATATGCTCTTTATCCGTATCAATCATCCCCACCATCCCTCAGGCGTTGTACGCCTTATCCCCTTTCTCCCAGCAATATGAATTACTCTTTTTCTTTTCTCTCTTCTTTTGTATATCGGTGGATCCACACACTCTCTCTCTCTCTCTCTCTCTCTTTTATATCTTCTGCGCCCATACACATAATGACGGGATCGTGCAAATCATAACTGTATATATTTTTTTCTCGTATTGTTTTATATTAAAAAACGCCAACAATGAAATACCGCCCTTATTTACTCTTGATAATTTCCACGTTCTGAAAAGAAGACATTCCAATTTAGCAAAGCGTGCGGAGATGGAGTAGTAAATTAATCGCAAAGTTACCTTTTGTCCGAGTAAGTCCTTTACAGCCTTCATCTTGGCTTGCTTGTGTCCCATGCCCGGATTCATCTTGCTGATCAGCTTCATTTCTCGCTCCTTCATGGACTTCTCCTTCCGCTTCATCTTTCTCTTTTGTGCATGTGCCCGCTTACGCTCGTCCTGAGACATTTCCGACTTGCTCTTGACATCGCCCTGCTTCTTCTCATACACTTCCTCCGGTGCAAGCAACGTGGCTTCCGAGACATTGACAGGTGTCACTTCTTCCATACTGATGGCAGGTGCATCGCTGACAATAGTCACCTCGGCCTTGGGCTATGAATTAGAGTGTAATATGAGATCATTTGCCCTTTCTAACTTTTGCACATGTACGCCAAGAAAACTTGTACTTACTGCCTTTGGAGTAAAGTGGAAGTTGCTGAGCGCATCCAACTTGTGACATAATGAATCAAACATGCTAGTAATCTCCTCATGCTCCTGCTTCAATGCCTCGTCCTTTTCATTCGTCGTATCACCGGTCTTTTGCTTGACAAAATCGTCTTCGTACAGCTCGGCAAGTGATCGCTTCGATCGTTCATCGCTGATATTCACACGTTTTGATGGTAAGAAGGGTCTGAGCGTCGGATCTTGTTTCCGTTCGACATCGTCAAATTGATTCTGATGATCACAAACAATCGAATCAGTATACATCCATGACAGTAGCATAGATCGCTTCAGTATAACACTTACATCTAAAATACGTTTCTTGATGATATCTTCTAATGCATTTGTGGTTTCTTGTGTGATGACGGGGACAGGCTAATACATTATACCTTTAATACATAACAATCACCTAATAGCAAATTACCCTATCCCCAGTTAATCCTACCTTTGCGGAATGATCGAATTCTAAATCTTCTTCTAAAAGACTGTTGACCGGTCGACTTTTAGCAGTGGCTTCACCACGGAGTGTCCAGTGTTTAGCGTCAATGTTTTCTTGCTCGAATTGTTCGATTTGTGCTTTGATGCGATCCAGTCGCTTCTGGTGTACGGATGACTCGTCTTCCTCTTCCTCCTCTTCTTCATCAGCTGCAAAAAGATCACGTGCCGAATGTTCATCCTTATCCTCTTCGTCCTCTTCGTCTTGATCTATTAACTCTTCGTCGTCGTCGTCGTCGTCATCGTCTCCGAGTGGCTCGTCTTTGTCGAGTCCTTCAAGATCTTCTTCATCGTCGAGCCTTGACTCCCCCTCTTCATCGTCATCGCCGCCGTCTAATGCAAATTTGACTTGCTTTATAGGTTTTGCGCTTGTACGTTTCTTGTTTGCAGGCAAGAAAAATTCCTCGAACTTCATTTCTATAATATGCATTTTGATAATTAAGTATACACAACTGAAAGAGACAAAAGGTGCATCAAGTGTCTTTTTTTACCTGATACGTCTCCTAAATCCTCGTCATCATCTTCGTCTTCTTCATCATTCATATCGTTGTCAAAATCTAATGCATCGTCTTCCTCTTCTCGATCTGACATCATGTCAAGTTCTTCTTGTTTTTCGGTCCAGTTATTGAACTCTTCCAGGTTGAAAAAGTCGTCATCCACTTCGGATCGTTTCTTTTTCCTGATTACCATTTTCATTATAAGTTATGCATATCCCTCGACAACAAACTATATAAGTAGTCCTTACTTTGGTGAGATTTCTTCTTCTTCTTCGTTTATTTCTTCTTCTTCAAGATCGTCGTCTTGCTCCAAATCATCAGCGCCCAGTTCTTCCTCTTCGTCGCCTTCTTGTTCTGCTTCGTCATCGCTTGCCTTCAAAAACTCTTCATTGTCGTAGCCAGATCCACTGTCCTCGTTCTCGTCGTCGTCAAGATCCATAGATCTACCCGAGACACTTTCTTCTTCATCGTCTTGCTCGGCTTCCAATTCTTGTTCTAATTCAGATCGTTTACGCTTGCGAGCGAATTCGGCGACGGTAGTTTTGGCGTAGCTTAAGAAAGGTTCGTTCTGTGTAGCAATCTCTTCCCAGATCTGATCGCGATCGAAGCCTTCTGTCAATAATTCGGGAAATGGCGAGAATTCAAGTTCTTCATTCTTTTTGGCTGACAAAATATAAAGAACACACACAATTAGTTTCAAGTTGACTTGTAGAGTTTGTATATCCTTTTTTTTACCTGTATTATAAAAGTGTTTTGCCACGCCAAGGGCTTGATCGACGATCTTGTCGTTAGCTGTAAAGAACACTTGGGGCTTCTCTACAACATTGGAGACAAATCGTTTGATAGTGGTTTGTGCAGGCCGTCCCATTGAAGGCAAAGTAATGGTATGCTATTATGTGTGGTGTATAAAATGAAGGAATGTAATTTTTTTTTTTTTGCAAAGCAGAAAGTTGAGCTTGAATTACCGCTCTCTCTCTCTGTGTTGCCTGGCAATAAAAAAAACTATGCTCACTTATTTTGGTTCAAGAGCTTTCATTTAGCAATACTCATATGTGCGGTTTATTATAATTGCTATCCCTCATAGCATTCTATCATACAATTTTACGAGAAAATGAATATTAAACGTTGGCATTGCCATGTTAAAGATGGGTGAAACCAGTCCCTCGTAATTGCTAATGTGAGGTGCGGCACCAGCCACACAAAAGGATTCGCTGATCATGCAGGAGGAGGCCCCCTTTACGAAACATAAAATGGGACTGCATGATGTATCCAGGATGTATGGATGATATCAGATTAAACGCAAAGCTATATTGTATTGACAAAGCAGAAGCTCTGCACCCCCCCCCTTATTTTGTTTCTTAAACCCGGTGATCCTTACCTTCCATATAGGATGTTTCTTCCCCTCATTATCATCATCATCATCATCATCATCGCCACACTGCAATAACTATACTACTAGGGAATATGCACAGCCCTCAGCTAGTAATATCTGCAGCATAAATTACAGCCTTTGTTTATGCTTTCGGTTTTGGAATGTAAAAAGCAAGTCGTATGAGCTTAATGAATCTGTTAATGAACACTTTCCATATATACATAGTATAAAATATGATGATAATCCGAATTACCTTCATCATAACATCTGTGTTAACTCTGATGAGTTATTTCTCCAATAATGGAAGGATTGAAGGCAAAGGCACGTTCTTTAGGCTTGTTGAGGGCTGTGAATGCTACGGCAACTTTAATTCTGGCCTTACTAATTATGGTCTTCATGGTAAAGTATACATAATATAATGCCATCCAAATATTCTCTTGTTAGCAAAGCAAAAAAGTATGTACACCGCTTGAATGTATGCCACCAAGTGCGAAGAAGTGATATATAAGCTCATGACAGGAATACATGCAAAGCATCCAATATAAGGTATACTGGTTAAGCCAGGTCTTCTTGGCATGTGCTAAGTACTTTGAAGGTGTTGCCCATGATAACTAATTATTACACATATCATATACTTGTAAAGTATAATCTGTTGCCATGGTATTCGACTTTCATTCTGACGGTGAGTCCACGAGGACCACCTTTACAGGAGCACGAGTAAATAAGGTAAAAGTATTTTGATTTTACCATGAGTTTATTACAAGTGGGAACAGAATGCATTTTATTAAACATTATTTAGCATCGCAAATGCCCAAGCCTGCAAATTGAGGAAGGAGGTATTTTCATCAATTAATGCTTCAAAGAAGAAAAAGAGGAGCCATCGTATTAATCTAAACAGGTTGTGTAGAACTGGAGGACTTGATATTGGCAAAGACGATGGTAAATTCAAGGAGATGGAAGACTAGATGCAGCTCGGCTCCTCCCGTCGTTTAGAAAGACATGCTTATATCAATGTGAGCTCAATACTTATCATGTTTATGTACTACGCTATGATACATGACAATAAGCTTGATGCACTTTTTTAACATAATGTCTTTATGCCACGGGTAACAGCTCATACATCTCTCGACATTAACGGAACGATATTACTTTATTAGTTAAATAGAATATCACTTTTTGCACAAATGTCGTTGTTGCTGCCAATGTTAGAGTCGTAGATGTTACAATGAAGCATACATACACTACTGAATACACAGTGCCTTGCTGCTGTTGTGGGTTTCATGTTCCCGAACCAAGTGGCACAGCTATCAGCGGCTACTGAAGATGCTTTCTGATTTCATGCTTTCTGCTTCTACTAGCCTAAGTTCCGGGACGTCCTCCGGATGAAACTGTATCTCTTCTATTAGTCTCCTTTTCATATTTGTGTTTTCAAGTAGCAACGGTTATGGAGCTCAGAAAGAATAAAAAATTAACTGTCTGTGCTGGATCACCATCAATAGATCACGCGGACCGATATAGCATCAATAGCAGCTGTTGCCTGGCATTCAAGAATGATGTCCCCCCTCCCCTTAAAAAAAGACCACGACAGGTTAGATATTTTTATAAAAAGAAAGTATGCAGGAATGCTCAAGTAGCTCCTAAAGAAAGTGTTTTACTTTAGATGTCCTTTCCGAATGAGTAAAACTTATTTCACAATGTACACTACCACGGAGCTTCAATTTGCTCATTTGCACGCCTTTTGCGTGAAAGACTTTTGTTTTTTCTTTTTTTACTTTGGGCCAATGATGAAGTCGCTTAGCCAAATCTGAACATGTCGGCTTTCACGACTATAACACAGATAAACGCGTGTTTGACGTGTACAATATGTGCGCGATAAGCACGCTGCCTCTGGAGTTTGAGTATGAAAAAAGACATTGGAATGATTGATTGTTAATAGCAGAGATGGAAAAAAAAATTGAATCTGATGGCCCCTCCCTTCCCCCTTCATAAAAGAGGTTAGTTCCTATTCTTCCAGTCTTCTTTGTTTGGCTGTAGAGACACCAAACCCATGCTTATTAATAAAGGAAACTATATACTATGGTAATCAAAGCGTTGTTGAGGAATATTGGTTGACTACTAGCTTGGTCGTAATAGTCAACTGAGGCCTGCAGAGGCGGTAGGATTTTCCCGCTCTCTCTCGTCGCTGAGCGGTTATGTTGATTCAAATAATTTTTTTTAGTTCGTGTTTTCCTTGACCTTCTTTGATTTTTCCACGTCCGATAAGTTCCCAAACAAGGCCATTGACCCCAATAAGGCAATCTCAACTGAAGAAGAAGAACAATCCACAATTATCTCCTATATTTCCATATACATCCGTACAGCCGGGTCAGGCGAGAGAGAGAAAAAGAAAGAATTATACTCAACAAGTGGTGTTATTTATTAGCTTGAGGGCGGTGAGGGGGGATACAAGTGGATTCAAGGATGTGTAGTATGCGTGATTGGGTTTATATATCGTGTAATAATGGTACTTTGGTGGGAAGACTCATAGTTGAGTAGAAGTGTGTGTGTGTGTGCTAGAGTTGCAAATGCGATAAAAGGAAAAAAAAAGAAAGAAAAACAATGAAGACGGCTATGATACATGTGGTTGTTGTTCGGTTTGAAGGACAAAGGTGAGAAGAAGAAAGAAAAGAAAGAGCGGGATATACAAAAGTATCGTGGTCATACAGCGGATGAAGAGGGTGGGTATGATGCTGTTGATGAAGGAGTCAACGCACTGTCAGAAGCAGGCGACGTGACAACCGAGTGTATTGATGGCGAGGCAGAGTCGATGTGTTGTTGAATATACCGTATCAGCGTCTCTTTGGTGTACGTCGCTATCCGCATTTGCTCCCATACTTCTGTGCGAAACGAGTCGATGCGTTCCCGCTTTACTTCTCCACTGCGTTCGATGCGCTCCAGAATCAATAGTAGCATTTTACATAGCCGTGATACTTTTTGGAACGTGTTATCAAGATACTGGTTGACGTGGCGGACAAAGTCCTCCGATGAGAGTCGTGGATCGTGTAACGATGACGAGGCTGAATGCCCGTTGAATGGTGAAAGACGTAGTGCTGGACAAATGGAATTGCTGAATTGCTGTAGGCCTTTGACGATGGCTTTGGTTTGGTAGAGGCAGCGCGTAAAGTCAATAAAGGTTCTGTCGGTTGCCGACAGTCTGTTGTTCGATGAGGATAATGGGTCGTAGCGAGGAGTGGTGTGGGTTCGATGAGGCCTTCGCATTGGGCCACCGAGATTTAATGTAGCTGTCGCTGTTGCTATTGAGGGAAGTGGTTCGACTGTGGTAAACATGGGTCGAGGTGAATGTGATGGAGGAGAAGAACAAGTAAAAGAAGCGCAAGTCGAGCCGTTGGGTGGTTTTCCTGGATTTGTATCTTTTCCATGCCCCATTTTTGTGTGTTCTCTATTGGGTTCTATGGATTTGTGTGTTGTTGCTTGGCTGGCTGCTTTGTGTGTGTGTGTGTGTTATGTTTACGGCAGATCCGTCTACGAAAAAGAAGCCGAAAGAATCTCTTGCCCCGCAAAAGGCATTTGTAGCGGAGTTCTGTTTGGGTTCCCTAACAGAGACCAGCACAATGACGAAAAGAAGTTTTTTTTTTTTTACTGCCGAAATGAAGGACATTAAGCACCCGTTGATGGGCTAGGTTTCTCTTTGTTTTTTTTTTTTTTTGTTTTTTTGCTTATTTTGCTCACTACTACTCCTCTAGAATGACACTATCACACGATGATATCGCCGAGTCATGACTGGCTGGAGTAATGGTGCTTGTGCTGCTGTAGCTATTGTGAGTATTGCTATTGTTCGACGAGCTTTCCTTGCTCGACCAGCCTATCACGGTCATTCGTTTTAATGCGCGTGACCAGCCACCACTGGAACCGTTGTTGTTAGGTGTGCCGCTGCCACCGCCTGTCCCATCATTGTTCGTATGGCTTCGATGGCGTCCCACCGTAGTGGTAGGCTCCCCGGTGACAGGTTGTTTTGGTGCAGAGATCCAGGAAGAAATTGTACTACGTCGTGGTCGATTGCTGTTATTATTATTATTATTATTATTATCAGCAGCAGCAGCATTTGTTTTTTCGATTGAGATTGGTGCGGTCGACGATGATAGAGGAGGAGAAGTGGTCTTCTCCCTTTTAGCACTAGGCGCGGCTACTACTACTGCTGCTGCTGCTGCTGCCGCCGCTGCTGCTGTCGCTGGATGATCCGGTGATGATGATATCTCGTCGTCCTCATCAATGTTTAGTACGTCCACAAGCTCTTGGTTATCGACGATCTTCAAAAGAATCTTGTTCATATACAGTGACAGCGCCTTGTTGGATTCTTGTAAAACTCGGATTTCGTCCGAAAGTTCTATTTTGTTCCATGAGTATTTTACTTGCACCCCTCCCGTCTCTCATATGCTTGAAAGGCTTACTTTTAACTGCTGCTGCATGTTGGCAGGCGCAATCTCCGCCCTGCACTTTATTTAATTCGGCTGCAAGACTGGTCGTTTCCGGCTTGGTGGTCGTAGCAGCCTCTGCAGCAGTAGGTATTGTTGCCTCTGCCGCTATGGATGGTGTGGTGGATGCCAAGTCTGACTTCTAATTCCATCGATAAGTTAGGAGAAACGTACAGAGAATGATAGAAAGGCAGAGAGAAAAGAGCGGCACAGTAATAGTGGTAGTAGTAGTAGTAGTAATTACAGGGAATGTAGGAGAGATGTAATTATTGGTCATAGGGAGGGGAAGGGAAGTTCTTTTCGTCTTCCTTTTTTATTACTTTATTGTTACTTTACTATTCTTTCTTTGCTCTTACCTTTGGAAACTCGCCAGCCATCGTCTTCTCGTGCAGCAGAATTTGATAGCTTTCATTGTCTTCCATGAGCGACGCATTTACTTCTTTCAAGCTTGTCAGTTCTTTCTCCAATGTGTCTATCCGCTGTGTCTGTGCTTCTGCTGCCAACATAGCTTCGTGGATCACCCGCTCTTGCTGCTCCACTTCACTCTTATAGTCCGAGACCAGTTTCTCTTGCGCTCGGATCTTTGTGTCTCTGACGGCTACACTGTCGATTGGTTTCGTTCGCTCTTCAAAAAGAGTACCCATACTACCACCACGCGTTCCCCAGGACTCTGTTGTTGTGTTTTAAACGTATTTCACTTGTGAGGTGGCAGCATAAAATAAATTTTTGTCGTACACATGTCTGCTATAATTTTTTATGCAACACTCTTTGTATTGTAATAATACGTACGTGGCTCGGGCAAGCTAGTGCTGGTGCGCGCCCAGATATTAGATGCTGTGGCGCTGCGGGTACGCCGAGGATGTTGTCCAGCTCGGTCCTGGACCGACCACCGCTTGACCTCGCTGCGAAGGTCCGCTTCCCGCTGTTGCCACAGTAACCGATCGCTCTCGTAGTTATGCAACTAATGGGGTAGAATGATTGTGAGTTGTCCGCGCTCCTAATTCTCTATAGTAAAGGCGCCAAGGGGTCCGAGCATCGGGGAAAAACGAGTACTTACTTCATTCTCCAGGCGTTTCTCAAGATGTTTTCGCTGCCGAGTCAGCACTTGTGTTTCTTTGTGTGCCTGTGCAATCTCCTGCTGTTGTGCATAAATTTGCGATTCCATGCGCTCTTGCGTCTTTCGATAATTGTTATTGTCTTGCACAACAGCCAGCAATTTCTAAAACACACAACAAACAGCATATGTTATTGTTAACTCTGCATGACATGGCGCAATTTATTGTTTCGAGAGTCTTGATTGTATTTACCTTGCGCAGGCCATCTGTTTCTTTGCATAACAGTCGGTACTGCTCTTTGGTATCCTCCATTTGGACTTTATGCTCCTACAATGATAATGGTAGTGGATGGAAAGAAATGGTCAATGATGAGCTCCCCTTCAAACGTCGTTGTTTCCTGTGGTGAATGGTCCCTCAAAAAAGACGTGATATGTCAAATATATCTTATAAGGAATATGACTTCGCGTTGGAAGAGCAATCTAGTTTCTCTCTCATCTTTTTAGGACCAAGAGAGAATCCTCCTTGCTCGTTCCAATACTCCAAAAGGGAAAGAAGCACTTATTAACAAGCGATTTAAGATACTTGCATATACTACTGATTCGTTGTGCAGTTGAGGCAATTGAACTTGTAGAATTCGTATTAAATCGGCAACGTCGACAGAAACGGTTGTTGTTGCTGCTGCTGCTGCAGATCTAGCTGATGCAGCCGTGGGAGATGTTGGGGTTGTTGTTGCTGTGGCTGTTGTGGTCATACTGATACAGTGTTTCTGTTGATGATAGTAACGGTAACGATGGTAGTGGTTGTTTGTTGGATGGTGATAGCGGTGTTGATGATGTGGTGTGATGATGAGAAAACAAAAAAAAAACACACATAAAATAGAGACTGGCTGAGGGGTCGCTGTCGTCTTGGCTTATATAGCGCTTCGAAGGAGTAGCACGAATAATAAGGGGAAGGTCACCGGTGACGGGAGGAGAGTAGGGAGTTGAGAACGTGGAGTTATACTTTCACAGCAAGGAAAAGAGGAAGAAGAGAAAAAGGTTCAAAGATTTTCTCTCTCTGTCTGTCTGTCTCTCTAACTCTTTCTTTTGTGCCTATTGCTTTATTTTTTCTCGTGTAAGTGTATGTGTGTATGTGTGTGCACTCAAAGCCCATATATAATATTTCTAGTTCATCCAGACCATGCATTGCATTGCAGCAGGCTTCATGTATTTTTTTTATTCCTTCGCCGAAAATGACGCGGTGCTGTTATCGGCACAAGATAATCCTAATATTTTGAGGGTCTAGCTAGCTACTAGGCACGTAGCCTCTTAAAAACTCTGCATATTCTTTTTGGCTCGGCAATTAAGCTTTTTCCTTCAACTGCTATGGTTCCTTCCTGAAAGGTCGGATCCTGGGCTGTCACTTAATCCGCACTAAGTAATCTACATATCTCTCTTTTGCCACCCTTCCAAAAATAAGTTGACTGGAGTTTTTATAAAGTAAAAGAAAACGAGGTGCCACTGTTGTTGTAAAGGGGCATACATTAAGTAAAACAAGTATACTCTACTGCTACTACTACTCTTTAGCGGCAAGTAGCGCAGTCAGCTGATGGGTTACAAGATGGTGCTGCATATCTCTCTTCCTCTACTCTTTACGTTCATCTATGAACTAACCGGGGTTACCTTCCGATATATCCAATTTGGACAGTTTGAAATTGATACTCTGATATGCAGCTGAACCTCGCATGACTCTTTGCTGTTGCCCGATCTGCATCCAAGGTCTGTAGGTCATTTGGCTATCACTCATTACAAAAAAACAATGGGGGAACAGGGGAAAGCACGGTCTGTGAGCATATTGCAGCAGCAACTGCATACATTCTAGAGTATATTGTATGGTAACACTCCACCGTCCTACCCCCCCAAAACTCATCTTCCCATCCAAGCATATATGATACACGTAGTGCGGACTACACAAAGCGCCGTATACATCACCACACCCTGTGTCTCCTTTTGATCTTTGATTACACCATATCCATGTCCAATCTTACTATACCCAATTAAAAAAGTACTTTTTTTTATCCTTTAATATACAGCAGCGGCGGATTCGGAAGAGGTCTAAATACAAATCAAAAAAAGAAGATAAAAAAATGCTCTACATTGTGTGGATTGGATAACATAGATGGGCGTTATATGTGCGTATGTGATTGTTGTTGTTATTGTTGTTGTTGTTGTTTGACGTGCGTATGTGTAAGCGTGTTGGATGGGGAATAGAAGAGTTTTTTCTTTTCGTAATTATCCGCTGTATCATCCTCTATTTAGGCGTATGTTGTTGGCCCATCTCTTGCATCTTTTCGCCGACCTTGGTGTTGACATCAAAGAACTTGGCAACACAGCGATCAACGCAGACCGATTCGCCCTGAGTCAAGTCGTTCTGAGCGTATTCTTTGGAGATACACTTGGTGTAGCACGAGTCAACAATGCTAATTAACAATATTGTAGTATATTTTTAGTGATACTTCTTTTTTTTGGCACTTGATTCCTTCGCGTTCGATATATACACTATTTGCTACTGCTGCTTTTTACTTTGGCGATAACGACAACGATGCCAACTCCAACTTACCGATTAAACAAATCCGTCACCATTTCAAGCTCTTGCTCGGCCATGGCAATGTTTTGAGGGTTGATCGCTTGCTGCGATTGCATACCATTTCCAAAGAACGACATTTTTGGTTAATAATATAGAGAGATGGAGTTCAGCTCACGCGTGGAATTTTTGTTTTTTCGGCAAACATACCCGTCACACCCCGGCGCGGCCGGATCGCTGTCAGCAGCTCAGCTAGGTTGGATTACTTATTGTTCAGCGTGTTCTAAACAAATTTGATGAGATCGTTTTAGAATGATGCTTTTTGCTAGATAGAGACACAACGTATCCGTAATGTTACCATTTTGCACAAGCAAATATTCTGTTTAGGTCCACAATATCAGCTATTTTACCTTGTAAGCATGACGCCATAGATGGTCAAGAAGTGATTTTTTGTTTAGTAAGTATTACGGTTTGCAGCATATATGTATGACAGCTACTGCTACATAGTATGGATCAATAATGTCTTCTTTATTTGCTTCGACATTACAGCACATCTAGGTAGAAAGAAAGCACACATATACTGAAATATAAAATGTTAATGACTCATATGGTGGAGGTCGACACGATGTTGCCATATTCATGTTTGATAACTTTTTACAAGGTGATAACCGAAGCTGTACACAATGTAGGATGCAGTAGCAGAAGTGATATGTATACAGTAGTGTCAGAATTCCCTTGCTATTAATAAACAAGACAATAGATTAAATATCTTGGATTGCGAGCTGGCATTATTATACCCGGTATGATGGAAGCGGAGACACAGAACTTGGAAACCGCGATACAACTCCACGCTCTCTCTCCGTTTAGGAACTTGCATAGTTTCTCTTTTACTCTGAACCCTTCAAACCATGTCAGAAAAGAGTGACATTAGTGTATTAGTACAAGAGTGGCTTCGTCTAGATGAAGTACGATACAAGAAAAGTTACTCCCGCTGCTTTGTCTCCTGAAAAAGGGAAAGAGAACAGTAACTAATGTTGCATACTTTATTAGAATGAGGAAACACGAACTGAGATAACCGCCCTCCTCGAGGCTAATAACTATGACGAGTTAAAGAAGCGGCTGGCGACTCGCATTGAGTTTGGCACCGCTGGTAACTTTCTTGATTGATACGAACTTGGCGATTTGCTATTTTTTGGGAATTTGCGCGAATTGCGCGTTAACCGGATTGCTATACGATAGGTCTCCGTGCGAAAATGGAGGCAGGCTTCTCCCGAATGAACGACCTGACTGTATTACAAACTTCGCAAGTACGAGACTGTTCCTGAGAACTGCAGTATAGCGGCTAAATAAGCATAGCAGTCTAGAAAGTCGGATAAATGCTCATATATGTATATTTAGGGCCTTGCAAAGTATCTGTTGGAGACGGTGCATGATGCAAAAGAGCGCGGCGTCGTCATTGGGCATGATCACCGACACCATTCAGAGAACTTTGCGCGTCTGACGGCTGCTGCATTCATCACGCTTGGTTTCCGAGTGTGGTATTACCATGCATATATTCACACCCCATTAGTGGTTAGTAGCAAAGTCAACATGTGGATACCATGGATATTACATCATACGTTCGATTTTCCATTATGCTCAATTTTGCTAATCTTTTGAATATTGAATCATCAACAGCCTTATACAGTAAAAAAGAAGAAAGCTGCAGCTGGTATCATGATCACTGCGTCGCATGCAAGTTTCGCTCCCATATAAACTAGTTTTTAGAATTGCATTTGATACTAAGTCGTCTTTTATAGAATCCCAAGCAAGACAATGGTTATAAAGTGTAAGTGACTAGGGAGTCGTCCTCAATGCAGTTTGTCGGAGGAGGAGGAGGAGGAGAGAGAAAAACTGACATAATTTGCGGGTCCGGATTTTCATTAGTTATTGGGAAAATGCGTGTCAGATCATCCCACCTCATGATAAAGGGATTGCAGCAACTATCTTGAACCATTTGACGCCATGGACATGGGACTATAACTTGATCGATACGAGTGATTTATGCGCCGAGCCTGAGGAGGTTATTGATAACTATTTTAAAGATCTCGCTGGGCTATCTCGTTTCCGGTAAATATTCTACAGTAAAGAGCGAATTCCTAGTAACTGGCAGAGCAAACAAACTTGAATACTTTTCGCCCAACTTGACAGATCGGATAATGAGGCATCATCTCTCAAATTCGCATATACAGCCATGCATGGTGTTGGTACACCTTTTGCCAAGCGCGCTTTTGAAGTTTTTGGTCTGCCACCGTTTTTCACTGTGGACGAACAAATCATGCCCGACCCCGATTTTTCTACTGTTGAATTCCCTAACCCTGAGGAAGGCAAAGGTTCTTTGGTATGCAACGGAAGATAATCGCTTAGACACTTTATACGTATACTAATAAGTAATATATAGAGCTTGGCCATCCAAACGGCTGATAGAAGCGGGGCACATTTAATTCTTGCAAATGATCCAGATGCTGATCGACTGGCAATTGCTGAACGAGTAAAGTAAGTTCTTCAACAATAAACAAGGATTTTTTCAATGATCATGCGACTTATTGAAGCTTCAACAGCGGCGAGTGGAAACTGTTCACTGGTAATCAGATTGGCGCTGTCCTTGGTGCGGCTTGTTTTGAAAAAGCAAAAGCAAGCGGTGTTCCCGTTGGTAAGTTTGTATAAGAAAGGATTAGGGGAGGGTGGATGTAGCATTCTAGTAAATGAAATACTGAATGAAGGTGACGTCCTTAAAAATTTGTTTTGTATCAATAGAAAAGATTGCCATGGTAGCAAGCACAGTATCCTCAAAATTCCTGGCACGTATGGCGGAAGTAGAAGGCTTCCGTTTTGAAGAAGCATTGACAGGCTTTAAATGGATTGGGAACAAAGCAATTGATCTCGAAAAGGAAGGATATTACGTTGCATTTGCTTACGAAGAAGCCATCGGATTCACTATTGGTGATTTGGTCAAGGATAAGGATGGTATCAGCGCTTTGGGCTTTTTCTCAGAATGGGCTGTCCAACTGCAAAAGCGTGAATTGACCATCAATCAGTATTTGGAGACGCTCTATGCAAAATACGGCTACTTTGTGTCGGAAAATTCGTATTTTATCTGCGACGATAAGCAAGTCATAAAGACGATTTTCGAAAGGATACGGTATGGTTATAAAGAGGTAAGAACAAAAAGAGCAACTTGATAGTATATATATTGGACCACTCTCCACTTCTTCTACTCGTTGAAGTGAAATGAAAGAACTAAACTCGTTTATGAAACATTCTCATGTATAGACTCAAGAGAACATGAAGTCTGGTAAATATGAGTATCCGAGAGATATTGCTGGATACCGCGTCGTTGGTGTACGCGACCTCACTGTTGGATACGATTCCAACACTCCTAGTAATAAGCCTACATTGCCAGTGTCAGCCTCTTCAGAGATGATCACCTTTAAACTGGAGAATAACGCAATTTTCACCATCAGAACAAGGTGAACGAGCATAGTAGTCATGAATGATATATAATATGGTAAGAAGGTTGATAGTAACATTTAAATTCTACTTAGTGGTACCGAGCCCAAGGTCAAATACTACTCAGAATTACGCGGCGACTCGGAGGAACAAGCAAGGAAAGATTTGAGCAAAGTAGTTCAGGCCATTGGAGACGAGCTTGTGGAATACCAGCAATACAATCTGTTGTGGCGTCGTTAACATCTAGAAACATGGTTTTTGTCTAAATAAATTACAATAGCTTTATAGTAATATTATCTGTCTTCCATGTGCACGATGGTGTATTAACCGAAATGTGTCTTTCATACTATCACATACTGCTACCTCATAACTGTATATGTGTTCTGAAAATGAATATGCATTCGTGGATTGTTGTTTGGGGAAAAAAATTAATGCATCGTAAAAATGCTTTCCGCTTTGCCTTCTCTTCTTTCTGTTATACAGATAGTGCAAGTGCCGACCTTTCTGCAGCACCAGGACATATCTCAGACGGAAATTCTTCCAGTGTCAACGCTTCCAACCAGGTTGTGTTCCTGTATTTATGGTCTATATATTTTTCTGCATCCTCACACCAATGAATCATCTTCTATCCAGTTGTTAATGTAGATTATTGATGTACTTGCTCTGCATATCATTTCTCTGTAGCATACACTCATTAATACGATAAGGCCCAATCGAATAAAGTATACTTATATCGTCGTTGTACTTATGGTGATTAACATAGAGTTTCATTGCCTTATATACTATATAACACGCATGGAGTTTGTTACACGCTTATTTTTTCTGTGGATAATGAGTCAAACTTTTTCACAGAGCTCGTGAGAAAAGAAAAAGTCGTGCCAAAAAACTTACGAGCTATGACGCTATAGGAACAACCATGAAGAGACGATTTAGAAGGTTTGACCGATATCTCGGACTCAAAAAACTATTACATAATATAGCAAAACAAGAATGGAATTTTATTTAAGATTCAAAGAGTGTGAGAATGACAGGGTACTTTACTTCAAAATGGTTGACGAAAAGCATAGAGAGAAGAATTATTATTGCTGTAAGACGAATAGAAATATACATGGAAAAATAATAGCGTGTATATAGATAATGTACTGATTAGAAAATATAATATATGAAATAGAAGAAGTAGCAGTATGTCGATATGCAAAGAAGAAGAGAGTCCATGTCCAGCATCTGATACTATGTAGTTATAACTTTTTAGTTCTTTTCGCCCCGAGCTTCCTGATCAGGCTCATACTCCTGTTCAATGCCTTTGTATTTGTCCATCTCGTCCTTCTTTCGATGAATGGCATCTTCTTCAACATCATAGGCATCACGCTTATGATGACAGAACCAGAAGAGGATGCAACATGTAGCGGTGGCGGCGGAAATACCAGTATACATCCACTTGAGTTTGGGATCTTCTGCCACGGAAACCAGCGCGAACGCGAGAACAGCACCGAAACAGTTGGTCAACAAGAACAGGGCCATAACGAGTGACTTCATCATGGCGGGCGCCTTCTTGTATGCATATTCAAGACCAGTAATGGAAGCAAAGACTTCAGAGATACCAACCAAGACATAGGCGGGAATCACAAGAGCGGCGGAGACATGATTTTTGCCATTTCCGTTGGGGTGGTCGAAGTAAGGTGGGCTGTTGTACACATGGGTCTGGATACCAGCACAGTACTACATACACGAAGAAGAAAAAAAGTTAGACTCAGGCAATTTTTAAGTTTCTCTCTTTTATAAGTTCCACAGGAAGTTTCTTTGAAATCACTTACAGCCATGGCGCTTGCCGCAAAGAAGAAACCACAGGTGATACGAATCATAGGACGCATGGGATAACCATAGTGGCGAAGAATTGGGTAAAAGATGCGGTCCATGATAGGAATTGTCACGATCAAAGTGAAGGGGTTGATGTTTTGCATGATGTCGTTGGCTATTCAAACAATAAGTAGAGTCAGTAAAAGTCTCTAGATGCAAAGCTTATTTCTAAACTCGTTATCAGGACTATACTTACGGACATTGCCGGTCAACATAGTCTAATCCAAGAAAGATAGAAGATTCAAAAGTTAGAACTTCCTTGGTATCCGTCACGGCGAAGAAAAGAGGGTCCGTTATGAAAGTGGTACTTACAGCGCTCATGGAAACCAAATTGTTGGTCATTTGTGAGTAGCAAAGCCAGTAGACAGGGTACCAGCAAAAGACAATACAGGCCTTGAAAGTACGGCGCATTTCGTCAACAAAGACATCATCCCAGGTGATCTTTTCAGCGAGAGCAGGGTTGGTCTTGGCCATGACTGAGGGTTTGGTGCCTTCCAAACCATACTTTGGCGACAACTTGATAATCTTGAACACTTCCAAAAAGATACTGCCACGAGGCGGGTTCTGACGATACCATTTCTTGCCCAAGATGACAACGGCAATGCCAGGAACGAACATACAGGTTGGAAGCAGATAGGCCGACCAGAAGCCAATGTTCTTGGCCATCAAGGTGGTAAAGATAGCCGACAAGGAGCCCACATTAATACCAATGTAAAAGTAGCTGAACAATCTTTGGTACGTAGCCTGGGGTGTCACAATCACGCGTTCGGTCTCGCCGGTTTTGCGACCCAGCCAGTTCCGCTTGGGTTGTTCGCGCACATAAGCCTTGGAGACAGTGTATTGTTCAGCAACCAATGGGGAGACGTTGGCCTTAATACCGCCAGTTCCCAGACCAATCACAACCAACGCAACGATAAAGCCCGGGAATGCACCGCCGCTGTCGATAGAGGCAGGTACAGAAGATCCCGTCAAAATGATTAGACCGAGCATGTAGATACAGGCAAACACCACAATGGTGTTGTATTTGCCAAGATACTGGTCAGCAATGATAGCACCAATAATCTAAAGGAAGAAGAAATAGAACCGTAGTGTTCGTTTTTTCATGAGCATGCATAGCGCTCATATTTTCTACTTGTAGTTTCACAGAATTATAAAGTGGGAACTTACTGGAGTGATGTAGCACCAGAATCTATGGTTGTACAAATAAAAAAGATATATCAGCTTCACAAAACTTTATCGCTATACCCCCCCCCTGTCGTTATCACACGACTTACTGGAAAAAGGTGGTGAGAGCTGTCGCGGTCTGCTGACCACGGCCCAAGGCACCTGGAGTTTCAGCAGGGTCTATACCACATAGAGTAATCACACTATGTCAAAGGAGGAGAAAAATCGCCTTTTTGGTAATTCATAAATCTATGACTGTTACTTACATGATGGTGGCGGTGGCTGTTGAATGTAATTCTGGAAGGGGCCACTCAAACCATAGTATGTAAAGCGTTCGCAAAACTCGATCAGAATGACCAGGTAACCACTCTTGGGAACAGAATCAGCAACTTCACGCAATACGCCCCATTGATCCTTGGTCGGCACTGGATACTGAGAGCCATCGTCAAGAGTAACATACTCGGTTTCCTCGGTAATGGCCACGTCATATGCAGGCGCCTTTTCCGTAATGACCTCTGTACTGGTAGTGGTCTCGTTCTTTTCAGTGATCTCGGCCATAGGAGATGGTGGAGATGGCGTGGAAGTGAGAGGTTTGAAGGAGGGATGAACAATGAGAGAAAGGGACTTGGCAGCAGAGAAATTTTTTTGAAGCTTTATATGATCTGACCGTGGCCTGCAGCAAGTCGGACTCGGACGCTTTAAAGTTCCCACGTTTCCCAGTGTTCGTCCTGGAACTGCTTTCCTAGAATGGTACATTTTGACTATTTGAAATGGCGGTGGAAGGTCAAGAACGATTAGAAACAACACAGGGAATGAGGCAGCACTTATTTTGGTGCCTTGTGCGCAGCTGATCAAAAAACCTCTCGACAAGTTTTTTTTTTACTCCGCTGAATTACCCTGCTGAACTCGGGATAGAATCATCCATACAGACGCGAAGATCCAATCAGCGTTAGTTTTACACTTCCAAAGCGGCCCTGCCAGTTTTACGCTGAAGCTGTTCTCCCGTGTTTGCAAAATTAAAAGGTGAGGTTGTATCTTTCGATAGAAAGTGTCGTCTTATTAATGATGTGTTTTTTGACGTAGCAACGCTGCACATTCCGCAAACACTTTAGTATGTACTGCCAGCTTGTCTCACATCAAGTGTTATTTACCAGCCAAAGATAACAAGGTAGAAATGCCGCGCCTGCTGTGCTACGATTTTTGTTTTGTTATCTCTTTTGCTGTTGTTTTTCTTTCTTTGGCTCGTAGACCGGGTCATCTTAAAGTCCACAGGGACCTTTCCGAAGTGTTATCGTTTTTGCTATGTTTGGGCACCGTATAATCAAATTCACCAGGCAACAAAGATGCAAGTGTTTGTCCAAGTGTTCTGGCTTTAACATTTCTATTCACAGTCTAAAAAAGGCAAAGGTTTTCCCTCGCTTTAGACGTGATGCTTGTGTGTGATAACTTGCATGAATACAATCCACACAACATCAATCAATTAGCATAACCATTTCTATATCTTCTCCCCTTGAAATTTTGCCATTCCAGCCCTCTGGTATAAGAATATACATTTGCACATGATCATGATTGGGATTGTCCGGGCTGAGGTGGTACAATAATATAAACCCAAAGATGAGCACTTGACGCCATGTAACCTGCCAAATATATTTATATACAAGCACGCAAGAGAAAAAGAAAAGGATGACATTTTTGTAAGAGCAAGAAGGCATTGAAAGTAATTGTAATTGTAATCAAGCTTAGTTGAGTAGCGCATTTGCCAGCTCTTCCTCAGTGGCGTTCGCCCCGAGGGTGGTAAAAGTATTATTGTGCTGTGGTACGGGAGATGTTGTATGCGCTGGGCTATCTTGTATTTGCGGTTTTGCTGACAGCACAAACGACTTGATGGCTGTGTTGTCCTCGTCATCCTCGTCGTCGTCTTCATCGTTGTCATCGCTTTTTTCTCCTACTTCCTGTTTCTGCTCCTGCTCCTCCTCATCTTCGTCGTCTTCGTTTTCATCTTCATCGTCGGTAATATCAGTTTCGTCGTCCTCATCGTCGGAGCTGTAAATCATCGATATTTTAATGGAGTTTTGGGATGCTGCAAGACGTTTGACCAATGCGTCGTCCACTGGTTTCGCTTGATCTTCAGCCGGGACGCGGTCATTATTCATGATTGCGATCTCGCAAATGATATCGACAAGAACCCATGGAAAGCTAAGGAACCTGCCCTCGTCGCTAAAGTCTTTAATGCGTTCGTCGGGATGGTAAGCCACGTAATACCAAGCTGCAGCTTTGGCATGACGGGCACCCGGCTTGTCCTCGAGGCCTTGCTCGAATCGATCACGCCACACTTTTCTCATGCTTAAGACGGATCCCATGGTCTGCTTGTGTATTTCGTGCATGCTCTTTTTGTTGCTTTTCTTCAACCATTTTACGATGTAGCCAGATACAATTTCCGACTCGGTTTGTACACCGTATTGATTCATTAAAGCTAGCAGATCTCGCCCATATTCGCCTTTGAGTTTTCGCGCTTCTTGAATGTAGCGCTCCATGTCAGGCACACGCAAACGGACGTCATATACAGTGTTGTCAACCAGGTGCGACTGGTATTCCCGGTAGTCTGATTTATCGATGGCACGGTACATCTTGCCCAGAACCTTTTGCGACTCGTAGGACTCCTTGTCTTTTTTCTCCATAAAATCCGGGTACACATGTACTCTCAAGTCTTCTTCAACCTTCGCCGGCTTCCCTGTTTTAGGGAAATCTGAATAACAAGAGTTTCATTTAAGGTATTAAAAATGGCAATAGATTCCCTTTTCGTAATTACTAGATATGTATTTGTGCTTACCGACTGCCAAAGAGTGTTTCTGCGCGAGGCGCAGGCATGCACCATCGAGAGCGCCTTTCTGTGATCGATCGGCAGTAGCCAGATGAGAATTGGCAATGGTGCCAAGATTGTCACTGTTGATATAGTTGACATAAAACTTCTGGATATCAATCAGTTTGACTTCGTCTACTCTGACAGGATCCTCAGCATTGTAGTCCATCGGCTCGTAATTTCGTATCTTTGGGAACAGCTCTTCATCCCAAAAAATGCTAGAAGGAAAGCATTATTATCATGTTAACGAGCTGGATCAGGTACATCTTCTCGCTTACAGCTCAACCAAGTAAAAAGCAACTTACGTATAATCGTCTCCGTCCAAATCACCACCGGATAACATACTAGGGACATCACGGAAACCTTGGGCGCTGAAAACGAGCACATCAGTCAAATGGTGGAGCTTGGGATTGTCAACAGCTTTGACGACACGAATATCGCCTGGGTGGAAGCAGGGGTTACGGTAGACAACGACGTCTCCTTGAATAGTGCGCTTGCTTCGGCCTTTGTTGGACTTGCCTGAGATCTGGCAGAACACCTCGCCTTCTTGCAACGTCATAGTCTCATCCATGACACCAAGTAAGAAGGCACCCTTCGGAACATGGACCTTTGCCTTTTTCTTCAAGTCTTTCAACTGGCTCACGCGGAACATGTTGATCAAGTTGGCAATGTACGGATCGCGCTTCTCCAAAAAGCCTGCTTGAATCATCTTGGCCATAGCTTGAGTCGTGCCAAACTCGTCAATGTTGGAAAGCAATGTTTTAATAGCATCAGCAGGATCGCCCAACATCCGGTTCATCTTGTCGATCATTGACTGCATCTTCTTCATAAAAATATCATCAGGCACACCCAGCGTCGATAGGATGGTGATTGCTTGCCGGTTAAGATAGGCAGGAATCAGCGTGGAGACGCGGATGATTTCCAGTTCGTAGTGGTTCGACTCGAATTTGATTTGGCTCGGGCGTAGCTGGATACTTCTGGATTTCAGGTTCGTGGACGATTTGGATAGAACACCCTTGGCACCACCGAAACGAAACTGGAAGGCGCTGGGAACGTAATTCAGATCCATCGCGTTGGCGACCTGTTCTGCAAGTACACGGGAAATCGTACCAACACCGTCTGAGAACGTGTAGCCGTTGCGCACAATATCGTCAATGTACTTGACCTCGTCGTGCTCCAGCTCGGTAATACGTCGAGTTGAACTAAAACACTACAAACATGATCCCTTTCACCGTTAGCCACTTGTGTTCACCAAAATAGGAGCTTTGAACGACCGTTTTACCTGGCCCATACGGACGGCATGTTTGGCAACAATTTTCTCCTTGCGGAATGAGCCCATCCAATTTCGAATTTTGTTCGCACTGAGGTCTTTCGTTGGCGCAAAGAACCAACAACCATGGTCACGTAGTTGCGAGCTTGAAAAGGCGAGGAAATCGTAGCGTCGTGTACCAATCTGGATTCCGCTTTGGAGTGCCTTGTAGATACGTTTGTAGATGGCGTCGCTGCCGGTCTTTTGGTGTGAAGCGCTGACCTTGCTCATGCCATCGTCCAAAAACTGCACGCGAACAAAGCGATCGGCATGCTCGCGATAATGTCGAACGACACGGTTGGTGGTCTCGATAGAGGGTGGTTGTACGTACACGGTGGTTGGGGTAACAAGGATCTTGCGGATCATAGCACAGTGCTCGGGAATACGCCTTCTGTGCCGAACCTTGACACCCATTTCGTTAAAGATCCGCTTGATCGCCTGAAGGGGCTCCCACGCACGCTGCTTCGACGCCCACAAGATATCAAAAATACCAATTGCGATCTGCGGATCCAGCTCCTTGATAGTCTCGTAAAACTCGTCGTCGAGGTTGTACTCGCCAAACTGGTACGAGAGGATCAGCGATTCAAGCATGTATAGAACTTCGAATGACAATATTTGAGCTCGATCGTTGTGCAACCTTGGTGTTGGTAGTGAACTCGGCCGGACCACACTAAGGATGGGCAGCAGCAAACGAGTGTCGCGAGGCACCAGGTTGTATTCGCTAGCCTCGACAAGCATTTCCTCAAAAAGCTTTTGTGCACGCCGCTCAGGGGCGAATTTGATCCGATAGGTTGTCCACATGCCCAAACGCGCCTTCCCAGTATCCGGGTGGAGGTTCACCGGTGCCTTTCGTCCACTACTTCCTGCACTAGACGAAGACCCAGCTCTCACAGGAATGGTCAAGATTCGTTCCCACTGGTTTCCGACAGTGGCAACCAGCTTGGTATCATGGACGGCTGACTGATTCGATCGCCAGAAACGTGCTGGGAACTTGAGCTGGATCGTAAAGTATGTCGAGGGACCGTCGCGCTCCATCAGCAGTTCGCCGTTTGTCATGTCTTTGAACGAAAACTCGAGCTTGTATTTTTCTCGCGAGGAGTTGAAGAAGAACTGGATCTGGCGGCGATCGTACTGAATAATCATCGCAACACTATCATCGGTGCACCACTCTTCTACGAACGTCTTGGGGTTCTTCATAACGCCTAAAGAGAGACTTCGCGCCGGGACCCGCGTGTAATGTGATCTCCGAGAATCTCGAAATACGCGCCCTGCGTTCAATAGCGACTCGTTCACAACCTCAATCTTAACATTGCGACGTTCAACCACAGCATGACTTAAAAAATCCAACGACCAAGGTTTCTCCCTATACAAGCAACGTTTTTGTATTTAGTTAGCGATCTCGTTCTTTGTTATACACAAAAAGATACAGAAAATAGTGCTAGAGCTTACTTGAACAAAACAATGGCTGTGCCATTCGGAGAGTCGTTGCCGTCTAGGCCAAGTTCAACTTTTTCAACATTACCCCAGCGAGCAAATGCTTCACGTACGGTAGGGGCAATCGTTTGTAAGTTCAACCCCGAGACTTTGATACAGCGAACGTCCCTGACTGTCGATGTTGGTGGAGGCGTAGGTGTGTTGCGAGGAGGAAAGGGTCGGCGCACAGGTGAACGGGAGGGCGCATGGTGGCCATTCCGTTGGCCATTTGAGTAGGCATTTAGTTCAGAAGCTCTATGATCTGATTGAAGCAGTAAATTACCAGCAATTCCAATTTCTTCGTGCAGATATTAAGATAATAAAACGTACTATAGACAACCATGAAATCGAAAAGGGAACTCGTAGCTAGGAATTAGCTATAAAAGAGGAACAAAGAAGTTATGGAGGATTGCCTCCGACCGTCGGTTTTACACTTTTCTCGTTCCATCAATTTCTGTAATCATGCAGTATGGCTCCCTATTCATCTTGTAACTGATGAAAATGGCTTAAAATGCAGACAATAAAATGCGATAGATACTAACATTATGTATTATCTTTAATATGAACTTGCTCTTTATCCATTCACCTCGTAAGGAAACAATGATACCGTTAGCCAACTGACTAATATTCATTATCATATGCATGGGTTCGAAGTGTTTCAGAGTTTAATTACTAGTAGCACTCCAGAGATATTCGAATCATAGTTTGGATGCGATCAAGATATGAAGGATATAAAAAGGCATTTTTATTACATTGTTGGATTAGAGAGTGTCTTAGAAAGGCTCTACTGTAGTTGCTTTGTCTATCATACGCCTTTCATTACGAAAACGAAGCACAAAATTCCGATTCTCAGCTTACACCTAAAATTGAAACATTTACTGTGCTTGATGGTCTCCAAATGTTATACATTTCTGCTGTATGTACAAACACTATCCATGTGCATCACAATGCATTAATTACTGCTACTCATACAGATAGCCGCATAATCAAAGCGCACATATAATGGTTTATGTGAAGACTTCATATCTCTTTTAATAATGCTTACGTTCCCATTACTATTTATATATGTATGTGCTAGGGTTTTCTTCGTCACGCCCAAGATATTCTCTGCAAAAAAAAAATCAGTTACCAGTGCGGGGAATTTTTGCAAGCTACTCTACAGTGTCTTACCTGTCAATAAGCGATTCGATTCGTTTCTTTATATCCGTTGCCTGATAAAGACGCAGAGTTTATTAATGAATGTTTGCCGTTTTTCACGCTAGGTTTTATTCTCTTAAATTTCATACCTCCAGAGGAAACTTGACTTGTGTAAAGAGTTCGTTCATCAATTCAGTATGATTCAGTCGTCGTTTTGCCTTCATGACACGCACAATGGCTGCCTCGAGCTACATAACAACCAAAACAAATTATTGAGCCACTAGGTTAACCCTCTCTTGTTAAAAAACCTGAAAGGGGGAAAACGAAAACATTTATACCTGGTGCTGTCGATCCACAAGGACCTTTGTTTCTGTAGCCTTCCGCTCCTCTCCTGACTGTTCTTGTTGCAGTACATTGATCTTGAGCCGTATAGATGCGGCTGTAAAGTCCGAATTGTATTTAAACATATCCGACATCTGAACGTCCATGCCTTCTGAGTCTTTGATCAAAAGCTTATGTTGTCCGCATGCTAACGATTGCAGTGTGCGCTTCAATTCTTTCTCCTCTATTAAATATTGTTAAGCTATCAGTTAACTCGATGATGCGGGTTAGTTGTCCTAAAAGGGGATTGATTCGTTTCATCCTTTACCCATATTTGTCGCTTGTGCAATATCCATACACGAGAGTGTGTCGGTATCATTGAACAAAAGCAGGACCGCTGTCTGCAGTAGGCTCACAGTCAGATCCTTTGTACCCGATGGAAAGTGTCCCTTCACTACACATGATGCAAGTGAGTTTTGCCATGTCAGTCGTCGACCCTTAAAATGGGTTGGATAGAATTCCTCATATGCTGCTTTGCATCGTGACATCTACAATCCGTTAGCATAGAAAGAACGGGTGAGCTTTATTTTCATAGTGCTAACAATAGTGCAATACCTAGTGTTATCTAACACGCACCTGAGGCGGTAATGAAAATTCGCACATAGAGTACGTTGGCCAGATGCCTTGAGCTAGCACATTTACTTGGAACACCATATCCATATCTCGAGGGTATTGTTTTGAGGTCTGCGTAAAAGCATCAATCGTTAACTTTTTTTGCATGTCCCTCATAAAGAGAAGCTGTTCATGAAAATCGCTATTCTTATTTTACCTTAAATTGACTGTTGAGATCTGCCGATACTTCGATATCTTTGAACATGGCTTCCAAATTCTTTGTAAATCCTGGACCACATTCTGGTAATAGTAACATGTAGATTGGACTCTGAGAATTGGAGCAAAACACATCTGTCGAGAAAGAAACAGAGAACAAGTACCTGTCTTGAGTTTTGCTAGCACACTTTTTTCCATGTCATAGGAAGCACTACGACTCAATAATAGTCGTTTTGACAGGAACCGTTTATAAAATGCTTCAAATGCATCTTTGCCTATATATCATTGGCAAGATTAATTACAGCTCACTATTAACAGGGTTGTTTCAATGCAATAGACTACCTTGTAAGTAACGGAAGATGACCAAAAGACGATCCAGAAGCTGTTCCAGATCCTCTTCATTGTTCTTTTGCTATAAATGTTCGAGGAGAAGTAATTTTTGCGTTGATAATTCGTTTCTTTTGTTTAGAACACTTGCCCCTGATTTTTTTCTCCTGTACACTTGTTTGGATTTCTTCTAAACCAAAATTACCTTTGAGCTAGCACGCAACTTGCTGTCAATGAATTTGGCCAAAAGCTCTGCCGGTTTGGCTCGCCGTGAGTTGACAAATCCTTCAAAACTTTCCTTAAGGGCATGCAAAAACATATCATCGCTGCAAAAGCAATCACGCACGATTTCGTCAAGTTTAGACTTGTATTGTAAGAGAGAAGTGATCATTCGTGTGTCTTGCTTTGGATCTCTGATAAGCTCTGTTCCTCGTCGCTTTTAAATCATGTTTAGCCTTTTCCCTTTCCTAAAATTACACATACATATATCATTTATATTTCCAACTAACCTTGATATAACTTGAAAATGCAGTTCGAAGATGTATGACACCCCGATCATTGACAATGGATGTATACAATATGCGCAAAGGTTCCTTCTCCATCGTATCCATCATGGCATCGAAACCTTGTTTTTCAATTTTAGGGTGAGTAAAGAAAACGAACTATTATTGTTTGTGCTAATCATTTCGCTTAGAATCCAATACCCATACAACGAAATACACACCTTTTTCAAGGATTTGACCGATCTTTAGGTAAACAAATTGCGCCTTGACACTTTCAAGAAGCCGTGTCCTGCTGGTTTGCTCCAGATATGCTTGTATACGCTCGTCGCCCTCTTCCTTGTATCGTCGATTGGCGTGCAGCAAATAATCTGGTATAGTCAATTCTCGTAAAAGTCGGTCTGCCTCAGCGTTGTAATATTCGCGTGTGCTTTTGAGAAATACGGGTTCAAAGGCATCAACATACAAATTCAACTCCAATAGCATCGTAATCAGTGAGCGAACAAGTTCCTTGTCAATGACGTTCCCGTTACTAATATGGTTGTTTGTTTCAATAAAAGTAAGATTAGATAAGGAAAAAGAAACGCTCGTTTTCAGTCCACCCGAACTGTATAAAGTCTTTTCCAAGATCAACCAAAAAAATCGTACCGTTCTTCTCTTATCAATGCCAGGATATCTGTAATTGCATTATTTTGTAATGCTCTGGAGCCCATGACATGCTTTCGGAATAGTTGTTTTCCCAGGTCGCTGAAAAGAATAAGCATGTTGTATTAGCGTTTGATTTTAATTAATACGATAGTGGCTGTCAAAACATCTCCGCCCCACAACAATTCCCGGAAAAGAGCAGTACATGATAGAGGAATATTCAGTAGCGCGAATCAGATAACGACGATCCAGTTCCATGAATATGTTACGGATCAAGACCTATTGTTAAGTTTTGTTTTCCATGGTGAGCAAAGCATCATAAGTTAATGGTAGCTACAATGCATGTATCATACCAGTGCCGAGCAAAGCTCTATCCATTCACGGTTCAGATCGGCAATAAACGCGGTATTTTTTGTATTTAGCCTAAGCACTTAATCCTTTTAGTATATCCGTGAATACTTCTCGTGGTGTCAATGAATTCACGAACGCGTCCCACATACCCCTCAAGTAAAACCCCTGCTAATCGCTGGATTTGTACTAATAACTCGCTTTCCAGTCGTCTATAGACTTCTTCCGCTTTATGATATCGACAGACCGTTTCACATGCCTAATTTGGAGGATGATTCTTTTATTCAGCATCACGATCCCGAAGAAAAAAGATAGTATAAAAACCGCTATCAACAGAAAGCTACAGATTGTACTTATTGATTTACCTCATACGCCAGCTGCAAACTCGTTTGGATGGGTTCCTTGTGGAAAATCATGAGCAGTAAACGTCTGTGGTTTTCCCATATTTCCTCGAAGTATTCATTTGGCAGTTCGCGAACAGGCGTTTCTATGAATATATGCATTATATACGAAAACGTGGAGAGAGAGAGAAACGAGTTGGATAAGGTCATACATATATGTATGTGTGCGTATGCGGTGCGTTCTGTTTCGACGATCACAACAAACAATTGAGGGATTCATCTTTTCTGATCTAACCTTTGAAGTTTCTTATAATAACCTTGTTGGTCTGCGATTGACGACGAAAAGTTCCCAAAGTAGCGTTCATTGTTCTTTTTGGTGTTGTTGGATCGTGATCAATGTTCATGGGTACTGCGGTGTTGCCTTCAGTTGTTGCTGCGCTGCTGCTACTGAATTCTCGTGACGCTTTGTGTGGTGAACCTCGACGAAAGGCATCCAAAGTAGTTTGGTTGTTCGACGACGAAGTTTTACGTTTTTTTGAAACTAAAGATTAATAAATGGTTAGCATGCACCTCTATTGCCGAAATTTGATTTAAATGTTTTAACCTTTTGTATTTTTAGGTGGCATTTTAGTATTATGCACAGAAAGAAGTTGAGCAGAAATCGCCAGGTTTACTTGGTCCCACTTAAACTGCACTGCTTTCAAGCACCGAATAAGCAAAAACACGCACACATAAGCGCTGACGCACCTCAATAAATGTTGTATGCACTAGCCACTAGTGGCGTTGAGATGCAGAAGATTGACTATACACGTTATCAACTGCTCTTGTCGCTTTCTTTCTATAAACTTACGAAAGTACAATAGTAGTTATTATGTGAGAGAGTAATCTGAACGCGCATTTATCAAATATACAACGGAACGCTCTCAGTGACAAAGAGTGAAAAATATGAGCGAATAAGCGATCATTACATCTAGTAGCATGATCAAAACCAGTTTTTCGGCTCAAAAACGTGATGGCGCTTTTCTTCTGCATATCTGCACTTTTTCTTTTTCTTTCAAACTGGAACGTGAATCATACAATGTGTTTCAACACGACGCTGACATCTTGCGGCAACAAAAGCAACAACAGTTACAGCTCTTGCTCCCCCGCGTCTACCACAGCTACAACCAACCACATGAAATTATATGGCATACATCTTTCTCCAAAGTTTGATGAATGGCGTATCGTTCCATATGCCAAGACATTGCTATTCAACTTCAAAACAATCGAGTCATCCGAGGATGAAGCAATTGCCGCTATTGCGCAGTGCTATGGCACGGACACCATCATGAGCGCGCGCAAACTCGACAGCGATTTGGTCAAGAGCAAAGAAGAATGGCTTGTCATTGAGGTCAGCTTTAAAACAGATGACGCGCGGGCCAAAGCCTTGGAAAGTGGAGGAATGTGCTACAAGAACGAACTCATTCTCCCTATCACCACTTGCACTGCAACCGATTCCAAGTACATTGCCGTGTCCATGTCTGGCCTGTGCCTGTTTCCCTCACGAGAAATAATTCAAGCACGCGTGCCGGAATTCATTCACGACATTCTTGTCAAGGCAGGCTCGAGTTTGACAAAAAAAGACATCAAGAGCCTGACCATCGAAGAGGATGATTTGGGCTTGTACCGCGGCCGAGCTACGGTAATCCTGCAAGGATCGGATCAGAACTTGGTTAACTGCTTCCGTAATCCAGTTGCCTATTACTTTGTTTCGGCCCCCAACTATCCTAACACCAAAGTGCAAATGCAAAAGTGTTACCTGTACTGTGACAACTGTGTTTCCGTCAATGACCATGCCACAATTGATTGCAAGTGTGTTTTGGAAGGCAGAGCCAAGCACGCCACTTCTGTCGCTACTGCTGCTGCTGCTGCTGCCGCTGAAGGCGAGCACAGCAAGGAGAATGCTAGTAATAAAAGCACGGATAGTCAGGCTGGGGATTGGGAACCAGGTATGCTGACAGGATAAAAAATATCGACAGCAAACCACTAGACTGCAACTCATTTTATACGCTAAATTGATGTAGTTCACATTCAAATGTTCGAGAAGCAAACCGAAGAAGACGATTAGGAACAAGCTGCGTGTAAGACGATCATCCCAAGCAATCCACAGTATAACAATTATCCTATTGATTTTCTCTTCCCTCCATCCATTTCCAGATACCATCAGAATAGCCATCTTTTTGCTCCAAAAAATCAAACCCTGTAATATGATTTAACCTACTTTGCGTCCAATATATAACATACTTGCTTGAACAATGTGTATATGGGCATGTTATTACAAAGGAAAATACCAGCATTAACAGCAAGCTAGAATATTATGGAATCGAATGATGCTCTGTTGTATATATGCTGTAGGACTTATGCATCACCGCAGGCTCATGCAAAACATCAAAGTGATATCATGAATTTCTCCACCAATCACGGAGATAAATAGCGTGACTAGCTATCGACGCTGCTTTAGAGTAATGTTTGGGTCTGTATGTATGCAAAAAGTCGGTCAGGCTGAAGATTGATCATCGCTATATACTACATATGAAAGCAGCTTTCTCGAAAAAACAATAAGGATTCTGAGAATAGCTCCTCAAAGCCATGGCCATGTATACTTTTATGTGTTCCTGAACAAGACAACACTAAAAGGGCAATGGCCTTGATTTTTTAAACTTAGTGAACAACACATACGCATGTGGATGATATAAATGCAAAGTTGGTCTTGCATGAATTATAAAGCACAAACGTACTACTTCGAACAATTTTATGCTTTGCGGTGTACGTCAATCCACTTTTGGGCATGGTTGTTTTAACCAACAATAGAAAAGTCTATATAACAAGTGCATCCCAATCCTCTTCTATTTTTCTGTTTTAAAAAATACTACATTAAACTGATACAAATTACTGATCAGCTTTGGATACATACTCATCCAAATTGTACCATCAGCGGCTGACAGATGCTACATTATTTTTTAATTGGAAAACATAGAACAAACAGCAGTTAAACCGGGGCCGAATTGAGCCAAGAAAACTGTGAACATGCGGTGCTGTTGACTGCTGAGCACCTACAGTTTGTGTGTGCGTATAACCATCCCCATTTTCTACGTCGTCGGTGAGATTCTTCGCTACCTGATAAATGATCTTATGTTGAACCCTCTTTCAGAGGTTCCAGCCCCTTCATTTCCACGGTTAAACATCCTTCTGTCTGGAGCTATTACATAGTATAAACGAACAAAAGCATTTATCATACGCTTCTTAAATGCAAGTATCATTGGGAACAAAACCTGCTCCTGATATATAGAAATTTACTTCTATCACCCGACCGAAATTACTACTGTATTTTCGTCTGGTTTGATGAAGTATATGATACAGATTTCAGATGAAAAATAAGGCAAAACAACTACTGTGAGGAAAACAAGGTGAATATATTCTGCGCCGGGTTATACAATGAGGGGGCAGCAGCTTGAGTACGATGGGTAACAACAACATACTAAAAATAGCATGACGGTTTGGAACTATTATTTCTGCTGTATAATTTAAGTTCTGCAAAGAGGAATGTAGATTGTCCTTTGGTTCGATATGCACAAGTACACCGTATTCGCCCATTTTTGTATATGAAAGGCAGTCGATGGACCGCAAGCATGTGTATCAATACCCTTGTTGATTCTGCCGCCAATACAGCATCTAAAGTTTTCGATCTGAACAATTGCTCGTTTAGCTTGATTGATAACAGAAAAGATGAGATTGTACCTTTCCCGTTCTCTTCCACTTAATTTCCTAGCAAACTATATATGTGCACCATTTGTACCTCGATTAGATGGACGTAAAGAATTAAGAATATACTTCCAGATACTAGTTTTCTTAGAAGGATCATCAGGGGCATCAAACTCGGGAATAGCAGCTCCAATGCGTTCGAAAATTGGATGTTCGTCTTTGGCCATCAAGAAGAAAGAATTCCTGTTTAAGGATTGAACAACCAAACGGTTATTTATAATGCTATTAGTATAATCGGAGACAATAAAATGACGCCCAACCAGTGTGTATATCTTCGTTTGGTTGCAGAGCAGCATTTTTTCCCGTTCTTATTCTTTGATATGTTCTACCACGGTTTTCATAGGCACTGTATCACCCTATTACACAGCACAGAAAAGCTGAATTCATCCATTTTTGATATACTGCCTTCGTTTTTTATATAAAAGCAACAGATACAATGGCCTATACTACAACGGCTGATTCCAATCAAATTAGAGTCACCATTAAAATGCCCTCCTCCGATATATCAAAAGAACAAGATTGGAGTCAATAGCTGTCTCTTCAAAGTCGACTCGCCCAATATTTTTTGGCAGTGATGAGAGACTAGAAAAGGAGAAGGCCTCACTGTGCTAAAGAGTGGGATACCAACCTGAATGCCACTTTATTCTGCCAAGTCACCTCTTACTACACTTGGGAAGAGACGAGGCGAGAAAGTTAAAATCTGCGTACATACATCGTTGACCACTGGATAATGTCCAGCTGTATTATGCAAGGGTTGGCTTCGCACGTGTCGCACCCAGCTTGACCTAGTGTCATTAGTATGTGGATTTAGCAATAAGTGATTGCTATTTAGAGACATCAATGAATAAGTCATCAGGGAGCAGGATTTTCATTGATAGAGGGATGGTTGACGCACCATATGGCGGTAGTTGCTGGTATATATCAGACATTGAGGATCACGTAGCAAGTTTAAGGTCTGTATCGACGGCGGCCTCTATAGACAGTCGACAAAGTAATATACGGACTATGTACTAGCGACAAAGCGCTCTTTCTCAATTGAACATATCTTAAGGCGTCGATGTACGTATTCTAGTTGAACACACCACTAAAAATTCGCCCAAGCCTATGGTCCCAAAATTGGCGAATCACCTTTTGGAAGCTCCCAGAATTTAATGTTGATCGTCCCATCCGCGCAAGTATAGTGACGGTATCACTGATCAGTGCTCATGGTGACGTTCTAAATTAATCGATTGGAGAACATCGATCATATCTGTCGCGTAATTTACAAACTGCTGGTTGAAAATCTTGCTGTAGCTGGGCTTATGTTGGGTACAATTGGCAGTGAAAAGCTCTTTTTTTAAAAAACGGTAAAAGCAGCTTGTTAATATAAGCATCAATTTCGGCTATACGTGACGCCGAGCGTACGGAACGACGACGATGGGTTTTGTGTAAATCTTCCTTTCCGTTGACGGAACAGCGGGAAACGGGAAGCATCCAAGAAAATTAAATTCGCCTAATGCACGAACTTGTTCATATGATCGCTGACTTGGGAAACTGGTGATTAAAAAGGACGTTACCAATGTTAACGAAAATAAAAAAAAAATATGTGCATACCTTGTTTCCACCTCACACAACAACGATAACATACCAACGCTTACCACATCAATATCGTGCACTCTTTCCCACGTCTGTCATCAGCAGATCTGTTTGCTCTAGTCCCCTTCCTCTCCAAGGTGCTACATATATACGACGTCGCCCAGCAGCTCTAAATCCCAAACATATTCTTTGCTACCACCACCACCACGACCCCACAACCGATATTCTAGAAATGATGTGTCTGTGATCAGATAAAGAAGCTGTATAACGCGTATAGTAAAGCTCCCAAGTTACTGGTACCCGCACACTCGCACACAACCACTAAAGGCGCGATGCACAGGAAAAGGCAATGGATGATTAATAGTAGAACTCAAAAAAAGTTCCTTGGGGCTGATCTTTATTATCTTTTAAATTGGGGAGCTTCTGGCACACAATTTGATAAAGAAAAGACCGATCGTCTTTATTTTTATCTAAGAACCTATTTTGGGATGAATAAAATGTTAAATAATCGTATGCATAGAAATTTCTTAATCTCTAATATATGTCATAAAGAATCTGAATATTGAGTATGTTCAAACCTCGTGCTGACTCTTGTTTTGTCTAGAGTATGTATCCATTGTTTTGGGTATTCGAGGTACATAGCAAACGAAAAGTTTCTGTGTTGGGGATACTTTTTTTTTAAGGTTTTTTGTTGAAAATGATCTTTGTACTACATTAGCACTGAGTACAAAGCGTAATTTTCTTTTAAGGGCCACGCACTGGGCATGCATACTGTGTCTGCACCAAAAAATGTAAGACATTACATATTTAATTTGACCTGAGCTTTTTATGTAACATTTGATGTTGTCTTGGCAAAAGTCTGAATGATGCTTTTTGCATGTACGGAACTATAGGCTGATGATTAGAATTAAAGCGTGTAATAGTAATACGGCCGCGACAAGATATTACATTGTCACCAAGTAACGAGATTTTAGATAAAAAGTGAGGTGTTGTCATGGTGACAAAAAAAGGGGTTGCTAGGTAACAGAAATGACTAAAAAGTTTTGGCGTCTATTCGATCTACTCGATCAGATCTGAGGGTACACATACACGGCGCACTTTCATAAGGGTTCACCAGCATTTGATAGATCTACAAACAACCCAGGCTGAGATAATACTTAGTAATAATGAAAGCAAAGGTTGGGGAAATGGGTACGTAAATTGGAACTGTGTCTAACTACCGGGTCTATGCCACTTGAAATTTAGAAAAAGGGGAATGTGGATAATCAAACAAGGGACCGGCTGGCTGGCTGTCCCGCCTCCTCCCCGCTTTTGTATGCTTTAATGGGAGCGATGGTGTGACACAAGTACTTTTGGTCGGGTCACGCACATTTTTTTCATGCTTTTGCTTTGTTTTGGGTCTTTCTCTCTCTCTAAAATACAGTCGCTTTCCTCGTATTTCTGCAAGAAAGTTTCTTTTTTTTGGTCTCGGGGCCTGAGAAAAGGGTGTAATGCTGTCATATTGATTGATTGTCTATGCATTTCAATAGTGCTGTACAAGAAAAAAAAATCTGAGCGGAGAGTCATTTCATAATGTTTTTTTTTTGATTTAGAACAAAAGCATGGACGAACCCGCTTTGACATTCCATTTGTCATCAAAGTGGGCAGTCCTGCCATTGGTTGGATCGGAAGTTCATACTGCCGCGGTATTGCTACTCGTTCTGGAACAACTGAGACAATCCGATTTGTGCGTCTCTTTTCAGTCTGAAGGAGTCGATGAAAAAGAAGGGAGAGAGAGAGAGAGAGAGGGAGGTTTGCGTGAAGGAGGCGTGGCGGTCGCAAAAAGACGCAATGAGGCTGACAACGCTAGTATACTATTAGGAATGAGAAAGTCTATTGTATGCGCGTGTTGAATAAGTTTCATGTTCTGATCCTGGCGCTGAAAGCATGAATGGCTCTGGCACCACGTATACACACACACACACACACATTTAAAGTTACTTGGCTCTACAGGTAGCACAAACGGAAGCTGTGAGGCTGTACGACGCATCCTTCGAGTCTGTTGTAGTAGTAGTTGTTGTTGTTATCATAGAAAAAGAAAACTTTGAAAGGATGACGGCCATGCCAAGCGCTTTTGTTCGAAATCTCTCACCTCCCCAACCCAATAGCAGTACACCCGCACCCTCCCCCACGCAATATACAGCACAGCAGCACGTTTCCCGCCACCCAATCACCAATGTGTGGCACATGTTCGCAGCAGTAGCAGAATAGAAGGTATTTCATATCGGAGATCATGGAGATCAATTCACACGAATGTCGTCTCTTTTTACTCTCTTTCCTCGGGTAACAGGACTCGTCTGCTCTTTCTTCTTTTCTTTTCTATTCCTTTTTTTTATTTCCACTTTTTTCTTTTCCTCTCTTCAATCTTTTCTTAATTCACTTCTTCTTGTCTGTGTCAACAATCGCTCGGGAGGCTCAACAATATCCCACTTCGTCTTGCCGTTGTCACGCTACTTTGATAGACCACCTACACAATACGCATTTCCTTCTCCTACCTTCCTTTTCCTCGAAACAATAGAGCATAAACATGTCACAGCGAGCACATGATCAGTCTCCTCGAATCCCAGGATCTACGGCATCCAAGAAGGTTCGCATGACAATGGCATGTGAGCGCTGCAGGTAAATTCCACTTTTCTCCGCTTTGAATCGTCCACAATTGTGCAACTTTAAAAAAAGAGAAAGCTTTGACACTCATGATGAACGTTATTGTCTAGATCGAAGAAAGGTTAGTTTACCATATGCTTTGCAGTACCTAATAAGACATACTGACGTGGGAATAACGTAACGTATTTACAGTGAAATGCGACTTTGCTCATCCGTCTTGTTCGCGATGCCAACAAGCAAAAGGTACAAGATAAAAACGGAGTTTTCCCATTTGGGGGGTGGGTGAACATAATAAGAAAAAGACGAAAAATAGGGACGCTATGCAAGCTAGTGATATTGATCATGTATTTTTAAACCTTGTTATTAACAAATTTTCACTCTTTCAATTAACTGCTCTTATTGCTATCATATTTGTTGTTCTATAGCCCAATGTTCTTACGACGGTTCAGCAACACAAGTCGATCTATTCAACCTTGTGAAATTAAATGAGACTGTCGACATGCTGCAACAGCGCGTTCATTCGATCGAAACAGACTTGAAAGACGTATCGACCAATACCCAGTTCGTCGCCGATGAATTCCGCATGACTCGATCATCAGCAGAACGGGCAAGTCAAAGCGCCGTCGTTGGCAGCAGTGACAGTAACAGCAACTACAATAACAATTTCGCAGCGATGAATAGTCTTTTTGCTTCATCGTCAAACTCGAACGGACAGTGGTCATTGTCGCTTACCCCTCGAGGATTGAGGATCGACACAAACATCATATCGCTCCATGACTTGTATAATATTCTTCTCACAGGAGTATCTCGTATTGACCTCGACAGCACCGAAAATACAACGACTGTCACTGCTACTACGACCACGACTACTGCCAGTAGCAATAGCAGCAGTACGACGACAGCGACTACAACAGGCTGCAACCATAATCACCAACGATCGAATAGCAGCCGAGAATCCGATGCATCATCGACGTCGTCTGGTGCATCCACATCTGTGCCTGAACTCGATCGAACGACGATCGCTCGGAAGAAGAATCTGTGGAAAACAAAGTTAAAAACGTTCCCTTTGTACAGCACGTGGGAGCCACATAGGGCGGACGCCCCAAACGACCACGCGCAGAATAATAATAGTAATAATGAAAATGCCCCTGAAATGATGTCACAGGAGACGTGCGACGAATTGATGGACATTTACGACGAGTGTCTATTGTGCTTGCCATGTGCCGATCTGGACGATTCGGTGGCAGACCGCTACAAGAAGGGGACACTCGACCCGCTGCTGCAGTATGCTGCACTGGCATGGACCGCACGACACGCTGCCATCTACCACGATCTGTTTCCTGGTCGCGACCCGAATCTTGTCGGCGAGCAGTTTTTTGATAAGGCCAAGGAATTGCTCAAGGAGCGGTTCACGACGACGGACATTGACACGATGCACGGCCTCATCATCATGTACGTGTACGCCATTGGACGACCGGACGAGCGCAGGAACTCGATGCAGTCCGAGGCGTACATCTATCTCGGGCTTGCGATTCGAATGTGTCTGAACATGAAAATGTTCCAAGAATCGACAAGCCCTGATCCCATCATGCGCGAGAAACACCGCCGGTTTTTCTGGGCTCTCTATTTCCTCGAAACGCTCTGCACAGTACACTCCGACAAGGCCTTCTCCTTGCCGCCCGAAGACCTCATTACTGTGTCATTCCCGACAGTCTTGCCCCATGAGGTCGGTGGTGAAAAGCAATGGCGCGTGCTCTTCACAAGCCAACGGTTCCGCATCACGCGCATCTACCGTAACATCATCTACAAGACGGCGCATGAAAAGCCGCTGCTTTCGTCCATCTCGACACTCGACAAGGATCTGGACGACTGGCTCGATCAGCTGGTGCCTGAATTCAAATACACGGCAGGCGATATCAACCGACGGGACTGGGCATCGTCGTCGTTTCGAGAGCAAGGCTGCATCAAACTGAATTCCGAGTACAACTTCCAACTGTGCCAGCTGTATAGCTTGTTTGCGTCGAAATCGGAACAGCGGCAGCCGTCTGCGATTGACCTGCTCACCAACGAACGATGCAAAGTTGCTGCTGACAATATCGTCGACTTGCTCGAATGCTTCTCTCGTTTAAAGCAACGGTGGTGCCACTTTTCGCTCGAGACAACAATGATCGCAACAATGGTGTACGGGTCGATGCTCTCCAGTCCGAACTCCGAATGGCCGAGACAGCAATTGCAGCGCATGCTCACCATTCTTTCCAATTCCCCTGTGCAACATCACAAGTACGTCTTTGCACTGACGAAGCGAATTGAAAAAATGCTTGCCGAACAACGACCAGACGATGATTTGGACCTGGACGAAGATGAGCAACAGCAACGCCAACAGGAGGAATTTCGGGACGAAGAAGAACAGCAGCAGCAGCAGGAGGACACAATCATTGAAAAAACTGACGAACGGATACCCGAACAACCTCCAGCTGCACCACCTCCACAACATCAGCAAGACCATCCGGCACAGGTTACACGGCAACCATCGCCATGTCAACAGCAACAGCCGCATCCACAACAGCAAGAAGAAATTTTACATAAAGTCGACATGCTGGACATGCCATCAGCCATTTTTGATTTGACCAAAGAGACGACGGTCGACCCACTCCAATTTTTATACACACCATCTGTGATGGGACTCTGTACTGCACCTCATCCGCATGCGTCCATGCTGATGGTCAGTACGCCGACGCCTCAACCGGCCGCCACGGTACCCAGTGCTGGCACAACCCCTACTGCCAATGGCGGCTTTGCAACACCAGCAACAACAACTACAGCATTTGGCAGTCCATCCACTCCCATGACATACTATTCATCCTCTGCATCCTCACCGCCGTATCATATGCCACCTCACCATCATCAACATCAACATCAACATCATCACCAACAACAACAACCTCCTCCAGCTCATCCTCATCCTCATCATCACCATCATCAACAACAGCAATGGCATCACAGCAGCACACCTTTTGGGAACTTTGCAGCCGATCAGCCATTACCGCAATATGTAAACATGGAAGGGATGCCTTTGCAGAATGCACAACCACAGCAAAACAGCAAAAAGCGAAGCAACACGGACGATTTTGGTTATTATCGATGATGAACAAACACAAAAAAGATTTTTGCTTTATTATTCTATTCTAATTCATACCTTATATATATATTATCACTACTGCTATGTACATTCATTCATTCCAAAGCAAGCAATCAATCAATCAATTCATCTTTTCCTTATTCTGACACTCACGTGCTCTCAACAGCAACAGCAACAGCATGAACCTGCTTTCTAATTATACTTACCCCGGATCTTACCATTTTTGTCTCGAGCACTTCTTTGACTGTTATCTTTTCTTGTGATCTATACATCTTCCCTCGAGCACCGTACTATTTTTACATACTACACCTCTCTGCTAGAAACAAATGGAGCTAGTTATTATCTGTGTACATAGATTATACAGAAGTTCGGGCCCCTCCCTTTCTCAAGATGCAAGAAAAAAGGTGGTGCTCTGAAATAATATTTCTTTTTGTTTTTTTCTTCTTTGGTTTGTTTTGGGATGATATGCTGACTTTTTTAAAGAGGGGGTTGCTGTTTTAGAGATAAGGTGGGGTAATATGGGCTAAATGTTTTAAGAGAATGATATCAATGGAATAGGGATGATAATACTGCGGGATCTTTTTTGGAGAGAAATGATATAATGCGATAGGGATAATAGCGGAGATTGTTGATTTGTAACAAAGGTATTTAGCGTTGCGGTGTGTAATATGGATGGGTGGCAGAGGATGTATGAGTGAGATTCGGGAATTTGTTGGGGGGGGAGGGTTTTGGGTGAGAGGAGGCTTTAGAGAGAAGTGGCCATGTTATCTCGATGGATGATGCAATCAGCATCCTTATAACCGAGCGAGTCAATGATATCGCTTTCTCTAGCATGCATAATGCGAACAATCTCGGCAGCCGAGTAGTTGACAATGCCCTTTGCGACTGTGACAAAGTCAGTGACTCCATTGTCGGTATGCTGGACCACGAGACGCACAGCCTGGTGCTCGACAAAGTTGCCTTCCACCTTGGCGACGGAATGGGCAAACAGAGAAGCACCACTTGAACCAGAACGAGCGGCACCGTCAGCAATGGTTTCGGCAACATCGGTTTCGATCACAATTGTGCCTGCAGTATGCAGACCGTGCAGGATCCACCACTTGCGGTCAATCAATGGCTGGGGTCTGGCCACAAAGCGGGTGTGTTTCGGAGCGCTCTTGTCGTCGGCAATGATAGGTAAGATGGATTCAGGAGTGGAGCCGCGAGCAATGACGGTTGTGACGCCGGCTGCAGTAGCCAAGTCAGCCGCTACGAGCTTGGTGACCATGCCGCCTGTGCCCAATGCAGAGCCAGGCGTGGTGACAGTAATTTCTTCCCGCAGGGCTTCGATGTCGTCGCATACATAGACAGGTCGTGCATCGGGGTTACTCCGTGGGTTGTCTGTGTACAGACAGTCGACATCCGTCATAAGGAACAGGTAGTCAGCCTTGACCATGCCGGCTGTGATGGCAGACAGTGTGTCATTGTCACCAAATTTGATTTCCTAGTAGCAGTCATATAATAAAGATGGAGTCATGAGTAACTTGTTGAAAAGCATGTGCTTTGTCTCTCGATAATCCTATAATGTTGCAGTGCATGTGCTTACAGAGACGGAAATGGTATCGTTTTCATTGACAATCGGGACAACACCCATATCGAGAAGTTGCTCAAGGCAATTGACGGCATTGAGATATTGTGATCGCTATTAGAATAATGCGAGTTAGGAAAACAGTCAGATCTGACGAGTCTAACAGTGCAGCGCACACACTACGAATGACATGGGGGAGAGAGAGAGAGAGAGAGAGAAACTTACATCAGCCAAGTCATTTCGGGTCAACAGGATCTGGGCTACAGGCTGGTTGAATTGGCCAAATAGATCATCGTACATGCTCATAAGACGGCCCTGACCAACAGCTGCAATGGCCTATATATACACACATACAAGAGTCAGTAACCAAAAAAAAAAGTTTCGGGTGTTGGGTATGTATAGCTCCAGATGCTATGAATGTTCCTCACATGCTTTACCTGAACAGCCGCAAGCTTCTTTGGTTTTTCGTTGAGGTTTAACCGCCGGAGACCTGTGCCTACGGCTGCACTGGTGACAAGGACAATGCGATGGCCTTTGCGCTTGAGCTCCAGGATGGTCTCGACAATCCTTGATAGGTTTCCGAGCAATGGATAGTGGGTCTTTTCATCACAAATGGAGGATGTGCCAACTTTGATAACCAGAGTCAATGATGACTTGGTGGGACGGTGTGTATTCTGTGCATTTCGGTAGACGACCATTGTTGTGTATGTGGTGGTAGTAGTAGTAGTAATACGTGCTTTAGTACGCTAGGATAGTAATAGTAGGAGGAACTTTTTTTTTTGTAAAGAAGAAGAGAAATGTGTTTTTAAGATGCTTGTTACAGCCTTTTGAATTGATTGGAGGAAAAGGCGCGAAAAGATCAGTCTTTTTATACCCAAAAGATGGAGAAGGGACGAGAGAGGGGGTGGATCTGAGCACTGATCCTTTTTTGACTTGCGGAGTTATTTCCTAGTTGGGTAAATGCCTCTCTCTCTCTTTTCTTGGTACAGACTCACAACATCGCATCATCATCGTCATCATCATCATCAACAACAACAGAAGCAGCATCCTACTTGGAAGAAGGTCATCTTTGCGGCTCCTGCTGCTTTCTTACGTAGAGTTGCATTATCGAGTATGTAAACACGGTGCTAATCAAAACCTGTGTAGGGTATGGTTCGAGACTTTCTTATAAGCTGTCTGTACGCCGTCTGATACACCCCCAACTCGCTCTTGGCTTCTTTGCTTGCACTTTGTAATTCGATCTTACAGTTGATAACGATTAAAGATAATAAGGGTGGTGGTGGGGGGTGTGTGTGTGTGTGTGATGGGATGGTGATGTGAGAGCAGAGGCAGAGGGGGTCCCACGTCAAGCCATGATCCGCATATGGAATGGTTGGGCCCTAGCTAATAATCCCCCCACCCCCACTCCCCCTTTTATTTTTTTCTCTTTCTCATGCCGTCATCCTGCCTGAACAGAGCACACCGGCTAGACCAAAAGCAGCATTTTCTGCTCGTCGGCTAGAGCATGTGAACCGGCTTTTTAATTCTGGGTTCAGAAAAAAAGACCCCCCTCCGTGCCGTCGGGCCGGACAAAACGCGTATTTAACATTTAAAACAGGGTGATCAACGCTGGGCTGACCCCGTGGGTTGCCTTGATTATCAACATTTCTTCACACAACAGCCAAACATTCAATGTACACACGCCATAGCCGCTAATGCATTGCGTTTATTAAGTGCCAGCTCTCTCTTTAAGGCGTTCACCATGGAATCGAGAGCGCGTGCGCACCTTATCCTTTTGGGTCCCCGCGCATTGGGATGTGTGAATGAAGGGCTCTCTCTCTCTCTCTCTGTGTGTGTGTGTGTGTGTGTCTCCACACTTTATTACACATAGCATTTATTGCATTCATAAAGCAGTCCCCACACCTCAGCCCCTCCCCCCCCGAAATTATTATGATTTGAGATTTTGTCTGCCTATGAGAACACTCTATTTTATCATTTCCAAATTATCAGTGAGAGAGGAGAGAGAGAGAGAGAGAGACAGAGGAAGGGGACAGAGAAGAAAGGGCAAGGGGGAAATGACGTTTTCCGGTCATCTGATTCGCTTGCTTTATCAGTCCAAGATCAGTAGAAAAAGTTCCCCATTTACTTTCTTTCTTTTTGAATATGTGCGAGTCTGTGTGTGATATGATATGATGTGGTATAACCAAGCTACTGCTGCTGCTGCTGCTGCTACTGATCACTGTTTATGTGTGGGTGCTAGACGAAGAATGAGCGTGTCTGTGGTATATTTTTTTGCGTCATTTAAAATGGGATATACTTTCATTGCTCGCACTGACCATGACGATGATGTCCGTGACCATGGCAACGATGCTGTTGAACCAGCACCAGCTCCACCATGTCCATGATTTTACCACACAGAAACGCATAGGCCTCTTTCTGTCCCTCTTGATACCGCATGCCTACGCTCCGAAGACCATGCGTTGTTGCGTTGCTGACGCCCACAATGAATGTGACTTCACGACATTCCTCCAGGCTACCATACACCGTTCCCGGATCATTGGCACGTCGAACACAAGCTATTTGGCTTCCATCTTGGCGGATAAGGATTCCCAGGACCGTCAGAACACGCAACACTAACATAAGCAGCTGATGGTCGCTGATTTTTGAAAACACTAATAACGATTCCAGGTGCTCCCGAGTACATGATACTGCTGCTGCTGCTGCAGGAACGAATACATGATATAAACAGGTTAGTAAAGATAAAACTTTTCTCTTCTCTCATTTCTCCCCTTTCCCTCCTTGATTAAAAGAATGCTCCCCCAAATAACTGCTATTAACTAACTAACTAACTAACTACTACCATCCATGTACTCGATCCATCAGCAGCAGAAGCCACCCACCCCCCACCACCAATATGTAGTATCATTGCCCAACAAAAACTTCGACTCTCTCTCCTTGGCCTACTCACATTGACTGCTCTCCCTATTCTTTCGTTTTCGATCGCCACGTCGCATCGTCAGTGACCAGGTGAATCGTCGCCGCTGCTTGCCATCATCGGTATCCGAGGTAAAGCTGTTGCTGCTGTCGCTGCTGCTGCTGCTGACATGACTACTGTGACGAGCAGTGTCGTCTCCTTTTCTTTTTCTGCTGAGGTAAAACAGTCGAAAGAAACGCTGCCGTTTGCTCAGTTGAAGCTTGGGTATATTGTCATGCTGCTTACTATCATCGGGTGCACCCGCTAGTGGCGGTGTAGGACTACACTGTGGCAGTCTTGGCAAGGATGCTGTATACCGGTTGTCCACAGCCAAATCCGCTCGCAGCATCTCCATGGCTTCCGTCTCCAAACGCTGCACATTCTTGGACAGCAGGGTCCGTTGACTGGCCAACCAAGGATGGGCCAAAATCGTTTCCATTTTACACCGGTCCTCCGGGTTTGGATTCAACATTTGGCGCATCAGGTCCCGTGCGTCTTGGCTGACCCGTGGCGGAAATACGAGCTGCGTCTCGAGCATGTCCTTGTGCAAAAGACTCATGTTGTGATGATCATCAAAGGGTAAAAACCCGCAGAGCATGGCATACAGCACGACGCCGCACGACCAAATGTCCACCGCGGGCCCTACGTATTCTGCTCCGACCAAAAGCTCCGGAGCGGCATAACATGGAGATCCACAGCAGGTCGACAACAAGTCGTCTTGGCCCGTGCAATTGTTTGCGAATCCGAAATCGGTAATGACAATATGACGTTGGTCGTCAAGTAAAAGGACGTTTTCCTATTTTTGGAGACAAAGCGGAGTTTGGGTTACTTTGGGTTAGTCTACTCGTTTTATATTTTTGTTATGCAACATGCACACACACACACTCTCTCTCTCTCTTCCTAAAATAAAAAACCAGCCCTCCAAGATGAGCTATTTTTGTGCAGTGTGCTGTTTTATTGTGTATTTAACATTACCAGCTTCAGGTCACGATGCACCACACCTTTCTGATGCATATAGTGGACACTGCTGATGAGCTGTCCAAAGAACTCTTGTGCAACGTCCTCACGGAGATAATCTCGATTAAAGATGTACTCGAACAGCTCTCCACCTTGTCAACGAGAGTAATTTAGTATCATCATCATCGTGACGAAGCTTAAATTTTGTTGTTGTAAAATAAACTGTACCTGAAGCGTATTCCATCACCATACCAATATGGCGCTCAGTCTCAATGACGTCAAAGAGCTTAATGATCGATGGGTGTGACAGTCGCTGAATAACAGAATAGAGTGTGTGTGAGTCAATGTGTGTGTGAGAGTTAACTATGCAACGAAAAGCTCGGTAAAGCAAGCTAAACACAACGCAACTGCGCGCATCAAAAAAGACACAGTGCGGAGTTCAAAGCATGGGTACTGTGGCGTGTACGGTACTACCTTCAAGAGCGCAATTTCTCGCTCGACTTTGTCGCGTATGTTTGACCTTTCGATATACCTCTTGTCAATCATTTTGACAGCCATCTACACATGTAAGCGTTCAAGCGTGTAAGAATCTTATGCTTATGTACCCAGACAGTCATTCGGGGCAATGCACGTATCCCAGGTTCAGTCGTACCTTTTGGCCAGTGTTGACATGCTGGGCAAGTTTGACCTTGCCAAACTCGCCTTTGCCCAGCGTTTCCAAAAGTTTATACGGACCAATCGCGTGCGTCTGTTTGAAATTTCTTTCTGCTTCAACGCTCACAATACTGGCTGTGTCTGTTTCTGGCTGCGCTACCATTGGAGGAGACATATGAACAAAAAGAAACAAAAATAAATTAAGGGGAGGGGGTTTGAGGGCAAAGTGGCAATAAGAAGCACTAGGAAAGAAAGGAAAAGCAGTAGTATCAAATAAAACAAGAAAAAGTGGAAAAAGGAAAAGAGAGTGGTTGTTGTTGTTGTTGTTGCTGCTGCTGCTTCTGCTTCTGCTTCTGCTGCCTGTTGTTGTTGTTGTTGTTGTTGTTGTTGTTGCTGCCGTGGCCATGGCTACACAGGCAATAATTACGGATCAAATCCGAAACGGGGCTGCGGGTTTATGCTGATCCTCTCCGGCACAGCACAGTGTTATCCCAACAACAAACAACAAACAGCAAACTCTCCCTGTCGTCGCCTATGCTCCTCCTCCTCCTCCTCCCTGTTTTCGCTTCCCTTTGTTTAATCATCTTATGGTCTACTATACCATACTTACAACAGAAGAGACTTTGAGCAACAAGGTGGAAAAGTAAGCCTCTTTCTTTAGTGAGGTCGGAGTGGGACTTCCCGGCTGCCCTTGAATGAGGGAAAGCTCGTTCTTGCATTCCATGTGATCCTTGCCTTGTCGGTCGGGGCACACACGATCGGTTTTATAAGAGGAACAAGCAAGCCAGGAGCTGGTGTGTGTCGGACGATCCCTTGAAGCATTGACACAATTTATACGAAAGGGGAAGCCCTCTCTTTAGAACACTCCCAATAAATAGCAATCATTACCACTTAATAAGATCATCAGCGCCAATAGCAACAGCCCAGCCTTCTTTTTTCGCTATTAGCAATTAGAGCTTTCGTGGGGATAGTATATAACAATAATATAATCGTGTATACGATGGGCGCTACTGCTGTTGTAGTCAACGTGATATGTGCATCTGCATGTAGTGAGGTGTGGGTGAAATTCGTTCCAAAATAGAAATTAGCTTGCAGCTACGAACGGGGGCGCCCTTTCATGCTGGTTCGTGCGCGAATGGTATACGTTTTTCCCTCTTTCTAACTATCGCTGTCGTACTCTTGTCTACCGGCAAGCTTGCTCTAGTGATAGTCACTCTATATATACTATATCCTATATGTTGCAGTGCACACTAGATCTTTTTATCCCGTCTGTACACACGCATTTTCAAGTGCGTTTTCTACATCACAATGATTTGTAAAGAGAGAGAGAGAGAGAGAGAGAGAGAGAGAACTCACTAGACCTAAACATGGCAAGTCATTATACTGCAGCAATCATTTAAGAAGTTTTGACAGAGATGATCATGCTTGTCGTTGTTGTCATCGAACTCGCTCCATCACAGACAGGTGTTTCTTATCTGATTGTCTATTCTCACTGTATCTGGTTTTTGTTTAGATGGTCCGTGTCAATTTAAAACCTCTCGCTCTCCTTCCTTGATCTTAAACACGATATACAGCCAATTCACGGGTCGACCCATTCAATTGTTTATAAAAATCGCGTCACAGGTCCCGAAGAAGGCCAGCAGTTCAAAGCTACCAAGGAGTATCTCCATTAAAACGCAGTATGGCAATCCAAGACTATCGTACCAGTTTCATTTTGTACTATACAGACGAGAAAGACGGTGTTGTTTGTTGCACTGGGATTGCTCCTATATATATACTGGTTTTTTCCAAATTAGATTCTGCGTTGTCTAGGGAACAAATTTGCGCCGTTGCTTGTCTATTTTCGTTGTGACATCCGTCTCTTATTTTCTTCTTTTATCCGTCTTGTTTATTTGTTGTTAATAACAACAACTATGAACAACCGACAAGTTACTACCCTTGACGACATTCGCTACGCTTTCTCTCACTCGACTGTACGTGGAGTTCTTGCACTCATTCCTAATGAAATCGTGTGCGTTCCTGCTGCTCGATGGCAGATCTTCAAGGATCGCATCTCGGAATTGTGTGGCTACAAATGGGTTCACAAACGCGAGATTGTGCATGGCATCAGACGTTCTGCCACGCAATATCAATAATTACAATAACCATCCTTCGCACTTGTATAACTCTTGTGGAACCTTCTTTGTTGTCTTTCTTATATAACGGTCATCATACTTTATTTTCATCCAATCCACAGCAACACAAAAGGAAAGAAACCCGTAATGACATGCTCTTTTTTTTTTAGGACACCACACAAGAGAGAGAGAGGTACTCGCATCCAAAGAGAACTAGGGCAGAGAATGAATCATTAATAACTGCTTCATATTCAACGGGGTTGTATCATACAGTATGATGATGCCATGCCCAAGGTTACCTGTTCCGTTTCATGGAAGACATACTAGCATTCTAACGCTTGGCGGTTGCCTTAATGCCGATTCTCCAGTTATGCCTACGTAAAACACGCCGATACAGTATGAGCATTCGAGGTGAGATCGGCAGCAGCATACGAGCAACCGGTACTGTGCGAATTAAAATCGACTAACAGGGCTAGCGCAACCATTTCGGGTAGCCTTTCTGAGCATGCTCAAACGGTCGTAGGTTCGACCTCTCACTGCTGTCTGGTAAAAACTTCTTGCCTATGAAGAACAATGATCTCGCAGAATCCCCAGTGACAAATTGGATAGCCAACGCTTATGATAGATTTACCCATAGAAGCACACCGATGTGCCTTAGTTTTTCAACCAGGTTTCAGATTGTGTGTTTAACGTAATTGTCAGTTTTGATATTGTACATATACTAATAAAAAAAGACTTGTATTGTGGTAAAGTTATTCTTGGTAGTTAAAGGTTACGAATGAGAGAATCCCTTACAAACAAACTCAATGTTTCTCACAAAATCTTGCAGTTGACATGCACTTGGAAGAGCTTTATCCGAAGGCTGGATCATACACGGGCACTTGAATTAGTGTTACGGGCATGCGTCATAAAGTGAGCCGGAAGCGACGACAAAACAAGACAAGCCAAAGACAGAGGAGAGATGAATCTAGGTCAAGGCAAGAAGAATATCGGAAGGTCAAGGAGACCAGATGATGAGAAAGGAACAAGGAACAAGTCGAGTGATTACATTTATATTTATGAAGGTTGATAAGTTGGGTGATGATTGACGATAAAGATGTTGAGGGATTGAGTAGAGGTCAACGAATAGTCATGACAGGAAGGGCCTCTATTGGGGTTAAAGCGATGCAAGCGAAATTTGAAAATTGACCCACAAGTCGCTTCAATAGCGGACGTTGCCCATAAATTGTGCCATTCGCTGCGAAAAAAAAGTTTCTCAACGAATTGGATGCGGTGAATAAAGCCAGCAGTGGTATTCCAGCTGTGTCGGGGGCCTTCGAGCTATCGCCGGGTTGACATCGTGCTTCTACTTTTCGAAGTAGGAGTGGGGAGCTGAAAGTTCTACAAAAGAATGATCAGTTTCTTTTCCCATTCGTTCCCCACTTTTTACACAAAAAAAAGAAAATGACAATAATATAACATCTGGAGCAAGTCCAGCTTTTACTCGCTAAATTTTCCCCAATTATTTTTTTTTGGGCGAGTCCAACTTTTGCAAGCGGACCAGCTTTTGCTAGCGGACTCACATACAATCTTAGCGAGTCTATCAGAGTCTGTCAACTTTGACAAACAATTGTCAGCAGTGCCAGCAACATCTACGCAGTTATCCTTCCTGCTATCTACAGCTCATTTATCCATAAAGACCGGCGATGTTAACGTTGGTATATGCAAAAGGAAAAGAGTAATCGCGTCAGGCTGTATATTTTGCAAGTCAATGGCGGATCAGCGTCAAGTTGTATATGATTGTGTTTGAGTAATGGAGAAGAAGATTGTTACGTCGTTCTTGTTGTGAATACGAATGGTTTGTGCAGGTAAAGGACGATGTTGTATTACGCACGTAAGTTTGACGTTGGAATGGTACAAGATGGTGCATAAGTATATACATAGAAAAAGAGAAAGAAGCAGTAATTCTGAATGGGCATATCTCCACTAAAGCTATACCTCAAGCACAACCGATAACCTTTTCCTTCCCTTGTTCACTTATCCAGCGTTTTTTTAAGCAGCAGTAACGGCGGTCTACTCCTTTATAAATCTTGAGCACATGCTTTTTTTTAAGAAAACAGTTACCTTCATTTCGTTTTTCAATAAATCCGTGGATTGTGCCGTTTTGTTTTCTTTGTTTTTTATTCATCGTGAAGAGAGTAGGAGCCATTTACAAGTGTGCGTCGAAGCTGTTGATTTGCCATGACGAATGGTAATGAGAAAAAAAAGGATCTTTGGTTGTTGTTTTTTTCCTCCCTGCTGCTGCTAACAAACCCCACACTTTCCACCTACCTCTGCCACCAGCCTCCAATTTGTTTCAAACTCAACCCGGGTAAAGTGAAATGAGGGGAAACGCTCAGGCCCTGTTCCCACAGCAGCAAAATAGGCTTATGCGCACAGTGAGTCTCTGACGCACCCTTGCCATTTCCTGTACATTAGCCTACAAGCTTCTTGTCACGAGTGAAACAGCCATACAACTATATCTTGATATTGGCTTTGTACTGCTTAACTTCTATTATGTCTTGACTTGAATTGAAAATCTTAAGTACTCATATATTCTGCTCTGCTACACTTAATATATTATCTACTTCAACTTTTATTATGTCTTAGTTGACTAAAACTATGTCCAGGTTGACTGTTATTATGTCCAGGTTGTCTATTATTCATGCTTAGATTGATTATTATTCTTGTCAGAATGATTTTCATTCAAGTACAGATTAATTTTTACTCATGTCCAGATTGATTTTACTCATGTCCAGATTCGATTTATATTCATGTCCAGGTCGAAGTATATTCATGTCCAGATCGATCTTTATTCATGTCCAGCTCGATTTTCATTCATGTCCAGATCAATTATTATTCATGTCCAGATTAACTTTCATTCATGTCCATTCAGATTAACATTCATGTCCACTCTGCCTAAAATTAAATCCCTTCTGCCTAAATAAAAGTTCAAACGTCCGCTAGGAGATGAAAAATCCTGTATTGATAAAAAACAAATTCTTCTTCATGTCATATTTTTTTTTAAAAAAAAAAGATTATATATTCATAATAGCAACAATAATAATATTAAAGATAAACAAAGTTGTATTAAAGAATCAGAATTAAAAAAATAATGAAGAATTAGAAACAATAATAAAAAAAACACAGGAAAATAAATTATAAGTTTGTAATATCCAATAAACCAAAAGAGACAGAATAAGTTAATGAGACCCGGAAGGAATTGAAACTGGTTTATTATGATAACAGAAGTTCTCACTATTCATAAGAAATATCTTATCCTTGGCAACTACTACAGCATCATGTGCATTGAATGGATGAGTTGATGTTATAAATCAATCATATAGGATTAAGTAATGTATGATGCGTGAGTAAAAGGAGGTACATCCAGGTAAATGCCTCAGATAGTAGCTAATGTGAATTATGTGATCCAAATAATGACAACTTCTTCCTGAGCATAGCTGATCAGTGTTTCACCAAGATGTGTATGAAATAAAGAACTGTCCGCACAAGTGAGGTTATGAGGGAGATAACAGCAATCGTTAATGACTGATTAAAGAATATGTGTTATTGATCATGTTGGATACAACAAAGTTTGTTGAAGATAAAAAAGAAATTAGTATCAACTTCATGTTTTGGATTTCATTAGTTATTTTAGATGTCGAGATTTTTAAATACAGAGGACATTCTATTTGTCAGTATTCAAACCCCATTTGTATTCTCCATGTCATCTGGATGAAAAAATAAGACAGATGGAGAAATAAGACAGATGGAAGACAAAACAAGACAGATAAAAGGAGAAAATAAGACAGATGGAAGAGATAATAAGACGGATAGAAGAAAAAAAAAGATGGATGTCACAACGAAAATAGACAAGCTACGCAAATTCACTGGCGCAAATTTGTTCCCCAGACAACGCAGAATCTTTCATGTGGTGACGCAAAAAACCAGTACATATATGCAGCAGCTTTATTAAAAGACTTGACAACAGAGCATCAATCACTAGGTAGCTGTATCTTATTACATAGCAACAGCTTTGTAGTTTTCTCTTTTGAATGGACCCTTTTGACAACGGCACACTCGTTGCTGCATTACAAAGAAAAACCCACGGTAGATAGTAAGTAGTGAATAAAAAGATATTGATGGATGGCATAACGAAGGTAGTATTGTGCTACATGATCCCGTGTTTCAAGATTATATTCTGGACCGCATTGACATGGCGACACACCCGCTCATTTTGTAACATGCATCAAATACAGGAGAATAGCCAGCAGTATAGCAGCCAACAAGCGGCGATGGCTGACTCGAAAGAAACGAAAAGTAACATTGCACCCCCGAAGGAACGGTAGTACCAGTGCATTTTTCATGGTCCCCTCCGGGGTATATACACTTTTTTGAGCAGAATGCGACTGTATCTTCCAAGCATCGACTGTATAGAATGGATCAAACATCTTCCCCGCGGGTTTTTCTTTTAGTCGGATCCCTGTATGTATGAAAGATGGAAATATAATGGTCATGCCAGCCGATTTATTTATGACAGTGTCGTTGTTGGAAGGCGAGGGGCGCCTTATCAATAATGGAACGATCTATTTAATGACCCAATTATATGCTCATAAACCGAAGACCCTTATTCGCCAATTGCTATGGACTGGACACGCAAAGTTACCAAAACCGTGCGAATGTTTATACACGTGTTTTGAGTGTTTGCGGATCTGCTGTAAATAACGTTGCAGAGCTTCTTTTGTGAGCTTGAGATATAAATAAAGACAGACAGACAGACGAGCGTAATATGTTATGGTAGTATATAAGAAGAACAGCAAGAAAAGATTATATATATATTTATACGTTGTTGTTGGTTGTTGGTTGTGTTTGTGTGCTATATGAAATGTGTGGTAGTGATAGTAGTAATTGGTGAGTGTGCGGGGTGGGTGTCTGTAAAGGGGGGAAAATGTAAAAAGCGTAAAATACAAAAGAACTCTTCATCGTCGTTATCACAGAATGCCATGCAGGATATCAAGGGCCTTATCTGCCCGCTTCACAAGCATTTCGTCTTCTTCAACATCCGTATCATACAACAGAGCCGATACTCTGTCCCCATCTTCGTCGCTTTCAATATCAGAGCAATCGCACGCCGAATCGACTTCATCTGGCTGTCGCGCCACAAACCGGCTCAGACGGCTCAAGCGAGCAATCATCTGGTTGGTCTGAAGGCCCTCCAACAATGGCCGCTTGATCATCCGTCGCAAATGGATGGTGGACAAGGTCACTTGCTCGCGAATCTCTCGAATGTTTTCGTTGCTTGGCGTTTGTTTCCATGCGGTGATCCAAGCCTCAAGACCAATGACGGCAACAGCAAACTCGGCCAATGCCATGACGACACTCTCGAGATGATGGGGTGCGGAGGAAGTTTGCTTGTGGCCTGCTGCCTTGAGTTTCTTGACAACCAGCTGGATATTCTCGGCCATTTGCAGCTGCTCGACGCCCGCAGCTTGCTCGCCACGCTTGATGAGCGTGGCGCCAGAGAGGACATGGACCAGATGCTTCTTGACATGCTCGTCGAGTTCGTTCATCTTGTTCTTGTAAGCGACAATGTCTTGGCCGTTGCCGTTGCCGACCATGAGCGCACGGGGTACCCGCTTCACAACGGTGGCCATCCAGCTCTCGGCTGCCTTGACGTCATTCTTCCACAGGGTTTCAACGGTCATGCCTACAGCAGCCAGCCAGTGCGCCAGACGCTGGTGATCGTCATCTGCTTGTGTGACCGACAGGATGGATTCAAACAAGTACGTTTCGCTACCCAAATCCGAGGACGAGGAGGATGCAACCTCGTCACCATTGGATGCGGGCGCGGGGGAGGTGTCACACACGTGTCCGATGAGGCGACCGAATTGCGTTTGAAGGCTGTCAAGAAGGTGGAGCGTCGACAAAATGGCCACGGGAACCAGCACGGGTGCAGTGAGCGACAACGAGAGGTTGGTGTGTCCTTGGCCCACTTGGTAGCGGATCACTTGCAACGTTTCGTCCCACGCTTGCGACTGCAAGATGTCTTCAACGTTTTCCTCTTGTTGCTGGATCATCGAGACCAGCGAGCGCATGTAGCCGTCGTCGCTGTTGTTGGGGTTGCGCATGTCGGCACTGGTTTCGTATACTGCCAGACGCCAAAAGTATCGTGAGAGTCTGCTGGCAAGAGGAAGGTTGCGTAGGATGGCAGTCATTTCGATTGCTGCGGTGGCGTAGACCCGTGCTCTCATCTGCTGCAAGTATTCGTGTTCTTCGTCATCGAGTACTTCGACCAAGTTGATCATGCGTAGGCACGAATGCAGCATAGTCCAGCGTGTGATCTCGGGATTGCCTGATAGAGTTTATCGTTCAATCATCGTCTCTCTCTTTCTTTCGTTGTATTCAAATTTACCTCCTAAGCATTCAATCTCGTTGAGTTTGATCCATCGGCAAACTTGTTCCCACTCGTCCTCAGGTACGAGTTGATCGTCTTCGTCGTATAAAATCTCGTAGCCGAATGCTTGGCGTGAGATCAGACGAGCTCCTTCTTTGGCCGTTTGGAAAAGATAGCCGAGAGAGGTGCGTGGTGGGCCGTCTTCGTTCATTTCGAGTGATCGAGCAATGATGTCGTAGATGCGAAAACACTTCTGGTCGCCAGGAGTGATTGATCCAATGGCTGATGATACTGCTGCAGTCGACGTCTGGATTCGCTTTCGTGTTGCTACTCGTTTTGCGCGGGGAACTCGTTTGACGTTCAGCGAAAATCGGCCAAACACCCACGATCGCATGTATGGGAACAACAAGTGACCAATGAACAGAACAAATACAACGGTTCGCAAGAAGGTCCTATAGCGAAGATCATGATAAGTGTTCCTGTTCTTTTTATATTTTACAACGCTGATAATATGCTTACCATGCATTATCAAATGGAAACAGTGAGCTAATGAAGGAAGCAGCAGCCGATGGCTCTGTGGAGTTGCTATCCGCTACAGTCTCACCAACACTGGCAGCACGTGAAGCGTGGTGATGGTTCTGGAACTGCTCCGAGCTCGAAGGGCCAGCCGTAAGCGGAGATGACGAGAAGAACGTGAGACAAGCGAAAATAGCCATGAAGACACGGTTGCCCACGGGTGGCGGTGTAGCTGGATCTGAGCCTGCGGAAGAAGCTGTTTCGTATTCCTCGGACACAGGTACCGTCTTTGTTCGTTTGCGACCGGGCTTCCGTTGCTGTTGCTGCTGCTTGGCGAGCTGCTGTTGCTCAAAGAGCCGCTGTCGTTGCATCTCCTGCTCCCGCTGTACTTTTTGCATTCTATATCGTCCGAGCACTTCTTGGCCGCCGGGCAGCTGTGTCAGCAAATGCTGTAGCACTGCGTTCTCTTGCCGCATGTCGTCCCCCGTCTTTTTCAGATGTGTAATGTATTCGGTGGCTTTGCGTAGGATGGTTGCTTTGTTGAGCTTGGTTGCAACCGCAACGCCGTCCAGGTATTCTTCACAGTCTTCGCCTTCGTCGTCCTCGTCGTCCATGGTACGGTGCGAGCGTTTGCCTGTGCGAGAGTCTTTGAGCTTGGCATGCAACAATGCAGGAACAGCGTCCTTGAGTTCGGCGATACGGTCGTTGATGTTGTTCCGGTACCTCCGTTCAATGGCATTGTGCGCGGTCTTTTTCTGCTGGCGTCCGCCAGTGCCGGTTATAAGTCCGCCATTGGTCTGCTGGGCGACGGCAGAAGCAGCGGGTGGTTTCAGGCGTTGGATGGGTACCTTGTTGCCTAAGCAGACAAAAAGAATTTTATGATTATGTTAGGCACCCACCTTTGCATGATTTTTTTTTCCTAGCAAAGAGGAGCCCCAAAAATAGAACAATGAAGGGGGAGATTGAAGAGAAAGAAAGAGCGATAAACAAACCTTGAGGTTCCGGGAATCCGCTGTTGTTCCATGGCGATGCAGGTGCTGCAGCTGCAGGAGGAGGCGAAGCGTCCGCAGATGGAGGAGTGGCTATTGATGAAGCTGCTGTTGGAGGCTGTTGTTGTTGTTGTTGTTGTTGTTGAGGTAATGATTGAGGGAGCTGTGATGGTAATGGCTGGTCTATCACTGATGCATGTGCGGAAGGGGACATTGTAGTAGTGGTGGTTATTGCTGTGAGTGGGGCAGCGGTGGGAGGAAGTGAATCAATAAAGTTGAGTTGTTCTAATTGACTCTTTGACTCGCTAGCGGGTGAGCACGCAATGTTTTCTGGACTTGGGTATTCTGTTTTCAACAGAGCTTCCACTGGTTCTGCTGCTGCTCCTCCACCAGCAGCCCACTGTGACGGTACAACGGGTGTGGCGTCGAACGAAACAAGTGGTGGTGAGATCGGCATGGAGCTGTTGATCGTTTTGTTAGGCATGGCATTGCCAAACAGTGCTGTGTTGTAAATGACGCTGCTGTCAATAAACGACTGAGGTATATTTAAAGCAGCAGGTTCTTGCTGTTGTTGTGGATGTGGGGGCTGTTGTTGTTGGTGCTGTTGTTGGTGCTGTTGTTGTTGTTGTTGTTGTTGTGGAGGCGAAGACGTCGTCGTGGGTGGAGAGATAGGGCCGTTGTAGAAGACTTCAGGAACTACCTGAGGCAGGAACATATCAAAGTCTTGCCAGCCGCCTTGTTGAAGTGCGGCTTGGGCCTGCTGCTGTAAGTCGAGGTCGAACTGTGACAGTGTAGGGTAGTTGGCATTGTTAAAGAGAGTGGGATCGTCGTCGTCATAGATCCCGAATGCTTCCATTGTTGAGGGGGCGTGCGTTATGACCGTGTGCAGGTAAGTTGGTTAAAGAAGAAAAACAAAAGAGAGAGAGGGGGGGGGGGAGGGGGGCGAGTGAGAGACAAATGCAAAGGTCGACAGCACCAGCTTCGTGCGGACTTTTTTTTCTTTGGCATGGTACACCGCACACATTATAACACAGGCACATTACTTGTTCTGCTCCCCTTCTTTCTCCATTTGTGTGCGTGAAAAATTGTGGCGTGATGTCGGAATTCAGTCTCCGTCAAGAAGTTAATGTTGAGTCAATCCACAATGGAGAATGCCCGTGCATCCAAAAAGCCCCTTGACCGGATCATCATCGTTGTTCCTCTTAAAATTTTGTATATTAACAATGCAAGCAAGGCCGGCAAGTATGCTGTATTAGGGAGCAACACATCCTTACTGGCTGAGCATGCACATCGGAGCAATGCGGAAAAGCTTTCTCCTCAACCCTACTACGTTTACGCATTCTTATTCCAGTAGCAACTGCTGCTGCCTTCTTACTCAAATGTCACAGTCTTCATGCCGGGGTCTTGGAGTTTAGGCAATTGGTTTTGGCGACGGCGCTTCTGTCATTTTGTTTACAAAACTTTTTTTTTTTTTGCGCCCCAATGTACCACTGTTGCACTTGCGCACGCGCAAGCAATCAAAGAGGATATATATATAAACGAGTCGAGTATCGAGGTTGCACGGTTTTCCCATATATCAGTACATAGTAGAAGTGACGATCGTGGGATTTTGTATACGTAGTATAATATCTGTTTGTGTGTTCCCTTCTCCTACAAGCAAGAAGAAAATAAAATCCAACTTGTCGTGGTCGGTATAATAAGATTCATGTGACTCGTCCATTTGCCAGCTGCAAGTAAATGCCTGCTCGAACCCGAGTTATTAAGAGCCATAGACATTACAAAGAACGGTAGTATTGGCTGATGTTATTGACGAACAAAAACAGCTCCATTCTAGCTTTTTTCTCTTATTTTCCTGGACGTATTTACAAAGTCGTCGTCAGTGTCGTTGTTCACGAAAACTTTTTTGCTTGTCCTGCCTAGCACAAGTCAGGGTCGTGTTGCCATATTGAGCGACCATTGTAACAACAATAGTAGCATGATCTCTGTTCCTTTTTACCCCCGAAAGGAGAGGTCCACCAGCTTTTGTAGCTACAATTACATAAAATCGACTCTTCGTTGTAACCCGACTGCTGCTAACAGTTTGCTTCGATCCGATAAGGCCTCTCCTACTACCACGAGTTCCTGGTCATTAAGACAACAAGATTCTTTTTCTTCTATTGACTTCCACTTATCATCATCAGGATGATTGTAATACTATCCAGTAGCCTGCTGCCCCAGTTCAAGGGGTTTTTTTTGTTACACATCTTGAAAAAACCTTCATCGATGTGCCATCTACTCGCACTTGAATATGTTGGTGACCCGGGCAGTAATAACGCCCTACCTACTTGAGTGTGCCCGGTGTAAAAAAGAAAGATTTACTAGCGTCTTTATTGGAAGATGTCAAAAGCTCCAACTACAGCACTTTTTGTTCAGGTACTAGCAGCATGATATGAAATAGCAGCGCAAACTGTATCTATTTTGAAAACGATGAAATGATTAAATTAAAAAAAGCTGCGATGCTAGACTCATCGACTCAGCATCTACTATAAAAAACACCCTCCACCATATGCTTCTGTCGCCCACCCCTACCATGTACGGGCAAAGGGCCGCAGTTTGTTAATAAGAGCCGCGGATACGTATATGGAAATATGGAGAACATTTGCTTGTTACATGTGTACTACTACTATCTACCAGGAAGAGATGCTTTACAAGCTCGTCATAAGTGCGCGTATCTATGCACTACATACGTACGGCGATTCACCACATTCTTTTTTTCTCTGAGTATGAGAGGCACCATGATGCTGTATCACAGCTTATTTCTTTATTAGTTTCTGGTTACAGGAAGCAGCATATTATACAATAATCGTCACAATATCTTCCTCAGTATGTTTACAAGCTTTTCCATACATTCCAAATTTATACAGCATGCACTTTACCCTTTTGGAGCAGCTATATTGGACATTTATGATAAATTATCGAATGTTCACGTTTCAAGAAAAATCCATCAATTCCAGCTACTATTATGGCTGAGTAGCTCTGTATAATCAATGTATCATATGGTGACCAATTGGAAGCGATGAGCACGGATTGGGATAAACCTTTTTCTTTTTTGCACAAAAGGGAGGACGGAAGACCACATGTCGATAGTAGTACCCATCATTACGTTTCTGGTGCGCTTTACTCGACTGTAAAATTGATGTTCTTATATGAAACTATAGCAAAAATGTGTATATATTTTCACATGAGCAATTACATGATGCCGTTGATACTTGATACAGAAAGAGGAGAGGGACTGGTCATTATTACAGATAGCAGCGATTTTTCAACTTCAAAACTTCTTTATCTAAATTTAGATCGAATAAAAAGTGTTTCCTTCAGAAATGCTTTTTTAATCGATGTAATTAAAATCTTCCGCGCCAGTAGCAGCGATGAACTTATACTAGTAACAAGCGATTCTCTTCTACTATAGGCTACGACTATGGCTTCATTGCTCCTATGGAAGCATACACAGTAGCTTCTAGGATCTAAAGATTTTTCATCTTTGGGCTTCTTTCCTACAAATAGCAACAGAGAATTCGTTGTTATCAGTGAGTGCCTGGGACTATTGTTTTTATCTTCTGGAAACATACCTAATGTCGTATAGACACTCTACTGCTGACAACACGGGTTATGCTCAAAGGCTATTGCCATCTTGGAGCTTTGCCTCGTTAAAAATATTCAAACTGTCGAGGGGATCAATCTGTTAATTACTGTATATAGAAGTGGAAGTGCTCCATATTGATGATATACTATATGCATCGCGGTATATGTTCAAATTCTTCAACTCTTCTGTCGAGGTCAAAGAACTACGATTGCAAAGAAAGTAAGAGAACTAAGAAATTAACCTCGTAAAATCAAGCTTAGTATTGCTCTGGTTTCCTAACATATCATTACTGTGCAAGTAGCAGACCCAATCCTGTTACTGTACGCAAGTTGACAATATAATGTGGCCGTCGTTCCGACAAGATCATGTAAAAAATGATCGATAACTGTAATTATCTCATTTCCGGGTTGATATCAGAGTATACTGTACATACCGCATGGTTTGAGCCTATATCAGAACGTCTGATGAATAGCAGTATATCATATGAATGCCAAGGTATCTGTGTATGAGCTTCAAGTTAGATCCAGTTATTCCATTCCGATGGTGACGAGCAACCTTCAGAGTAACTCTTTTCAGGAGATATCCAGAATTGATCTAATGAATTCTGTTGCGGCGGTTACCTTTAGTTAAAGAGAGTGTTCTTTGCAGCTTTCGCTTTTTTTTGAATTGATGCCTTGTCTTGTTGATATATAAATTTGTAAATGTCGTATTATCTCTTTAAAGACATAGCTCAAGAGCGCTTCTCCTTCCATCATTGTATATATATTGTTGATAGTAGATGATGTCTGGTGTTGCTAGCTTCAAAAGTATCGTTTGTAAATTTTTCCCCTTGCAATCACTTTGGTCTGTTTTGCCTCCTGTTATGCAGAAAGAATTTTATATGAAAGTAAGAGCTGTTCCAGAATGGTGAATTTATCCTGTGGCGCAATGACTTTCCCTTTCCAACCAGCGTAAGCTGGGGATAAAAAAGCAAAAAACGGAAAGATTTCGCACTGTATCTCCTCGGGGTACAATAAGTGTATTGCAGTAAAATGATGTACTTTGCCCACGATTTTCATGATGTCTTTGAGTAAAACACTCATCGTCAGTTCGTGTGGCCAAGGCTCTTTAATACTATCAGCATCCCGCTGGCACTGTGGCAGTCTATAGTCCCAATTGGTCAAGGTCCTGCCGATCTTTTACAAAGACCGCTTCTTTTGCCTTCACAACAATAACTCTTCAATTGTTTTCAAACTTGCGACTGGATAATTGCAATCGAGGGCCTTTTCTTATCACGTATCAAAGGAAATCATAATTATCATGTTTTAAGCGCGTACACCTCTTTCTTTTGTTGTTTTAATTGAAAGTTATATGCTATATTAACATAATTGAAACCAAAAGTCGTCATATAAGTTTTGCACCATAGGATACGAAAAGGTGTATAGATGCTCCCTTCTCTCCGCTTTATCGGTCAACGCTACCAAGTGAATGAGCTATCATAAGGAAGCAGAGGGTGAAAGTGACCACACTCTTGACGAAAAAAAATGGCCATTACTTTCAGCAGACAGCAAAGCACATAGCAACCAACCATGAATAAACACACACCATTGTATGTCATTATTTGGGATTTACAGTAGATTCATATTTTAAACGCGTCAAATTGAACCGTATCATACTGTAACTATCATAGTTGTATTGATTGGACCTCTGGTAAGCATCATAAATAAGCAGGGGTAGCAGGCTTTGAATGATCCCGGTTATAGTGATATGGTGCTCCTCTCTCTCTTGTATGACACTCCTCTGTGTGTAATGTGTATTGAATAATGCATGATTCGAGGTCATTGGATATGTGCTAAAGAGGAAAGCTTTGCTCAGTGCTATAGAGTAGGGGTGCACATGGCATCTAACAAGCTGACTTCTACTCCTCAATTTTTTTCACATGATACCAAGAGCCATTTTTTATTCAATAAACTTCATATTTATGAAGAATTCGATGATGTTAACCCTTTGACAGGGATACCTTTTTCGCACTGATTTGGATCCTGTTTACCACGAGTGGTCCAAGATCCAATTCCAGATTCCTTTCTCTCAAAACATTATTAAATGTTTCTTGATTAAGAACTGTAGGTGCGTTGTTGTTGGCCTATGATTCTTGTGGCCCCTTATAGAAGGTCATGTGCATCTACTAAAAGAGATATCAGGAAAATATCGTTGCTGGAAACTTTTCGTTGCCATCTATTTCGACAGGTTGCACCATATTACTTACTCCTCAGTCTGCCAAGATCGTTCCGCCCCGCAGGCTTGAGGGCAACCACCACATATATCGCGTGTTTACAGACTATTGTTCAATCGCGAGAAAATCATTCACGAATATCCTCGAGTAAAAAAAGGTTGTATGACTTACAGGAATCACGAGACTCGTAGATTTCTTCAAGACTACCAAGGGGGGGGATCAACTTCCATGGCTGCTGTGAGCGCATGGAAACCGATTTCAACTGTGTTGACCAATCGGCGCCGTTTCCTCTCTGTCGCAGCGTGCACACGAGCCACCGTGATGTGCAAATCTTCAAGATTGCTCAAGCCCTTTTCAGGCGCAAGAGTGCCAAGGACACCTCGGATTTGCGCAGCACGCTTGTCGAAACAAGGGCCATCCACTCTCAGAAGTACATAGTGATGAGCTGAGCTCTCTATGCCGTCGAGAAGCTATAATTAAATAATTAAACCAAAGCCAGACCCAGCACTTGTGTTATATATCCTATTATTGAAGAGAATGATAAAGTCATTTTCATTCTTACCAGCGCATCCATGGCCATAGTAGCCAGATACAACTGCTTTGCGGTGCCTTCAACGACAAAGTCGTAGCCCGAAGAGCTGCGAACAATGTCTATCACCGCAAACGCGAACTTCTCAACAGCGCGCACTGTGCGCGGATTGGGGGTCTACGAGAAAGAAATACAAGAAAGAGGCATGGATAAGTCCTATGCACGTGAAGAATAAGAGCTTTTCTTTGGTACCTTCTCTCCAGAACTTGTTGGCCTGACGTGGCAACGGAATCGGGTGCAACTCCACATGTCCACCTTGATACGCATTCCAGGCGACACTCTATGGTTCTTCTGGAGTAACTGAAAGTGCGACTTCTGCTCTGTGTTCCGAGCTGGACGCGTAATCGCAGAAGTAGAAGACGTTTCTGGAGGCTGTTGCTGCTGTTGCAGTTGCTTGTCTTGAAGATTATAGAAAAGAGAGTAGAATTACTGTCAAACTTTAAAACCTTTGTTAGAGGACTGTGCACTATTGTGATCGTGCCTGTTGATGGGAGATGTTGCACAATGAATGTCAAGTAAAAAGCGGGAATAAGGCGAAAGCAAAGATCAAAGGTAAAAGTGGAAATAGGGCCCAAGCAAAGATCAAAGACAAAAGTGGGAATAGGGCCAAAGCAAAGATCAAAGATAAAACTGTGGAAATAAGGCGAAAGCAAAGAAGTGTGCGGGAACGCGATGCGCAGTCGTTTTTCAGCACAGCCAACAAGTCGGAGTTAATTGAAGTAATGCAGCACCAAGCTCAGAACATCGATGGTTCCTGACCTTCAAAGCCTGGCTCAAGGTATTGCGAGAAAACAAACGGAAAACCAGATCACGCTGTATATAAAACAGAGACGCGACGATGTCTCAAACGGCACATAGACACATATCAATGGAACAGGTAATAGGAATGAAAGGCTAGAGTAGTATTACTCCATTACCGATCAATATCACGGTTGTATCGTACATATTATGTATAGACTTGCTCAATCCTTTCAATATATTATCCTGTATAGTATACGCTCAACCACAAAGTTAGTCCTCAGTGTAATACCATACCCACATACAGTATAAGTAGACGTCCATCCTGTTTGTCTAGATTCATTGCTCGTTGTTATCAAGATAAAACCAGCAAGGGAGGAATTCAACTTACTCATAAGCCTTCCACTGTTCCTGCGTAACAAATAATTCTTATTCGCATATACGCGATGGCCCACGCACGAACAGTTTAACTTTAAACACATCCAACGAGAGATATTATATTTACGATACATACAGATTGTTTTAATTGGTTTATATATATATATATATATAGAGAGAGAGAGAGAGAGTATAAGTAATATTTAAGGTGTAGATAATTTTCAAGGTGTAGAAGGAAGAAAATAGGCAGTGAATCATGTACAAAGCAGTGAATATAAGAAGTGACCCTGTTACTGCGAAATACGAAACTCGGAATACTAAGTTTCGTGCATGCTGCCACAACAGCCAGTGCGGCAGAGTGCACTCATCATGTTCCATTGCTTACGAGATATGGGCGCCGATACACAGTACGATACATACAGAGTGACTGTATAGAGGTTAAAGAGAGGAGAAAAAAAAGGTTCTCGGAGACTATATCATATATGTGCAATATCAAAACTGCCAATTATGTTGAACACACAATCTGTAACCTAGTTGAAAAAACTAGAGCACATCGGTGTGCTACTATGGGTAAACCTATCATAAGCGTTGGCTATTCAATTTGTCACCGGGGATTCTGCGAGATGATTGTTTTTCATAGGCAAGATGTTTTTACCAGACAGCAGTGAGAGGTCGAACCTACAACCGTTTGAGCATGCTCAGAAAGGCTACCCGAAACGATGTTCACAGTTGCGCTAGTCCCGTATAGTCGATTTTTTCTTTTTTGAGTTTCATTATTCGCACAGTATCGGTTGCTCGTATGCTGCTGCCGATATCTTCTCGTAATGCCCACACTGTATCGGCGTGTTGTACGTAGGCATAACTGGAGAATCGGAATTAAGGCAGCCGCCAAGCGTTAGAGTGCTAGTATGTCTTCCATGAAACGGAACAGGTAACCTTGGGCATGGCATCATCATACTGTATGATACAACGTCGTTGAATATGAAGCAGTTAATAATGACTCATTTTTTACCCTAGTTTTCTTTGGATGCAAGTACCTTTCTTTTCTCTCCCACCCGGCCCCACTTTGACCTTTTGCAAGATTTGGATGGGCGGAAAGAGCACTGTTATTAATCTCGTAGAAACCGGAGTCGACTTTATGTTGATCAATGAAGAACAGCAAAGTACCCTATTTGGCCATCCCAGCCATAATGATGTATCATATATAATGTTATTAAAGCACCTTTGACAACAGCTCCCTACATAAATTTAGGTACCACTGCTATCTTAGCTTTTGATATAATGATTGTGCTCATGATGATCTTTGCCTTTGCTGATATGCTGTGGGAGTTGGCCACCTGATTATACGTTTGCTGGTATTCCCATGGTTGTGTGCCTTACTTCATCTCCATAGATTAGATACTACATACGGCCATACTGTTCCATCCAACCGAGCCGACTTTCTTTTGCACATAACTAAAGCTTCATTAATATGTCTCCAATACAATATTCTTCAGCAAGAATGATGCCGTGCTCTTTAAAGCGTTGAACAAGGACAAACCAATGACATAACAAGTCAATGCTCGAAAACAAAAGCAGAGCGTGCTTACATAATAGAATCTTATGCTGTGTGTTTGTTATCGAACTTGTTTGTTCGTTGACCTTGTACGGTACACGGAAGTGCAGCTTCACAATAAAAATGCTATAACGCATTGGATGGACTGATTCTTATTTTTGTTTCGAATTACTGACCATAATATTGCTATTAATGGTCTTTAAGCATTTCAGTCCTTGCAGGTGCCACATACTAGCGCTTGGCTGCTTGTCTGGCGGGGAACAGAATTTAGCGTGGTTCCAGACAAAATCATGCAGTTTCTGTTTGTTACGTATTCTGATATAATATAGTGCACTCTCTGAGCTCACACAAAAATACCTCGCTACCCTCATGGCACAAGGAATCAGCAATGACAACGATGACAAACTTGCTCAATTGCTGAGCCTTGGTTTCGACATTGACATATGCAGAGCAGCGCTTGCACGAAATGACTCAGTCCAGGCGGCAACAGATTGGTATTATGAATCGCGGCAGACAACTCTCTGTCGATCAGCTTAAATTGGAAGAGTAATTAAAACTGAACATCAACGACAAATTTGTTCTTAGGATTCTGGGTGGTAATGAGGCAGCAGCGTCCAGTGCAAGAGGGCCCGTGCTGTCGCTTCAGCCAGAATCATTACCGGCAGCTTTACAGCAACAGCAACAGCACGAACAGGAGCAACAACCCCTATCAGCACCAAGCGTGACTCGCCGGCAAGAACGGCAGCTGCAGGTGAGTGTTTAGTAGCGTGATGTGTAGGAGAGCCACGGAATGCAAGCTCATATTTTACGAAATATGTGTCACAGCAATCTGCTACAAGTCGACAGGCTGATGACGGTGCAGCAGAAGCGGCCCGTATGCGAGAACAGTCGCTAAAAATGTCCAAAGAGGCTAAACAACAAAAGAAGCGCGATAAAGAGGTAGATATAACACGGCGTTTGGTAGGAGGAGTTTTTTTGTGCTCGTAACTATTTGACATTTTCGGATATCACCTTGACTTTTTAAAGGCTCGTGAACGAGCTTTGGCACACATCAAAGAAGACAGAGAACGCCAAAAGCTCTTGAAAGGAACACATGCTACGGCAGCTACTGGCAACGAAAGCTCTACTGGCGCTGGTGCAGCTAATACCGAACAACACCGCTTGGGGCAGCAAAAAGCAGCGACCGAATATGAAAAAACTCAACAAGAAATAAAGAAGCAAAGACGATTAGATCGAGAGGTACAAAGTACTGAATGGAATGGATTGGGAGATATATAACACACTATCTACATACCAAGCAAGGAAGAAGGTAGTAGTTGGGTCGTTGGATTTCTACTCACATGTTTCCCACAGGCAAAGAACAGGACATTGAGAGAAATACAGGAAGACCGCGAGAATATGAGGCGTCGTCATATCAATGCCAACAAACCGTCAACAGTAGCAGGAACAACCACAAGAGCTTCTTCCTTAGAAGCACCCACAAAAAAGCCAGCGGTACAGTCTAATAGGGATTTTGCTCTGGTCCAGGTAATAAGAGTTCAAGAGCAAGTTTATAGCAAATGATTTGTATGCTAACTGCTTGAATGATGTATAAAAACTAGTTCAAGTTAAGGGATGGATCAACTGTGCGTCAACAATTTCAAGCCAGCGCGCAGCTCTTTGAGCTGTATGCATTTGCAAGAGAAAAGGAGAACAGTGCCGGAAAGGCACCTCTAGGGAATGGGCGGCTGCGGCTAATCTCGGTATGGCGCCAGCAAGCAAAATTCTCTGTTGCCGACAAAGTATATATGAAGTTACCTGACTGTTTGTTTTCCATTGTAGGCGTTCCCGAAACGCGAATTTACGGAGGACGAGGGGTTAATGACCGTACAAGATGCAGGTTAGGATAAGAAGAAAAAAAGGAGAAACGACAGCGAAAACTGTGGAGGTAAAAAGGCATACTGAAAATACGCCATATCACACATAGGTTTTGTTCCGAACGTCTCCTTGAACGTTGTCCTTCTGCATCTGGTAAGAGTGTAAGAGTGGATGACAGGATTGTCGGCTTTTACAATGTCTCTTTCTTCTCTTTGAAGGATATGTGCAGAAAACTTGACTAAACTGGCTATGTTCTTTTCTCTACGAATGCAACGCACAGGCGGAACAAGATCCAAACAATAATGTAAGTTTTCACAATTGTGATGAGAGTTTTCTTCACCCGCCACTAAGTATGTAAAAAACATTATATCCTGCAGCCTCCTGGATCCAGGGACCAGGATAACGATGCTGAAATGCAGGATGCACAAAGTGGAGGAGGATCAGGTGAAGGGCAAGAAAGCTATGATGCTGCTACCGTCGGTGACTATGGACACGGTCATCATCATGCGGATCAAGTTGCTGATGTAGATACAATGGACCACAATCTTGCGGAAGGAGGAAATAGTGATAACAGTGACGACGGCGACGAAGAAATGCCAAACGCGTTCAATAATCAACCTGCTATCAATCCACACCGACCACCCACGCATAATTTACCTTTTACTCGACGAGGAAGATTGACGAATCCAAACTGGAACTGGGGTACCCAGGGACATCGACTTGCGGATGATGACGCAGCTGCAGTATCAGACGCAGATGAACATCAACAAATTGAAGGGGGACAACAGTCGAGTAGGCATTTTCCTCTTTTGTTTCTGTGTTGTGATAAACGGAGGATAATATTTTTCTACAACGTAACAGAACGGAACCAAAGCATAACTGATCACATGTGCCATTATCATAACAGATGAACCCGTGCGTCGTCAGAATATGTTGTTGGCGATCGAACGGCGCGGTGCAGCAGCAGCGGCAGCAGCTTCACAACAACAGCAACATGCACGTGGAAAGGCTCGCAATATCCGTTCGTTGAGAGATACATGTGCTGTATCTGTTGCAGGTATAGTTGTTGATGGATAGTTTGTTAGAGAGGGGCATAAACAATGGCTGCAATTAAGATGTACAGTACTACTAGTGATAATTCATATATGTTTACGGCTTTTGTTAGTGCTATTGATTCAACCAACCCTTGAGGCGCAAACTCGGCTAAAGAATCTCTTGTATGCTTCACCCAAAGTAGCTGAGCTTTTACTGGCCCAACTGATTGAATCACGAAAGCTGGAAAGATCGTCAATGAAAAGATTGGCAGACCACTGGTACGTGTGACTTTTTTATGCAGTAAACGATGTGTTGTATCTTCCTTATCTTGACTTGGTATACACACGATAATGTTGTTGTTGGTGTGCTGAAAATACAATTCCCGTCCTTGCATGATGTTTATGTGTTTTATTCTATACAGCTATCTGCAGAATGTTTGCCTTGATTCGTATGTTTATGCAACAGACTCCCTTCTGCAAGAGCTCAGCTTATCCCATTCTTCAACTACGGTCGCCAAATTGAGCCTAAAGGGATGTGATGTGATCACCGATTCTGGTATACGCTATATCGAAGGTACTACTGCATCTATTATTCTAATATTTATTTGCTTGAAACTAGCATACTCAGTTGATATCCCCAATTCTTTTTGCACATGCAATTTGTTAGGCTTAAAAAACCTGGAGTACTTGGATGCGAGCAACTGCAAGGTTACTGACAAAGGCATACGAAGCTTAACAGGTTAAGTTTCTTTTTCGTCGGGAAGCAAAAGAGAAGGGTGAGAGATAACGGGCTGCAGGGATCCCACCCTGCTGCTCTGTTTCTATAATGTCAATATCCTAACGGGAGAAATTGCCCTTGTTGTAGGATTGTCTCAGCTGCGATACCTTAACTTATCAAAAACCAAGATCACGGACGCCGGACTGCAGCCTTTAGTGGCAAACGCACATTTCAAAGACAACCTTGAGTTTCTTTTGCTGGATGGATGTCATGGAATAAAGTCAAGTGATACGCTGATGATGATAAATGATGGTACTGTATTACATCCCTCAAGCACGGCAGTAAATGCATTTTAGCTTCATTTTAAGGTTGTTGTGATATATGATAACATTTCTAATGTGCTAACACCATCCACCTGGTTCAAAATAAATTAGCATTTTATGGCCTAGTGTCACTTGGGCTAGCGTCAACACGAATCGGGCGACAGACGGTTGTAACACGGCCCCAATTAGCGAGTCTGCAGTCTCTGGATGTGAGCAACACTAGTTTAACAGATGAAGATGCTATCCAAACGATATGCTCATACAAGGAATTGCGTGAGCTCAAATTATCTGGATGCAGTCAGATTTCGCTACGAGGACTTGGTTGTTTCGCCAGAGGTAGCATCTCTCATTTCATTTTATACATGCCACGAGCAAAGAAAAGCAGAAAAAGAAATCCCCAAAAAGTATTTCGCTTAATATGTCTATTTACCCCGTGTTAGACTTGCACAACTTAGAAGTGATACAGTTTCCTAGCCGTGAACAGGAACTGGACGGCGTGTTGGCGAGATATGCGGGTACGTAGTAGCATAGCAGTAGCAGTAGCATAAAGTGTACACAGAGAGAAGTCTACTTTTCCAATAACAAATATGTACATACTGACGCGGTTATTTGCATGGGCTATGCATTAAACATAGCACTGCCCCTGCGTCACTTGGATCTGACAAGTTTTCAAGTTACGGATGAGGGGGCAGACTCTATCGCCAGGATGAAGAAGCTGCAATATTTGAGTTTGGATGGCACAAAGATCACAGATGAAGGCGTTTCCAAGTTTTCTGGTATGTATCCTTTTAGAATAAGATCCAAGGACGAATGAAAGAGGATAATGTTAGCCGTTATGACGATCTGATTGATATGTTTATTTCCATTTCTGCAAGGATTGACCGACTTGAGAAAGCTATTTCTTGATCGCACGCTTGTGTCTGACGAAGGTGTATCCCAGCTCATAGGTATGTGTGAAACATTGCTTTCACAGTGTATATTATTCGCAGTACCGTAGTTAGTTAGCTGGTGGTGATTTGTGATATGATGACGAGTGATCTACAGAGGCTGATTTTCTTCTAGGCCTTACCAAATTGGACACCCTGTCCCTGAGCCGAACACAAGTGAGCAATACGCTTCTGATCTTGTTGGGCGACTTTGAAAAGACTGGATTTACGCGGTGTTTGCGAACATTGAATCTAGCCCAGTGCCAGAATGTTTCCGATCGTGGTGTTCGCGGGCTTGGAGGTATCTTGGAGAGAAGGTGGTGGAGAGAGGGCGAGAGGGTGTGCTATGTGTGTTTTGTATTGTGTATCACTTTTGGAACGGCCGGAAATTGAAATTAAGCTTGCTAATTAGGCATGGTAAACCTTAAGAACATTAATTTGGACCATACGCATGTTAGCAAGCAATGTCTTCGTCATTTGCAGAGTAAATGAAACTATATGTCTTTTTATGACTCGCCAGATGCACAGACAGGATAGATCGGCTGACCCTCTCTTCTTCGCATCGTCGTCGTAGATCTGGAGCACCTCAAACTAGTGCGACTGCTGGGAATCGAGCGCGACGAGGATGAAGAGGAAGCACAGCTTGTGTGACAAGAACACATTTCGGGGTGTTGTTGCACCGTGTATGTGCACATGTAGTAGTATATAGTAGTGTATTGTGCTATTTTGTATATGTTTGCTGCTGCTGTCGTGTGTGGTTCCTTGCTATAGCAAACTGAAATTCCCGCTTTCCCCTCCTGGGCCCCCACTGTTCTTACTCCTCCCCTTTTATCTTTTCTTCTTTTTTTTTTTTTTGCGCTTTCTTCTTTTCCTTCCCTCCCTAATCCTCTCTTATTTCTCTCTTCTTTCTTCTCTCTCTTGTCACTCGTTTGTTTGTCCAGTCCTTCCTTCATTCCTTTCCAGACTAATAAACTGAGCTTTCCGTTCGCCCTGGATTTCTTCTTCACATCCTTCAACTATCACCATCATCATCATCAACTACTTTAAACCCACGCTTACCTAGTCCTTGCCTCCCTGTACAATCGTCTTCGTCCCTCCTCCCCCATAAACGCTCTCTCTCTGTCTCTCTTTCTCTCTCTCTTATCCACCTCGTAGCATATACATAAACGATGCGGGATTCGTTCTTCAAAATGTTTGGCTCTGTGCGACTCGTACAAGAAGTTTCTAGGTCTGCCTCGTCGTCGCCTTCCTCTTCACCCGCGACCGTGCCTGCTGAATTACCTCAGGTCGACTTGTCGCACCATCCACACATGACCGAAACGCCTCTCAATGTGGATTCCACTACTGCTGGCTCCCATGCTGCTGTCAACAGCAACAACAACAACGACAACGACATTGACAAAGACGAGACGCTTAATGAGACGCCCATGCAACGGTCCAGAACAGCGCCAGCAACTACACCACTGATTGCTGCAACATCAATCTCGACGACAGTGCAGCAACAACAACAACAAGAACAATATCAAAACCACAACCAGCAACCCAGTTACCCGGTTTCATTGGCAAGTTATCTGCCCGGTATGCCACTTTACGCGCCTTCGTACGCGAACCCGAGAACTTTGTCCAGCTGGATGGTTGGTATGCCTTCAAACACGTCGTTGAATGCCAGACCGAAGCGAAAACATGCTCGTAAAAATTCGCTATATTCTGTACGACATCACAGACCCAAGCAACCGTCCTTTTCATCATCCTCCGCAGGGCCAATACAGCAGCAGCACGTTTCGCTTAGCGCCTTTGCATCATCACTAAATAACACAACACCATCCGCACTTCCATCACCTCAACCACAACTCCAAAGCAAAAGCACACCGCTCCTTACGTTCAGTAGCAGCACCGACACCACAGGAAGAGGGGCAGACGACGAAGATAACGGCACTGACGCTCCCCTCCTACTCTTGAACGATAAGTTCAAGCCTAAATCACAAAAGTTGTTATGTCTATGGCCCTTGCCTGTGATTACTCGATACATCATCGGCATATCGCTCATTGTCTCGGCACTCAACTTTTTGGGCTTCTTCCACCTAAAGTGCTCCTCTCCTTCGTTCGTGATCCACCGACTCGAAATTGCCAATCTCTTGCTGTCGCCCTTTCTTTTCACCGGCTCGCTCCACACGTTCTTTTTGTTTGCATGGAACATTTTAATTCTCGGGCTGTTTGAAGAATCTTTGGCACACATGTTGGGCGGCACCCGCAGATTCGTCAAAGTATTGGTTGGCATCATACTTTCCGTTTGCATGATCAGACAAGGAATCGGTTACCTTTTTTCGAAATCAACCGGATTTGCAGTTCCTTCTCTGTTCTTCAGTGACTCGTTGCACGAATGTAACCAAGGTAAGAATAAGAAGGAGGCTCCCACGCACAGAGAGATAGTTTAAGAGGGTGATGCATCTCATAGCATGCTTCATCATCAGTAACTCTTACTAAAACGTGAAATTTATGCTATTTCTATTGGTATTACCCTGATAGGCCTTGCACCATTCCTTTTTGCATTGCTTATTGTACAGTCGCTGAGCATCGGTGACAAATATATCCTGATGTATGGCCCGGAGGATTCAAACCAAAAGATCACGGTATGCAAGGTAGCACTTCAGCTACTCATGTGTCTACTCAACTACACTGTCAAGAACATCCTATGGTGGTCGTTGACTGGCCTGTTGACGGGCTACATCATGACGATTGTTATCCAGACGTGTCTTGCTCGCGAGCGTACATGGCTCGACGAACGGCCAGAAGAAAATGATGAAGAAGATAAGCAAGAAAAACAACTCTCGTTTCTTGTTGGCCAGCAACGACAGCAACAACAACAACGAGAAAAGGAAAAGACGACGACGGCGATGGACGAACCATTTGTATACCACCGACGAATGCCCTTCTGGCGTGTTCTATTGTCTGCTGTCAAAAAGGGTGCCATTGTAGTCATGATCACGTTGCCTGTCTTGCTCATGTGCAACGCCTATTATACCCGGGAAACCTTTGTCGATCCAACTGTGTTGAATCAGGTGACCCACGATCGCTATATGTTCACTTTTGTCGTCATGACCGCACCTCGCCGTGGAGATCCGGCCTATCTCTCCCGCACCTTGGAATCCTACCTTGCCAATTGGCCTGCGGATCCGGTTCCTGGATCATTGTACGATCGAGTCCAGGGTTTGGTGTACACGCACTTCACCAATCACACCCAGTACGACGTCGCCAAGAACCGATTCTCGAATGATCTCAAGGGCCAGCGCTATCTCAAGTGGGTTCGTGAAGACGGCGACATGTTTGACCAGCGGTTGCATGTCAGCAAGGCCCTGAGTCTCGCCGCCGATAACTATCAGAGCACATATATTGCTCTCTTGGAAGACGATTTTCCCGTCTGCGGTGAAAACGAATGGCGTCAGATTGAAAATGTCGTATATGCCGCTAACCAGCGTGTCCCTGGGCACTGTGGCGTGTTTGTTGGTACCGGTGGCAGGTAAGCTATCTATCAGGCCACTTGTTCTATCAAAAAAGGGGAAGCAGAGGTACTGATCCTTTATATGCTGCCTTTCTCCTCTATGAAATGAAACAGTGGATTGTTCATGAAGCCCAAGATTGCCAAGCTGGTATCCGGATTACTTCTCAAGTACACGGAAACACCGCCAGATATTGTCTTGCAGCAGTGTCTTGCCGGTGACCTTCCCGAGTGCAGTGAATGCAGCCAAACATTGGTTACAAGCAAGACTTTACTCATGTACCATATCGGCTTCAATACTTCCACAAGTCACGATCGGACGTACAAGAAGCATGATTTCCAATGCGGCTGGCGGCATCCTTTTGTAAGTCGACACGTACTCTTTTCTCGAACCATTGTCCAGCATTTTGGGATACACGTTTATCTAACACATATATGTTCTCCATGTAGAACGGCGATCCAAGCGTCATTACTCTCTAAAAATTTAACCTTAATATTTCTACCCTCCCACAACCTACATCCACATCAACTCCCCTCCCGTCCTTCTCCTTTTACTTTTATATAACAGATAGATTTCTGTTTTTTTTTCCTTGTTCGATTCTTCCCTTTTTACTTCTACTTCTCTTTTTCTAATTGTACAATAGGCTCATAATGCGGTTATTGCATTTCTGCAAGGGTTACCATCCTTTTTATTATTCCTCATTTTATTATTTAAACATTCTATTTATCATCATAATATCAATCTTTAGGACGTTTTGGCAAATAATTATAAACAAAAGTAATTGCGTTGCTTTCAGTCTTACCATTTATCGTAACAATCCATTATCCTAATTAGCTAATCCCGTTCAATGTTGCTTCGTCTCCAAATATCGTATCGTACCATATGCTGTAACATCTGCGCCTCCTGTCTGTAGTAGTATGCTCTGATGTTTGTATGATACATAGAGGAGGAAGGAGCTTGACGCATTTATTATTTTTTAAGGAACCCTAATTTTTGAATGTGTAGATCATCTAGCGACAATCATGGCTCATAAAGTTTCTGTCGTTTCATTCTCTCTCCTTTAGTTTTTAAACATTGCAATATCATACAACTCCTGCGCAAATCTCATAGCACAGCAGCTTTTTGCACATAATAGTATCATGCGCTACGTAAAAGCGATACATCGAATGAAGCGTAAAATTCCCCACTCTTGATAGCCAAGATGCATCACAAACCACACGTGCTTCCTCTAGCAACCTTGAGACGTACAATCTTAAGTACAAGATCACTCACCATCCATCAAAACATATGAGTCGTAATTCTCTTGATGCTCATGAGAGGCTCATTCGTCGTAGACTGGCATGGCACCTTCGCAGAAAAGAAGCCGAGCCTGACAGATGTCGTTTCCATTTCCATGGACTCGCCAAGTATGATATTGTGGTTACAAGTGACGCAACTATAGATCATTTACCAGTACTTGTTTCATATACAGGCGTCTCTATACTAACAAGAAGGAAACTCTGGCATCTTTATACTCACTCTTTCAGATCACATTACATACTTTTGTCTCTAATTTACTCACTCTATAGCATAAATTCCCGATTGAGTGATAATATCACGAGGGCTGAAAGTTAGCGACAATCAAATCTTGTCATCTCTGCTATGATAGTATTGCTTATCTGCTAGGTTAAAATACTTTAAAGATGCTGGGGGAGGGTGTGGGGTTAAAACAGAAAGCTTAATAACGGATTTGAAATGAAGTGGGTCGACTGTAATCCATAATACGGCAGCCATCATGGTCTGCGATCTTTATATATGCATAGACGTGTGTACAGCTTTTGCACAGATCCAACCAAGAAAAAAGACATTAGAATGTAATATCTTTTTTAGATGACCTTTTATTTACTTTATGTACCAGCCTGTGTGTGCATAGTATGCTGATGTATATGCAACAGCCGTAAATAAAGAAACGAGTACTGTAGACAGTGATGTGCCTATTATGTATTAGTCAGAAAAATATTCAAGATTTTATGGAGCAAGAGAGTTTTCATAAATATTTCACTACGATATAGCAACTGCTTGTCTTATAAGAAATGCTTTGTTAATCTCATGTACACGAGCATCGTAAAGGAATGATAATTTTTGTTATATGTAGTAGGGGTGTTAGAATTTTATATATAATAGGAGGACGAAGCGAAGAAAGAGAACTTAAAAATGCGAAAGGTGGGATTAATTTTACAAACTATGTATAGATATAAAGGTTAGTAGGAGGGAGAGGTTAGGGATGAAAGAAAGAAGGAGATAGAGAGGACTTGTCTGTGTACGTTTGTTATAGGTGTTGTATGCGTGTGTGTGTGTGTGTAAATTAGGATGTATGAGTAAGATAAATAAGTAAAGGTTGGGATCGCGGCAGAGCAGGTGAACGAAGAAAGCTTAGGAATGATGGATCGTGAGTGGATGAGGTAGTGAGGGAGAAATATATATTACTGAGATTAGTCCAAAGAAAGAGTTCTATCACCAGCATTTTGAGTTAATGCTGCCTCGTTTCGATCACGAAGCAGATGTTGTTTGAGTCCCTTGTCAAAGTTTGACCAGCATACCCCAGCGTTGATAATGGTGAGTACTAAAAGTGCTAATGATACACTTGCTGCACATCAAAATTTACATTAGTTCGCAATAAGCATTAAACAGTCCCTTCATCTTCTTTACCCATCGCCAGTGTGTATTTGGTGGCATATATAAGGAAAACTTACCAAAAAAGGTCAAAAACTTCTCGACATACATGTATTTGTATTCCTCGGATGGCGTGTACATGCGTACAAGTTTAAATATAAAGTATGCACATCCTGCTGCCAATCCAACAAAAAAGATGATCACCAGGGGTTTGGATTCATGACGAACCTTAAAATAACTATCTTTAGCCTTTTTGATTTCGACAGTAATAGCAACAACGTGGAGATATATATATATATATATATAAGCACTGCTACTTACTGCATAGACAGCTAATATCAGGAACAGACATATCAGCGGTAGTGCAACGATCGTCAATGGAAATTCTACATCTCCAGCGTGAAGCACAAGTACTAGGTACTGGATTGAATACCCCAAAAAGAAAAACATGTCGATTTTAAGGATCGTGAGTAAGATCTGATACCAACGGTACATGTCTACAAAATCAGATCAAAAAGTTTTGACGGCCCACACCGATCGAGATGTTTTTGAGTTAGTAAGATGTGTCGTCGTCCTGTAACCTTTTTTTCATGGGTTACACATGCTCTAGGTCTTTGGTTTCTACTTGCTTCGAATTCCAGGATCAGCACCAATCTTTTTATAGATCCGCCAGCTACATTTCACCCAGGTTTAATAAAACAAATGAATTAGAAACTTCGGTTACTAATGAGGGTTTTTTTCGTACACTCACAAACGCAGGAACACTACGGATAAGAATCCCCCACATGAACAAAAAAAAGGCGCAATCTTACCCAAATTCCTGATACAGTCTGGCACCAAGGTACAGGTAGACAAGTTCACAGACACCAATAATGACCACGTTCACGATCAACAGACGTGTAATCAACCATTGTAGATAGTCCACTTGTTCTTCTGGCACATCGATTTCCTGATCCATAGCTTCTTTGATTTGTTGAAACTGAAAACCGGCATAGATAAGACAGCAAAGGTTGAGCAAAAAAAATGCAATGACTTGGATCGTGTTTTGCATGCGAACCTAAAAGTAGCAAAAGGTTGTTATTGTTGTTGTTCATTCAAAGCGTTGGAATTAGGGCTGCCTGATCAGCTACCTGGCTAACCAACTATAGCAAATTGCTGCAACTAATAAGATTCATGGATGTGCATTAGATTAACTTACAGCATCCCACGCTATGCCGACTTGATATACTTGGCAAATAATAAAAATCATCAGGTACACAGGAATACCCTGTCCAATCTGCCCTGAAAACCTGTTATAATAACACCCATCATACATTTAGTATTCTTGAGTGTGTTGTGTTTGGTAGTGTGAACGATACATTACGCAGAATCATAAAACTTTGCGAAAATGACAGATTCGAGCGCAATAACGACAGCGGCTTCGAAAACAGCCGTTAACACAAGATACGACGAGTATCGTGAATTCGACCAAAACTGTTATACCATAAAAAGAAAGAAAGTATAAGTGGCATGAGTTGGATTAAAAAGCTGTTCAATGGATTGAGGAGCACTTTGAATAATGGAGTGGTCAGAGTAGGCTTTCTCGGTCAAGATGCTTTCTCTAATTATGTTGTAATACTAGACCGGGTACATAACATATATTAAAGAAAGGGGGAGCCAAGTGCGGGGGAGAAAGGGAGGAGAATGGCAGGTATAAAACTTACACGAAACCTCGACTCGGTCGACCGTTCCTGTTGTGAATAGTCGTACATTTTCCGTGGAGGATCGGATTCAAAAGCTGAACCAACAAAATTCTCTGTGGACATGACTTTGTGTGTGTGTGTGTGTGTGTAGCGTGCGTGTGTTGTTGTTCTTTTATATATATTTCGTCTTTTAAGATATATGGTACGTATATACTCGGCGAGCCAAGGAACGAATGGTGTCGTGATGTGAAGATTGGGAGGTAGAGAGATAAAGCGAGGAATGCTGCGTAACGTTTCGTCGTTCGTCGGGCGCAGTAAGAGAGCCTGTATGATTTAAAAAAAAAACACAAAAAAGAGAGAGAAAGAGCGAAAGAGGGAATACAGTGCAGCATGGGCTATTAGCTGGTATTAGCTGGCTGAGGGTGGTACACGCCTGTGCGCTTGCGCACCTCGAAAAAAAAAATTGCAGTGTTTCTTTTTCCTCTCACTCCACACACAGGCACAACAATCATTTGAAGAACCAGACCCTGCCCCCCACCCCCACTCGGTTTTGAGTCGCCATCACCGCTCAAGTCAAGTCAAGAAGGCCAAGATGTCTACTACTTCTCTGGGCCAACGGCTCCCGCAGGGCCAACAGAGCAGCCTATCTAAACTGGAACTGGCAGAATGAAAGTTCCCCTGTCGGATGCAACACCAGCATGCACAATAGTATATACCGTATTTAGCCGCCTTTTCATTTCATCATGGAGGAGAAACAAATTGGTCGGCTTGGAATGCCCGAGCCACTCATCGCTCGTCGGAACTTCTTGTGCTATTCAGTACATAGCAGTAAAGCAAAACGATTCTTTTTTAGCGTTGCATTACAGTAGATACAAGTGCTATTGTTCGACAGAGACACAGGCAAGTACGATAAATTATCATGCATGACGTGCATTTTTCGTCTCTCGGCTCAACAATATTCCTTTCCCGCTCTCTGCGTGTTTGCTTTTAAATAGATCCTCATCAAATGTCGTATGTGCATATCATGTATGATATAGACTTTTAGCAGTAAATAACTCTGTAATAGCAGTAGTGAGGATGTTGTTTTGCAAAGATACGTGGTGCTCTTAGAGGGTATAACATGTTGGGAGAGAAAACAAACACGGGATATGTTTGTTGTTGCTAGAGTGTTGTTGACAAGAGTAATATACACACAATAGTATAGTCACGGGCCACCACCCGCTGTTCTTTTCTTTTTTCCAGGAAGAAGCTCCCCTCTCTTCTGGTTTCTCATCCACCCTTCCCCCCCGGCCCCGCAAGATAGCCGATTCCGCTATTGCCAAATAGAGACATCTCGTCTTTCTAGAGTTCTTGTTGTTGTACAGAGTTTGGCACCTTGGCTGTTGTATGCACATAATCATATGTAGTGTAAGCCTGCGAGAAGAGTACAATGCAGGTCCATCATCCTGCGTCCCGACCAACCGATCATCTTCCATTATCCCATGTCTATTTTGAACAACAGCCGTGACATCGGCAATGATAGGTCGTGCTCTCATTTCACCACCCTCTTTGAACAACTTTTGGGGATCCAACAAGTAAAATGGTCACTTGCTCTGATTCTTTTTGTTGATGTCGATGTTCAGGATCACACTAAAAGCAGTAAGTCATCGACTGCTGCTACAGTATGTCATTGTTGTCTACTGCTATCAACAACAACAATATCAACAGACAGTTTTGTCAGTATCATCTCATCAACATAGAAAGCATATCCGGGCTACCTGCATTGATAAATACAATGGCCAAGCACCCGACAATGATAGGTTACTGCTTATAAAGGACAAAACCGATGCGAGCGATCTATTTTTGGTGTGCAAGTACTGTTATAGAGAAGTACAGTGGTTTGTGTGAGACGAAGGGGGAGTGAGAGGGAGACCTTTTTTTTATATAGTAGCTTTCTGCAAATGAAATAGACAAGACATACTAATAAGGTTTCGTCATCTTTGTGATTAAAGACCCTCGCATGTTTGGGGGCCGTAGACTTGGTACAATCCAGGGCTTTTCAGCAGACCAGCATGGGCCATGCAACAAAAACGGAGAAGAGCGAAAACATACACACAAACTAGACATAGCACGCAGTTATCACATTTGTAGGCAAAAAGAAAGAGATCACGGAGACAGTTCCGCTGGTGAACATCGTCCGTTTCCTTCATTGGATGGTCATCATCAATGACCATCACCATCAACAATAAAAACAACAACAACAACAACATCAGCATCATCATCATCATCATCATCATCATCATCATCATGATCCATCTCTCACACGCTTTCCGTTTCTCCTTCCCCTTAGCTTCTTTGCTTGATTTAGCAGTGTTCCGAGAGTGCACGCACACACATTACACACACGCAAGTAACTTGCGCGCGTGCGTGCGTGCGTGCTAAGCACAGCTTTGGATATGCACTATCCCTCTGATCTGCATGGGCTTCCCAAACAGTAGCGGGATGAAGCCTGATAAAAGAAAAAAAATCTCCGCAGTTAGTTAGCAGTAGTATTAGTAAGTATAAGTGGTAAACTTTATTAAACTACGAGAAAGAAGCAGCAGCACGGATCATCCGAGCCCTAGGGACTCGTAATACGTACACATACACACACACACACACACCTTGACCCACTCTCTCCACCCAAACAACAACAACACCAACACCAACAGGAACTCCGTCATCGTGAGGCTTGACGGACGGACACAAACATGACAAAACAACAATGAGTTTCTTTGGAGCGGGATGGCCAAAGAGGGGTCGGTCTTTCTCAATCAGAGAAGGTGGTACAGAGACAAGTTTCCCCAGCACGGAACCCGGAAGAAAGAATACTAAAATGCTGGACCACCACCGATTTGACGAGGTCCGGGGGGTGGTGTGTGTGTGTGTGTGGGTTGGGGGGGAGAAGTGGTTGAGTATGTAATACTGGATGGACGTTGAAATGAAAGGATGGATGGATGGATGGAAGGAAAGAAGGAAGGAAGGAAGAGGAGGAGGGGGACCACATGTCCCGCATGTTTTGCGTTCGCATCTTGATAGTTTGAGGCGCGCATTTTCTCTCTCTTTGAGATAAAGCTGGTGTGGATAGTGGGAGTGAGTAAAGAGAAATTTTTTATTGTCCTTTTTTGCTTTTTAAACTCTTGCTCAACTCGGTCATCGTCGCTCGTCAGGCAGCCCGTAATAAACGCTTTTTTTTCACTTCCCACCTCAGATTCTTCTCTTCTTCTTCTTCTTTCGTCTTCTTTTCTTTCTTCTCTTTTTATTTTCCTTTTCTCTTTTTACACTTACCAACCAACCACCTCCTAAACATATCCCTTTCGCTCCACCGCTTTGCCTTGCAATCATGGCAGCTGTGTACCACGACAGCCCTCCTCACCACCACCATCACAACAACACACGAAAGCAAAGCACATCTGCATCATGCTGTTCCCCACTCCGTCTGTGGCGGACCCTTCAAACCATCATCCACAATGACGCCAAGGAAGAGTTTGCGCGTCTGTGCGATACCAATCCCGCAGAGCTCATCACGCGCGTCCTGCTGACATCGCGTCTCTCCAACGACCCGGCGCTGTACACGCCCTCCCAGAAATCGCGTGTCATACAGTTCCCCATCCATGTTCGACAAGAGGCCGTGCGCAAGTTTGGCAAGCCGGCCACAGACCTGAATGCCCTCCAGCTCGCTCTGCTCCTGAAATCTTTCTCGATCGCGTTTCAGCTCCTGCTCTTTCTGCGGCAGCATGCCTCCCCGGCAGAGCTCAGCCAGTTCGTCAACCATGTCTGGGGCCAGCGTAACACGTCCCTACACCTGGCGTGTTTCTGGAATATGCATCGACTTGTGCGACTTTTGGTCGATTTGGGCGCGGATACCAAGGTTCGGAATGTCCGACTAGTCGCACCGCCGGATTGTTGCACCAATTCTGAATGCTTGGCCCTGTTCTCTACTACGTCTCCATCATCACCACCACCATCACCAGCGACAGTGACAGCGCCAGTACCTATTCCGACACCAACAAAACCAGCGCAGACAAAGCCCTTGCAACAGCGTCCATCCATGCTGCTCAAGAAGGCCGCTGAAAGATCCATGACAACAACACTGTTGCCATCGTCACCATCACCATCTCCACAGCCACGGCCCCAGGTCATTCACCATCATGACGACTCAGCAGCAGTAGCAGCAATCACACCCGCCGAGTATCTCGACAAGAAATCGCCGCCACCATTGGCTGAGGATCACCATCGTGCCATGATGCGTATGTCACCCATGTCGTTCTCCTCGTCGTCCTCCTCCTCGTCGTTTTCGTCGCTCTCGTCGATTGAAGAAGGTACAGCAAAATCGGATGATCTATGGACTCCGCCGCCCTCTCCCATGACAATTGCTGACAAGAACGCTTTCCCGCCCTCCTCACCGTGGTCACCCACCACTGTCCATGACGACACCAGTGTTGTCGTGGGTTTCCCACCTTCTCCTCCTTCACCCGTTCCTACCCGGCCTGCTTGTTTCCCATCTGTTCGAAAAATCCGATCTGAAGTAGTAGAGCAACATTCACAACAGCTGCAAGAACAACAACAACAACAACAACAACATGAGGAGCAGCAACAGGAAATGGAAAGCGAACAGCAGCACCAGCCTCAATCATCACCCGTACCATCAGCACCTCCCCCGCAACGTCGTCACGTCCGCTTTGATCCACAGGTCGTGCTCGTCGATGCTTGTACTCGAGGTGATCTTCCCGAGCTCCTTAGCATGATCGATGCTGCTACACACTACATGAATGACGCGTACAATCGATCGTTACTGCACATTGCTTTGATGAATGGGCATGAAAAGATTGCCAAATGCCTGATCGATTCCCAAAAGATTGATGTGAACCATGCAGACAATAATGGTAAGCTTCTTGCGGTACATACATCCATACTCCGACGTTTATTCTTTATTATGATATACTAATCACACTAGACATATCTTCCTATATAGGCTGGACAGCTATTCATTATGCGTCGGCGCTCGGATTATGGCGATGTCTCGAACATTTGGCATCTCTTGATCAAACGAATCTGCATGCAAAGACCTATCAGGGCTACTCTGTCCACGATTGTCCCGTGACCGAAGTCGATAAGCGTAGATGCCGATGTAAGTAGCAGCTCTGACCGTAATTGGTTGCACGTACTCTGGTTGTCATGCATCTAAACTCCTCTTTTTTCTTTGTCACTTAGTGGTGATTGAACGTGCGCTTCGTCGTGCCAAAGCGGCCGAAGCTACTGGTGCAAGAACATCTCCAACACCAGCAGCAACGAAAGCTAGAGCGACCTCTTGCTGCTGATCTCTACTTTGCTCTACTTATACCCTTCTTCTCTCTCGACCAAACAAAACTGTATATATCTTTGACACACCCACATACAAAAAAGCACTTTTTACATCACTGTACTATCACCCCCACCAGCCGCTTTCCCTTTCTTTTACATATTAGTTGATGCTTCGCCCATTCCACTCTTCACCTCTTTACATATCCTGAAAACTCCCTCTCATCTTCCAACGTACTGTATTTCCAGGTAACCCAGCTCCAAAGAGGAAGAAGGCCTCTTTGGTTCCCTTTTCTCTTTCCTATCCTATACATATCAACTGTATTTTTTCTGTTTTTCTACCCAGTACATTCCTCCCCACAAAACTTCCCCTCGCTATATATGTGTATCTATTTCCTTTTACTATATTATATCTGTACAGTATCCAATCACACACACACACACACACACAAAGCCACACTATGCCTAACTTTTTCTTCTCCTATGTATTTTTTTTGATATCTACTTTTTTTACACATACTGTAACCCTTTCCATTCTCTATATTTTACCTTCTCTCGTTCGGTGATTTTATTTTCTATACAAGTCTCCTGCTTTTGTAGTATGCCATTCTTCTTTTTTTATATACATCTTCTGTTATATTAGCTGTAGATAGAACTTTTTCTTCTTTCATAAAATGGGTCTTTTTCTTTTTTTCAGAAAAAGGAAACACGAGCAAAAAACATTTATTGTACGAATACTGCTTTCAAACAGCATCTTGCTATTGTTACTATAAGAAAAACGTGTTATTAATGTAAAACTACCGAGTGATGAAAATGGAGGGGTATTAAATATTACGGAGGCGAGGGTGTGGAGAGATACTAATGATTATGGTGATGAAGAAGCTGATGATGTATTGATAGGGGAAAGGAGAATTGATGCTACTGTATATGTAACAAGAAGAAGAAGAAGGGTCTGTTACTGTGGAGAAGAGAAGACGATTAATAAAGTAGTGATAGGAAAGGAAGCTGATATGTATGACAAGTGTTGATAGTAGAAGAAATAGCTGTTATGCTGCTCTGGACATTGGGGTACAAAGGAAAAAGAAGAGGAAAGGAACAAAGAAAAAAAGTAGGATGACGAGCATTATTATCGTAAGGAAAAAGAAGATATTTTAGTATTACATGTGGAGGAGGAGAAAGTCATTAGGATTTTTGCTAATACACATTTTCTTCAAACAAAGAAATGCGTGTAGATGCGACTCGTAGGGTGTACGATCATTTCGTTGAATTTGAAAAAGTTGAGCTCATTCTTGATCTCTTGGGCTGCTTCTGCAGTCAGGTAGGTACACGATGCACTTGGATCGGGCTCTCGGTTATACTCGTGACGCGTGTATGTCTCGTGCACAATCACCATCTTGTTGTATCGGATCGTACGCTTTCTTTCTTGAGGACGCGTTTGTTGTTGCTGGTGCGCCGCTGAATCTCGCGACATGACGGAGGATCGTAATTTATTGAGCCACGCTCGAGTTTTTGTTGTAGGTGCTGCTGTTGGTGACGACGAGGATGACAGCAACGATGATGAACGATCGAGGGTCGTTGATAGTCCAGGAGCAGGCGGGACTACATTATCAATGGGCTGCTCTTCTGAAGGCGGAGGGGGCGGCTTTTTGAGAATACCTTTAACAGGCATTTTCGGTGTTGTGAATGCAGTTGCAGGTGGAGTAGGTGGCGGTGTTGATAATCCTGTTGATGAAGCAGTTTGTTGATGGCGCGGTTTACTGCCTGGTCCACATACCGCGTATGACAGTGTGGGCACTGCAGCTGCGGGATGATAATGTTCCAAATGACAGGTCGGTGGCGGTGACTCCACGGACTCTCGATAACGCTCATACTTGTTATCCTCCTCCACGGTGTTGTCAGTCGTAGAGCAATCGACATCTACATAGTGCCGTCGTCGTGGATGTGGAGATAATCGCAGTGCTTGCTTGAATCGGTTTTTGAGGTTGTGTAATTTTACATTGTTGGGAAAAGTATTTTCAGGAACGACATGGACGATCGCAGATGAGGGTAAATCAGTAGCAGTGTTGTTATTATTGATGTTTGTTACTGATACTGGTAGTAAGGCAGGTGTTTTTGTTGCTCCTGATGATGGTGGGGATGGCAAGCTGGTATCTTGCCCTTGTTGTTGCTGCTCTTCATTTGTTGCTGTTGCTGCTTCGTCTTGAGCAAGTGTAATGTCGCTACTGCCGGTGATAAAGCTATAATCCTCTTCCTCTTTGTTCTCGTCATCATCATCTGCAACTGTTGTAGAGTCGCTTGCTGCATCGCTTGTCACCGGGCTATTCATTATACTAGTTATTTTCAGAGGGCTTTGGGCATGCAGGTGCTAAACATGTGTGTGTGTTTTGTAACGAAACAAAGAAAAATGTCAGAGTAAATGTCGTTGCCTTCTATCACTATTACACACTAAATCGACGATCCCCCGGGGTAGGCGTTGCTTATTACCTTTCCAATATCTCCGTGCTGTTGTTTCATCGGATCGTCGAGGTATGAATGTAGTGTCACAGTAGACATTATTATATTTAAAGTAAGCAAGGTGATGGTAGAATAGGCGAGAAATAAAGTAAAGACAGAGAGAGGAAAAAGAAAAAAAAGAAAGAAAACCGAGAACAAACGGATTAACCAGGGCAAAATATATGAAACGATGCTGCTGCTTTCTAAGGGAAAAACGAAAATAACAAGGTTCTTTTTTTAAAGTTCAGGAGTCTTATTGTGCATAGAACAAATAATGTATATCCTGGTAATATGAAAAAAGAAATATAAAGAGGGAGCAATAGTAGGATCGTGATCCGGAGATCAAGGAGGTGCTACTGCTGCTGCTGCTGCTCTACGTGTGGGTGTGCGTCTCTATGTCGATTGGAATGGTTGGACGAGCCCACTTTTTATTTTCTTTTTTAGCTCTCAAGCCGTGCACTGTAAGCTCGGAAGATCCAACTTTTACGTAGTTTTAGAGGAGAAGGTTCGCGCTATGTACTATTTATTACAGCATATGTGAGCTGTTACTCAACAACAACAACAACAACAACGGAAGCAGCAGCAACGTGAATCGATAACACATCAACAAAGGAAGAACAAAGTTATAGCTTATATACATTAGAGTCATCGGACGATGCATGCCGAAAAGATATTGCATAAAGTTTTCATACCTTGTAGAAATGTTTGTGCCTTTGCTTCTACCAACAACAAAGATGCATTTGTCTCATACATTAAATGACGATGCGACTCAGCCCAGTTTAGCCAATATTGTCTCTCTCCCTTTCACGTATACTATACCACTAGCTATTGCTATTTACTCTCCTTTACATCCAATATGTTTCAAGCAAGGACTCGAAGGGATGGGGAGTTCAGTGCGAGGATTTGGATGTGTATAAAAGTGTTAGTGTTGGCAATAAGAAAGAGCTGCGAGGATCTTTTTAGTGCATTCTCCGAGATTTTTCCACATTTAGAAAGAGAGGTCTGCTACTAGGTGTCAAGGAGGGCCACGGGTAGAAGATGGTGGCCTGACCGAGCCTTACACGGAGAATAACCGCCATAAATCATCATGATCATCTCTTTTGTGTAGATTGGACGATATGCTCCGTGATTATTAGATTTCAGTGTACTCATTGTCTCCTATTCCTAGTGATCCGAGAAGAAGGGAGAAAAAGGAATCCTACACTCTCCCTGCAAGACTCTTACATGTATACATGTAGCACATTATACTGCGCTGCAAAGGCATAAATCTCATGGTCCTTACTATCTCTCTCTCTCTCTCTCTCTGTTTCTCCTTCTTCCCATGTTTATCAACCTATATATTACTTGCAGCAGCAAAGCAAAAAAGCACACACCCGTACAGCACCCTGTATCGGATCCAATACTTATTGTACATGCATATATTCTTAACACTAAAGATCAACTTTTACCTGCATCTGTACAAAACTCGCTTGCTTTTTTTTCCGCTGCAGATAATTGGACGGACATGATGTTTATGACATGTGTGTGGATGTTTAAAGTTTTACATTGTTATTATATATTTACAAGAATTTATGGTTTGGTATTAAATTTTATGATTTGTTGTTGTCGTCATTACTGCTATTGCAGTCCAACAGGCGCTGAGCTTTCTTTGCAAGATCACCGCGGCTGCCTCGTAAAAGGTTCTGAATATATACATCGATAGTACTATTCAAGTCCTCCAGGAGATCACTTTCTTGCTGCAAGAGTCCTTTGAACATGCTTAGAGGCTCGTACAACAACAGCCACTCTGACATTTTGTTACGTAGCCGTATTCTTGCCTGCACTTCCATGCCGCCCTCATCGTAGGAGCCTAGATTCAGTAAAAATGTGAGGGCCCGTTGCACCAGTTGGAGCAAAGCTTTGGTTTTCTTGCTAGATTGTAAAAATGCCGCCTGCTGCTGATCGTCGTCTATATCCATTGACTCGTCACCATTACCATGACCCGTATAAGCAAGAGAGGAAGGAGATGAAGCTTCCGTTGCTGCGGCCGTAGCTGCCGCTTGTAGCCGTTTTTGTAGTTTTGCCATTTGCCTTCGGGCCTTTTTTGCCGGGGACCGGTTACCCGTCTTGAAGAGCTGTTTTTGAAGATCCTGCCGCTTTCGTCGTAGCAGTTTCTGTAGATGGGATTGAAGCTGGTTATTATTACGTTGTGCCGCTGTTGTTGTTGTTGTTGTCGCACTATTATGATCCGCAGTTCTTTGCATTCGCAGTTCCTCGACCAGCTGGATCAATATTTCGACAACAGACCAGACAAGTTCGTCATCCACAGCCCCTTCTTGGCTTTCCTCCTGGTATATCCGCAGGAAAACATCCATCACTGTATCCAGTTCAGGGATATCTGCAAGGACCATCAGATCGATGATGCTGACGACGAATAACCGCGATGATTGGGATAATGACAAGCCTGGTACATCCTCGTTTGTTCCTCCTTCTTCTCCTCCTTGTTGCAGCTGTTGCAGCTGCGCCTTCTTGTGTATGTCTTGTCGAATACCAATCCGCATCAAACGTTCAATCATTTGTTTGACCACGGCAGGCGCTTCGTCGTACAAACCGGTGCACTGCATGATCCAGCTCACAGGCACCGTAAATGAGGAATTCTCCGCGGTCCACAAGGTATACCATATTTCGACTAACCGTTCGGTCTTGGTTGTGTCGCCTAATCGCACCATTTCGTGGAACATGGACACTAGCCCGATCTGCTTGATGGCAAGGATTTCGTGTGTTTTGGCAATCTCCAGTCCCTTGAAATTACCGTCCTGATATTGTTGGTTCTTCCCACCACCACTGGTGCTGATATTATCCTCTTTATCCTTCAGGGGCAGCGACGGCGCACCAAGGTACCAAATAAAATCGGCGCGTGTCTTGAGAATTTGGCGGAAGATTTGGGACGCAACTCCTTCAGAACCGTCGCCTGCAACAGTCAACAATGCACTAATAAAGTGATTTACGAACCACGTCGTTCGTCCGCCGGGGGATAAAGTAGAAGGTGGAGTCGTGGATGGCGCTTTTTCACGCAACAAGCCCAGTAACTCGTCCATGTACATTCTGGGTTTGGTTTGGAGCAAGGAAACGACGAGTAACTGCTTTGTCAACTGGGCGCATTCGCTGAAATATTGCTGGACGAGATTGACAAAATCGGGCGAGTTGAGTCTGAGCCACAAAAGCGAGTTTTCATTGAGTGCTTGGAGGAGCTTTGGAACAACATGGGCACCGAGTGACGTGATCCGTGGGTTCCGTAATACCTCGCATAAGTGTTTCCCTCCAACGGTTTGTTGTTTGTTACGTCGAAGATTTTCCTGGGAGAGGTTGGTGGCAAGGTATTCAATGTAGGACTCCACTACTTCGGGCATTGCTTCCTGGAGACAGTCGGCAACCCATCCCTTGGTAATCGTCTCTGCGTGTGGGGTGAGCTGTTTCAGGGTTTCAAAGCATCCTTGCTTCAGGGCAGCATTCGAGTAGCTGTTGGTGAATTGCGTGATATCTATATCCGCACCTGTTTTTGCACTAGCGCGTAATTCTTTCTTCGTGTAGAGTGCGCCTATGCTGGTATCGACGGGTGTCCTGTACAGCTGAGTATATGCGTAAAACGGTGATGTTCGACGGTTGTAGGGTCCCTTCTCCTCCAATCGCCTCAACAATGCATCAATGATGACGGTGCGATGCTGGTTGTATGGATTACGGATAGTCCAGAAGGCCAACATTGTGTCTAACATTGTTTTTTGTTGGCTGGGATAATAGCGTTGCACCAAGTCCTTGAGGTATAGGTCGAACTCGCTGCTGGGTACTTGTAGGAAAAGATCATGCCATGACTTGATGCCTTCTCGTAGCAACTGAACTTTGTTGATTATATCGCTTGATAGTTTTTCATTGGATACGGAGTTGTACAGAGGGTTCTTGTAATGGGGAGCTATACATGATCAGAACAGAAAAAAGAAGTTTGCATTACTTTGATGAAAATTATCTTTCCCCAGTGTACATAAATTGCATCGTTATCATTACACTTCATGCGGCGTTGTATTTCAATGTTCCGGGCTATACTTGTAATTTCCGGATAGCTGTCTTGCGATAGGCTTTGAACGAAAGCTAGAAATGCAGCATGACCCAGTAACAATTCATCTTTTGAAAACGCGGGCCTTCGCAGCAACCCCATATCCAAACGCTGCTCCACCTCAGATGAAAGTAGGCCCGCGTCGCCAGAATCCAAAGCCGATATGAATTCGGCTACACAGGGGCTCATACGCTGCTTTTCCCGCTTCAAAACTGTTTCTATCTCATTGATAAACACCCGTTTTGCAGTATTATCAACAGCCGCAGTAGTACTACTAGGATCAGCTTCATCGTCCATGACCCAGCACATCATCCAGACATGGCATAAAAGTGCTATGGACCGTGTTTTCACAAAGGGTACTAGACCCGCCGCCCATTCCTCCAGACTAATCGATTCGTGTTTTTGGTTGCTTAATGCCAATACGATGGTGTAGAGATACATGAGTACAGTCTTGTCAGCGCTTGTATGCAGCAAGTGCCAGGTCATGCTCGACAAATGGCGAGGAAACTGAACGAGCCAAGGGTAACCATGCTGGTGTAGCAGGCCATTGATACATGTGCGTAACGATTCAGTGGCTACCGTGTTGGTGTATTGTGGACCGTAGGCTTCATCGGTGTACTGGATTGACAACAAGAGTCGAACGTGGACATCAAAAAACTCAAAAGTTTCAAGGAGTGTCGATGGGTATGAAAAAGTGGCGTTGGTGATGCGGTTGAGTTTGATGGTGCTCTCCGGTTCTCTTAAAAGATCGCGTAGATTTTGAATTGATAGAATGGACGTGTCTTGATTTAAAAGACTGCCTAAATCCATCGCGGAGGAAGACAAGGAATGTTTAGAAAGGGGTGGTGGAGGTTGATCGTTTGTGTTTTTTTTGGCAGGTATAGAATCGCTCCGGCGGAGTAAAGATTCGCATGTCCAGTTTAATAACTTTTTAGATCGCTTTCCTCCCACATCCCAATGGTCAAACTTTGCGTTCTATGCTCTGAAAATCGGGCCATGATCAAGCGGCCTAAGACAGGTCAGCAGATCTGTCAAAAGTGCTTCTTTTATGTGTTTGAGACCGAGATCCACAATACGATCGTCGACAATAACCTTTTCAAACGAGGTGAACGGGTGGCGATCGGTGCCAGCGGTGGCAAAGGTAATAGACTTATTAGATTTAAACAAAAGCGACCGTCTTGTCATCGTTTACACACGCCAGCACCCCTCCCATGGCATTTGTTCAGCTTATGTAACTCAATTTACTATAACTGGTGTTTAGACTCGACTGTCCTTGCGCATGTATTGAAAACGTTAAATGAACGATACGATTACGGTTGTGACCTTTTCCTTTTGTCAGTTGACGAGGGCATTACGGGCTACCGAGACGACTCACTCGAAACTGTAAAACGCAATCAACAGCAGTATAGTTTGCCCCTCAAAATCGTATCGTACTCTGATCTATATGGGTGGAGCATGGACGAGATCGTCAAGGAAGTCGGTCGTAAAAACAACTGCACCTTCTGTGGCGTATTTCGACGACAGGCGCTGGATCGTGGCGCAGTGATGCTGGGTGTGGATCATATTGTCACAGGGCACAATGCAGACGATATTGCAGAAACCATTCTTATGAACAGTAAGTCTCCAAATATATTTATTTGTATTGTATGTGCACATCTGATTGCACGAAGTATAAGGAAAAACCAACGGCTCTTTTTTCTTTAAGTCTTCCGAGGTGATGTGGCTCGTTTGGGTAGATGCACTGAGATCTTCACTCAAGGAGAAAGCATGATTCGACGATCCAAGCCGTTCAAATACACCTACGAAAAAGAAATTGTTATGTACGCATATTTCAAGAAACTCGATTACTTTTCGACTGAATGTATCTATTCTCCCAACGCATATCGTGGTCATGCACGAACCTTTTTGAAGGATTTGGAATCCATTCGGCCAAGTGCAATTATAGGTAATTGAGCTGTGAATCCATTCAAAGTATTAAAGAAGGATGGGACTATGTCGTTTTAACTGGTGGATATGCTACATAGACATTATCCATTCGGGTGAAGCGTTTGAAATTAAAGCGGACATCAAGATGCCAACACAAAAGACGTGCCAACGATGTGGCTACATGTCTTCTAACGAGATTTGCAAAGCATGCGTGATGCTTGAAGGTTTAAACCGAGGGTTACCTCAGCTTGGTATTGGCAAGGGAACGCGGATGGTACGTTTGTTCATATCTGTGTCTTGTATGCAAACAGCAATAATTAATTGCGTTTCGGGAAACTCATGGAAATGTATTCATAGCGTCGGCAACTGTCAGATTCGACAAACGACACAGCCGACAAAGAGAATGCTGCTGAGCAGCAGCAACGACCTGCACGGAAGCAAGTCCAGCATTTCTCAGAAATCCAGCGTGATACCACCATCGCACCCATCAAGCCACGGGATCCATCCTCAGTACATACGCCACCACCTCGCGTCCCAACCAACATTATATCTGAAGCGAGTAACAAGCCGGATAAGAAGGATTTGAGCTGGTGATTATAACAGGTACATCTACAGTTCCGTCCGGACGATAAGTTATGTAACTGCATACTACAGTCTTTCAACGGTATAGCTAATTATCCTGCATTATCTAGACCTCTGCACCGGGAATAATTAAAAGACAGTGATTCTTCGGTGGTATACACAGGAACCGAATAGATAATATAAATAAATGATTATTGTATATATACATGTGCACTGCTGAGAAGCATATGAAAAAAACAGCATCATTTCTTGTTACAAAGACATTTTTGCATGCTCATGTTCAACCGTCAAGCAGGCGCAGAGGTAGAGGAGGAGGAAGAGGAGGAGGAAGCTCTTTTCTGGCCCGATATGCGCGCGGACATCCAAGAATGGTTAGCCTCCTGCCAACAATGCCAACTTGCTGCCAATGCTGATCGACATATCCACCCGTCAAGCGACTCGACAATTGATAGCGGAAGGACGGTTGTATTAGGCAAAAAACAGAACCAAGAAAAAGATCGTCCAAATACACGAGGCAGCACGATCGCCCAGTGCCTTATTAATCATGGCTTGAAAAATCGGTGGCGAAATTCGCAGGCCAAACGACAAAACTTTCCAGCTGTACTGACCGTACCGAGTGTTGAAGGCCGTCTTGTCTTCGTCCTCCGGTCGAAAACGTACTTGGTGGTAGCCGCTCTTGAGGTCAAGACCTGTAAAACGGCGAGCATTTGGCCAAACGTTCAAGGCATTCATCGATACGCGGCAGCGAGTGTGTGTTGCGACGATTTAAACGGTTTACCGCACGGTAGTCAACGCAGATACGCATGGACCCATCTTTCTTGCGCACAAAGAGAACAGGTGCACCCCAAGGCGATGAGCTTGGGCGAATGAGTTTCATGTCAAGCAACGCTTTCAGCTGTCTGCGCAGTTCATCCCACTCGAGTGGGCTCATCTTGTATGGAGTTCGGGAGACAGGGTCGGCATCTTCGATGTCAATGACGTGCTGGACACCGCGGTCCGGTGGTAATCCTGGAAATTGTTCGCGGAACACGTCGCCAAACTCTTTGGCCAGTGATGTCTTGAACTGGTTATCGGTTGGTTGCTTGTCTTGAGCGTCTTCTGTTCGGACGTAGCAAACAAACACTTCATCAATCCCCTTGCTGCGTTCCAAGCGTTGGACTTGGCGACGCGATAGTAGGTAAGAGAGCTCAGGGACTTGGCGTGTGTGGCGAGGCTTGAGGACATACGTATGGGCGCCTGTACTAATATCCCATGTGTCTTGCTCCCAATCGGGCAATGGCTGTACGGTCTTGGGCCAATCGCTCTTCTCAGTTACAGCTAATCTGTTTGTATCATATCAACTTTATTATATCGTATTTGTTTTTTCTGTCTCTACTATACCGTTTATCTGTTACACCACCACCACACCATCTATCGACCCTTTTTCACGTACACACAAGAAGCAGCAGCCAAGAGCATCGTTATTCTACAAGACTCATATACCATTACGTTTCGACCTTCCCACTTACATACAACAGCTCATCATACTGGATCTTCACAAAGCAGCGTAGTCAAACACTTTTATCATAAAAAAGATTATTATATATCTTCTGGTCTTGTCACCATCGACATCTTTCAGCAGGATACAAATCAGCATGAACTTTATACTATGTATATAACCCGAAAATGAGGTATCGATTCAATAAATAAGAGAGCTTTGGAAAGAACGTGAGTAGTAAAACGCCGTTTCTCAAAAGCAGGATGCGCCAGGCATTAATATATTAGAAACCATACTAAAGAAATGAACAGTTTAACACGCCATATCACTAATGCTTCTACGCCAAAACGAGAAAATTTCAGTGCCAAGTTAATAAAAACATTGCGCTAAGATACATTGTACCGCCATATTGAAGAATTTTACATTACCTGCCAAATTAAGGGAAAAGACCTGTGGCAGGCGACTTTGGCCATGATTGCTCTGTTAAAGACTATAATTTTCAAGGTTGAAATGACACTCATTTTTGCTCCATGTTTCGGTGGCCGATAAAAAAAGACCAAAAGACTTCTTTTACAGCGCCTGTCCCTTTCCTTTCTTGTGCCTGTTTCTGGTTCTTCTGATCCTTATTATTTTTTTATAAATAAAAAAGAGAGCTTTGCCTCTTTCCGCTGTCACAGGTTGCCACGGAACGTCGGCATTGTATTCAATGGATTCACATTAGTCAATTCGTCGTGAAGAAGTTTATCACGGGAGCAGTCTTTGAAGGAGTTGGAGCTCCTCCACCCTCCTGCCAAATTTGGGTTTTCTTGGCTTTTCAAGTTTTGCCGACAAGACAGTTTATCCAGGGCTTGAGCCGCATTGTTATACTTTCTCCCACAGTGATTACAATAGAGACACACACTTGCACTAGTTTCTTTCACCAGCCCCTTTTCCTTCCTTTCTTTCGGTTTCTTCATTCCCGTTATCATCCTCCCCCTTTTCAGCTATGCCCGAGCCTATTCCCATCATATCTCACGCGCCTCCACCGCCAACATTATCTCTGCCTTCCGACACCCCAACGCCGTCTTCCTCAACTAGCACTGCCACAACAGGCGTGCAATCGCTGAAAGTGAAACGATCGCGTCCAAAGTTACTAAAACGATTGTCGGCCCAGTCATTGCTGACGAGATCCAGACACAGCAATGGTAGTACCGCATCGCTGGTCGACACTACTACAACTGCTTCTGCAGAAAAGCAGCATAGTGAGAAGAGTAGGAGCGGCAGCTCGGTAAGAACGGCCGAGGCGCCGAATCCAGAACGTTCCGGGACTTTGTCTCTGCCGACACGTAAACCATCGTTTAGTTTATCCACGCCATCAATCACCATTGCGACGTATCAAAAGGAGGTGGTCACCAGCACAGCCGTCGACTTGTCTGCTCAGAAACCAGTGTCTTCTTCTTCGCCGTCGCAACAACAACAGCAGCAGCAGCAGCAGCATCATTATCATCATATTCGTCAGGAACGTAGCGATAGCAATAGCAGCAGTGAAAGTAACAACAAAAAAGACAACCAAGACAACCACAACCATAGTGACAAACACAAGGTCACTATTATGCGATCGTCGTCACCACCCACATCATCATCACCGCCACCACCATCCTCCACCTCCTCATCCCCTGAAACACCGCAACCAGCAACAACAACATGCAACACAACAGCGACGCCTTCCTCTCTTACCACACAGCATCAATTTCTTACTTCTTCCTCTTCTTCTTCCCCACCTCGACTGCGCAAATCTTTATCCACATCGTCTCTCTTGACGCTCTCTTCTACTGCGTCTAGACGAAACAGCATATCGTCTTCCATGTCTTCTTCAAGAGACTACGACGACGATGACGACGACGACCAGGGCGGTAACAACAGCAGTAGTGGCGCCGTGAGCGACGATAATGACAAAGTAAACAACAAGAAGACAAAAAAGCAGCAGCATCACAGTATGCCATTGCTGTCTCAGCATACAGTGCAACAGTTGGTGCCAGGGAGCATTGCTGCCGAATGCGATTATCCCTTGGCCAGTGCAAAACGCAACGTCGAGTTTCATACTTTATTTCGTTCTGTACCGGAGCTTGACCCATTGATCGAATGTAATTTTCTACACTCTTTACTTGATGTAACACCACCATTCATATCGACAATGCATGTTGCCGATCAAATTTTATCTATGTTTTACTGATGCTGCTTCTCATTCCATTCAATGTAGTCTACAAGTGTGCATTGCACAAAGAAATACTGCTGCAAGGTCACATCTATATCACAGAACATCACCTTTGCTTCAATGCTAATATCTTTGGCTGGGTCACCAACGTGCGTATAGCTCCTTTAATAACTTATGAATCGGTTGATGGAATAGTTTGATTGAACAAACAGTACTGATATCATTCACTAGCTCGTGATCGCATTCTCTGAAATCACTAGCATTGAGAAACGGATGACGGCTATGATTATTCCCAACGGCATCCAGGTGTCTACGATTCATGCAAAGGTACCTACTTGTATATTGCTGCACGGCAACAGTAAAGAAAACAAAACAGTATTTATTTGCAAGCATCATGCTGAATTGTTTATGCATCATCCTATACGGCTATCCAGCATGTTTTCGCATCCTTTATGTCGCGTGACATGGCTTTTGACCAAATGTACAAAGTATGGCAAAAGCATCACGACACAGGCAAACCACAAACCCTGCAGCCTCGCAACCACAGCGATTTCTCGCTTAAACGGCACGATGACGACGACGACGACCTGCTGTCCGAGTCGGGCACTGCGACAGATATATCATCGTCATTATCAGTGGATGATGAAGAGGGTTCTGACGAAGCCATCGTGAAAACGCCTAAATGCAAATGTGACAGCCATCTAGGCCAAGTTGCGCTGGATTCGACATACAAAGGCACAGTGGAGGTTATGCATGAATTGCTTTTTCAGACCAATTTTTTCCCAAAGGCAATGAAAAAATACGAAGGGTGTCACGGTAATTGAACGAGTGTTATTTACTGTTGCGCAATTTAATTCTGGAGCCAGCAGCATACTCATTTGCTGATTATATATGATGCCGCATTAGATCTCACAGTGAGTAAATGGGACGGGCGTATACGCGAGAGTTTCTATAAACGTCAACTTAGCAATGATGAAGGTTTGTTTCCGACTCTTCATGTCTAATGACCAGTAGTAGTCGATACAATGAACTCCTGGTGACCAACACATATATGCTGACATTATTGCTTTGATAATCCTTATACTACAGGCTTGCAAATCAGTTGCTTTCGAAAAGACGAGCTTATTGCTGCAAAATATCCTCATTATTGTGCGGTGGAATCTACGGTCCGTGCTCCGGATACCCCAATGGGAGCCGCCATTTGTTTACGGATACGGACGTGCTTGACAAGCCTCTCAGCTACAAAAGTCAGAGTTCATATCACCTTTGACATTGAGAGTAGCCAATCCAGTCCAATCAAATGTATGTTCTTGTTCTGCTTCCAATGTGTCGAGTAAAAGTGCTAATTCAAATACATTTGCTTTCATTAGCATTGATCGAAAGTGATATCTTTACGAGCCAAAAACAATTTCACGGACGATTGAATCGGATGTTGAGGTCCAAGGCCACGCGTAAACGTATCCAGAAAATGATGGGCGACACAAAGAAATTTGCAGCACAGGAACACGAACTTGAGGACGATAAGACGCAATTCAAAAAGATGGTCTTAAACGTGCAGAAAGTGGTAGATTGCGTAGTCGCGTCAAGTATCTCTGTCATCAGCTCAATTTTCCACGTTTTATTTTCGCTCGACGCACCGCAAATGATGGCCCTGTGCTTGTGCATTGCTTTGTTGACCAATATATTGATGGCGTATCGGCTGTCCAGCATATCCGGTCAGCTTGACAAGATAGGGTCTCCATCTTCCGATCCGAGATCTTCCTCAGCACCATGGTATGCGCAGCCGTCGTCGCCAGCTTCATCGTATCGTGAAAGGGATAATGACTACAAGAAACATGGCGTATATCAGTTGGAGCAGAGTATAGATACCATTCATCGAGCCATGTTTCAGCTTCAAAATGAAGTGCGCGACCAAACTGACAGGCTGCATCGGTTAGGACGTTTGTAAATTAGGAAATAATCCTGTGAATCATGGGTTGTGTATATATGAATAATAAACCTATTCTTGGCTGATTTTCAATCTCTCCATCCTCCCCCAACCCCCTTATTACTTTTTCTTGTAATATAAAGGCTGCACATGGCGCGCATCTCATGAGTGATTCACTACTACTTCTTGACGCCATTCTACGAGAAATCTCGGCTTCAAAAGAACGTAAGGGCTAACAGCAATTACTTGTTTACGTGAAATTCCTTCCTGGCCTCAGTAATGATTGACTCGAATGGATCAGTGACAAGTGAAAACACGCAGTTGCTTTTCGCTCTTTTCCAAGATACGCTATATGAAGCTCTATATCTGATCGATCAGAACGCAGGTAAACAACCTTATATTAGGGCGGGAAAGGCCGTTAAATGTCAGATGAATCATCATCTTTTGTTTTGATACTAATATACATTGTAGTGAAACGCGTGCATTGTAAAGCAGGACGCGTGCTGTATCGCGTCACGGACACAATTTTGGAACAACACATGTCTACTGCAACAACAACAACAAGAACAACAGCATCATCATCGTCAGCAGCAACTGCGGTGACTCGACAGCCACCTCGTGCGACAGAGCCATACACATGTCTTGTACAGCCTCGTTTCTGCTCTTGCCCTGAATTCTTTGACTCGACTATATGCGAGCAGCAGGCATTGGTGGTACGATACTATCTTGAACTCTTCTTTTTCGTTTCTTCTGCCTTTAGTTTTTTCGCTGACCACAAATGAACTGACTAGTTGTTGATCTCCTAAACATGTAGTGTCGACATGCGCTAGCAGCAGTTCTTGGGGATGCACTGGATATGCTACCAAATCAGGATCCAATAGGAGATGAGGAACTTGCTGAGACGATGTATCGATGGCAGGTCGAAGAATAGTAGAGGAAAAAATTATTAGACTTATATTTCAGATACGATAATCTTTCCTGATTTCGCCACCCAAATTGGTGGCTAGAAAGTATAAAAATAAGCGAAATTGGACTATCTTTCAGAGAGGTTTGTCAAATCCCCTGGGGTATGCATTAACTACTACGTAATAAATTCAGGTGGTTGGTGGGTAAAATGCATTTCACGCATAAGAAGTGGTGAAGCCGGAACAAGTGGTATTATGGTCGATCTTTAAAGAATGATGGTACAAATGACCATCGTTGATATTTTTCTGGTGGTGGCGTGGGTGGTTGAGGATCGTTCTGTATAATAAATTTGTATATATTATTAGAGCGAAACGTGCTTCTATTACCACGTGCGTTACTTTTCTCTTTTTACCTTTGGCACGGATCGAACTTCAGGGCTACTTGCATCCACTTTGTACGGTGAGTCTACGTTGGTTAATGTCGCACTGTATAGAACGAAAATAGTTATTTCATAACTTCATTTCAAACGCATGGAGCAATACATCAGTGGCGTAATCAACTCACGTCTGAATATCGGCTCTTTCTGCTTTCCCTTCAATCAGTGCACGCCAAAGGTCATGTGTTTCATAAACAATGCTTGTCATGTATTCCTACATAGTGATATTGTTGTGAGTTTTTATGATATTTAGGAGGAGGAAATGATAGATAGCTATCTTTTTATACCTTATCCATATACCGGCCGCCAAATCCAAATGTGTTTTGAACTCCTTCATAAGGAACTTTATAGTATGTATACCAGTCTCTGATTACTTCTTGTAAACCTGGATAATGCTGGGCTACATCATCCATATCTGGAGTAATAGAAAGACATTTTAATTGTGTGTCCTTAAATTTTTCTGCTCCTTACCAGTAGGCACAATATAAGAGATACTTTACTACTTAAATATTGTGCCATAGGATCGTTAATATCGATGGTAACCACCTTCCAATCGGTTTCACCTTCGTCAATAAGACATAATCCACCTAGGATTTTGACTTGCTTTACTTGTCCAACGTATCCGGGCGTTTCACTCAATTCAACAACATCGATCGGGTCATTGTCGCCCACAGTACCCGTCTCAGATGTTATAAAGTTTGGATCTTCGTATGTTTGCATGATAGCGCCATAATTCACCGGATAACCTCGCATCGGGAACATGTTGGGCATATAACGAAGGGATCCGTCTTTCTCGACATCTTGTTTGATAGGATTCATGACGGTTTCTTTATTGGTCTGTATTTACCGTGGTTGTTAAAATATTGAGTTGCCCTCTTCATGTATAAGATGTGCGTTTTTGCGCTTACCTCGAACTTGGCAATTTTCCAACGGGGTATTTCGACGACCATGTTAAAGACATCAGGCTCATTTCTTGTTTCCGGTTGAAAAGGGATATCGTGAAAGATTGAAATAGGTACACCTTGCCTGTTCTCTGCAGTTTCATTGTGTATGTTTACTTTAGCAGTAATACTAGTATCACAACGAGAGCACACCAACGAAGTTCACAAGCGAATACATAATTAGAGGTTTTACCCAAGTACAATGCAAATTCTTTTGTATGAAGCGAGCCCGTAGTTCTAATATGATATAAACAATCTACGTCTGCACAACGTCTCTCGCCACGATAATTTTCGTCGGTCAAACCAAGAGTTGGAATTTCTGCGCCACTACTAGATGCAGCGGTAGTATAGCCAAGAAGAGCAAATGCTGCAATTTTAGCTAAATGCATGTTTTTGGAACGGATAAGGAAGGAAGGAAGAACACTGGTAATATAGATGCTAGTTTACGAGCCTCGGTGCCTTTATAACAATCGGGCGTTATCCCATAAAACTGGGGGATCCTTCAGGGGTACAAACTTGCTTATGCATAGCCAAGTCGTAGAGATGATATAAAATATAAAGGAGACATTGCATTAACACATTGGATATACTATATCATTTCGCTGTCAGAAGTCTAAAACTTACATATATAAAGGTACCACTGTATATCCCGTTTCTACATGGCACGAATGGTGTAAATGCACCCGTAGGTGCAAGTAGATACAGATCTCTGCTGTTGATGTCGCATATTTATATTTTATGTTATGTATTATGTAACAGTAGTAAGAGCTCTGTCAAATTACTTGTATCGGTATGTTTGAACGAATAAAAAGATGATCCTTGAACAAACAGCTAATCTTAAACAATTTTCGTCGATTGGAGCTCTTGGAAAAGACTAACCGTTGTCGTAAAGTACACATAACCAAGGTTTTTATCAATACCAGATCAGCGCATGCAGTGCACGTTTCGTCCTCCCCTGATCCAACTATGACCCGACTGCAGAACCTTCTTTACTTCTGGTATTTACAGCGTTTTTTTGGAGAGTGCCTCAATTGACCAGTATTACTACAATGTGACATCACTGTTAGCTTCTTTTGCAAAAAAAAAAACTGGAGAGTTCAAACGGGTCCTCATAATGTCAAAAGCTTAATCTCAGTGCCGCTTTGGACTGTTTCATTCATTATAGCTTTATAACAAAGCTGGAAGTCACTCTCAGCTAATTTCTATGTGTTGGTAGAAGTGTATTCAAGTAAGAGCAAGAGTAACCTTGTGGGTTCTGTTGATTAATCAGCTAATGTTAAGTAATCGTAAATTTTCGACACTATGCTTACCAATTATCTTTTAAGAAAGGAAGACAGACACGCCATTACCACATATTCCTTGGTGGTGATATGCTACGACCAGTAATGTTATGTGTAGCCAAAATGGTGTACGCTCAACCTTGATACCAATTTTGGTCAATATGCATAGAAAAACAACCAGTTCGCTATCAGGATATCCCTCAAACAGCTCAACCTACTGCTTGGCTTGACCTCGATCATGATTATCCATTACATTTAGCAACGATTTTCGGTTGGGATATATCCGGCTTCTTACATACTTGTTGTAGATTTATGTGATTTACATATAACATGCTTTTTTGCCAGGACGTAATAGATATGCCAGGTTTACATTTTCTGATGAGCGTGTTATATAATTATCGACAAAATGGTATGCATATATGGCGTTTGTTCCTAATACTTTATGTGGCGTACTAGGGACTTTGAAAAGGGGGAGTAAGCAGAAAGACTCTGTACGCTATGGTATCATACACAGTATGTTCTGAATGAGAGTAAAAGAAAGAGCCAACACATAATAAACTCTAAATATTTGATGTAGTACGTCATCCATCACTCTTCCTTTGCTAAAGATATATAAAGCAAATGGCCATCGATGCCACACTATTGATGAGCCAACTCTTTTCAATCCGCGGATATGCGGATATGTAGTCGAATACGAAAGATATACTAGCACGAACTATAACCAGATTTGTGTGACAGCAGATTCTCAACCATCGATATGTGCATAAAAGTCATGAACAAGTTGTCAGTATCTCAGAGCACAACCGCGAATGCTACTTATATTACATAAGAATGAGCACTGAAGCATATACAGCTCTTTATGCGGTTTAATACTCATTGAATGCTTTTCGCAACTGCTTATTTGATTCTGCTTCGCCCCCTTCTCCTAGCCTCTCCGTTGGCTTATACGCCATATTGCCTTTCTGGAAGCTAGGAGCGTAATGCTTCTTTTCTCCTTCCAAAGCATCTATCTCTGACGGAAGCCAAGCTACCATGCAGCAAAAGAGGGACTTGAATATGTGTGTATTACTAACAGATGTTATTTTATATATGACAAGAAGAAAAGAAAGAAAGAAAGAAAGAGGAGAGCCAGAGTAAAGATATGTATACAGGGTTGAGCGAAGTTTAATGTTAATGCTAGATATGTGAAATCGACTTGTTGTCGGGTGTTGTAGGTGGGTAGGCGGAATATATGATGGTGGTTGCTTGTTGCTTTTTACAGGTCCATGAGGACGTCACCACCCTCATCCATGTAAGAGTTGAGTTCAGCGTCGAGTCTGGATTGTGCGGTCTTGGAGTCCTTCATCATGTAGTCGTCCAAAGATTTGTCCAGATCTTGGGCTGAGACAGGCTTTCGACTCTTGTCGTTGCTTCGACCACGGCCACCACCAGCAGCACCACGACCACTACCGCCACCACGTTGTTGTTGCTGCTGCTGCTTGTTGGGTGCTCCGCGAGTGCTGCTTCCTCGTTGTTGCTGTTGACCACGGCGGGGGGTTGTGTTACGACCATCACGTCTTCGGGATACCACGTTGGTGTTGCGCTGATTAGAGCCACGACCACCTACTTGTGCGACTCCTTGCATCGGTGTAGGGCCACTTCGCTTGCGAATGCCAGCACTGACAGGCTTGCTGAGTCGGTTTTGAATGTTGGAGGTGTTTCGTCGAGCAGATCTGATGTTATTGTTGTTGATAGGGGCTCCACGGATACGGGAGAACACGTTGCCGCGTGGTGGTTCCGGTTGCTGCTGCTTGGATTTGTCCAAGTTGCTGAATCTACGATTCCAATCAATGACAAATGCGTCAGTCAGATTTGTATGAGCGATCTAAAGAAAATGGGTTCTTTTTTGTTCTTACCTTTCATTCAAACCACCACCGCCACCAAGGGTTACGACGCGACCGCCGTTAGTATTGTTGTAAACTCTGCGAGGTGCCATTTTCGTCGTTGCTGTTAAAGTAGTTGCTGTTGTAATTGTAGTTGTTGGGGTTCTTTACGAACAAAGAGAGAGAGAGAGCGTGTCAGCAGATCAATCTTTTTTGTGGTGTGCGGTTCCAACTAGTCGTCTTCCGTTCTTTGTGCGTGAAAACCAAAATATAGTAAAAAAAAGGAAAGGGAAATAAAAAAGAAAGAAAAGAAAATCAAGCCATGTGAGCCGGTTGCCCCCCCCCTTTGCCCATTCCACAAAGAAACGAATTTCCCAAGGGCGATGCTTCATCCTTCCAAGGCACTTCAGACTTCGTTTGCGACTGCCAACGGAGAGACGGGTTGTGGGGAGCGACGAAGAGAGAAACAGCAGCAGATACAGAATATAACCGTCAACTGGCATGCAGGGGGGGGTTTGTCGGACGGTATGTGTTGCCGATGCCGTTACCGGTGCCGCTGTATGTATGCGTGTGCGTCGTCAACGTAAACACACACAAGCACAGATAATATGAGAGAGAGAGAGAGAGAGAGACCAAACAGCAGGCTGAAACAGTTGGCAACGTTGGACAAAAGAGCGTCGCGATAACGATGACAACGGAGAGAGCAATCCGGCTGGCGTAGTAGGCCTTGTACTTGGTACTGTACCGTTTCTCTTTTTTCCTCTTTTACCATTTTTTAACCCTTTTCCAACCCCGGCGGGAAGAAACCACCGTGTGAAAGGGGAGGGAGGCATCGCACAACACGGCGGGTAGCGTCAGCAGAACAAACTGTGCATAGTCGCAAACGCCTCCCAGAATCACACAGAAGGAGATGCGCCAATGCAAGAAAAAAAGTAAAGAGCGAGGAAGACTGCCTTTTGAATCATTGCCACCAATCACACAGAGAGCGTAGTAGGGAGCAGGGATGCTTCAAGTAGTAATACCCATCATACGCTCGCAAGAAATGTAGGTTTTCACGGTTGACGGACCAAGAAGGAACTTGTGCCAAATGCAGAGAGTTGAGGAGGCATAACTTACAATAAGAGTGCCAGATGACGACGGTTCTTGCTTGCTGTGTAGTGCTTTTGCGAATGGGAAGAGAGATCGAGCCAATGGAGACGATCAGAAGAAGACCAGTAGACTTGGTATATCCAGGGAGGAGGGCTTGTGTGTTCTTGATACTTGGCTACGATGAGCGTAGGTTTATATAAGATTTGCAAAGGGAAAGAGATTGCCTTGCAAAGAGGAGCTTTGGAGGGGGGAAAAGAGAGAAGAAATGTGAAGAAAAGCGCTGAGCACCAATCGGTGTTGGGGTGGGGGTTGTTTTATAACCAACCAAAATCCGAACCTCAACCAGCGAATCAAAATGGCTCGAGGCGCAGCAGCAGCAGCAATCATCTGTCTGATATTCCTCTCATGCAGATACCTCCAATAACCTCGTATCGTTCTTGGAGAGCTGCACATACTTTATCACCGAGAGCACTAGCTAACCTTGTTGCCTTTACAAGTACGGGGAAAAAAAGACTAAACAAATGGGGACACTAGATGCGGCGCGCTTTCTCCGCAGCACTACACTCTACAAGGCAGCATCGTGTGAACACATCATAAGAAGCAGCAGCTCATGACAACACGAAACGTCAACGTTTGTGTAAAAGAAAGCTAAGTGCACATATTCATCATCCATCATATGCCGTTGAGTAGTACCAACTGGTAGGACGAGTTTACAAATTATTAAATGTTGCCATCATGTGGTCTTCTGCTCCTAATTTGCTGCACTGCTGATTAGATAGAATAGTGATTTGCCTATTGAAGGGTGCAGGAGCAAAGACCCATTCCCCCTTTTCCTTTTTCTTCTTCTACATCAACATTTTTATTATACTGAGCAAATACGGCATCGACCATGGTCTCAGCCAACGCGCAACAATATTAGCAGTAGTGGCGAAAGCAGCGGCAGTAGTAGTCCTAGCAGCCCAGCTGTAGTGGTGTCATTTTCCAACGCATTCAAGGCCGGAATGGTCCACTCCACGCAAAGAGACATACCCTTTAGTTATTCGCAGACATTGTGTCCGTCAATCGTATAACTGACGTCGTATCAAGGAAAGGCGATTTACACGTTGACGGCGCTTGTATGTCAAGACTAAAAGCGTTTCTTTGAATGATGGTAGTGACACCAACATCATTAGAAACTGAAGCATGACAGTGCTTGAAGAGAAGCTTGTATCAGTGGCAAGTGAAAAAAGAAGTACCAACACCGGCAGCACCAGCATTAAATGTATCAGGTGGTAAAAGCAATAACGCAAAAACTCAGTACCATCATCATCCCAAAGATCGACGCCCTTATCATTCCCTTCGTCACAAGCGTCGATTGTATCAACACTTTCAAATATCGTCTTGAAAATTAGCAATTACTTAATCCATTTGTGCGAAGCTATACCCGTGATGAACTGCTGGCGTTGGATCAGAGTACCCTATCACCTTCTGGCAGTGTCACGCTTAGTCCAATGGCTCTCACAAAGCTGATGATATTTCAGTGTACGGGCCATTGACAAAGAAACATGAGCGGTGAGTAGCTTTGCTGTGTGTTGGTTGATAATCCATAGTATTAGAGTAGAAAGCGCACAGGATCTTTATAGCAACTGTGTCCTTTAATCTGTATATCATACTTTCTCTCGCTATATAGTCATCGCCACAACATAAAGACCGATAATGAGCATATTTATAAATAGAGTGCATCAGTAGTATATATATATCAGCAATGTCTCCGTGAAAAATAGCATATACACGTGCATTGCAGCAGTAAGAGTTTTTCGTAATTGATGCTGTCTAGAATATTAGCATCATCCACATGATAAACTTGTGAATGTAGTGCATGCAAATATGTATTGTATCAAAGGGAGGTGAGAGAGAATGAAAATGAAAAGGGAAGTACATAGTTTTGCGCATTATACATCTTATTTCATAACAATATTTATCTTTTTTTTTTGTTTTACAGTTGATACTACAATTACGAATTAACTAATATTTATACTCTCACAGTTGGTGCGCTTATTATTACATTAATGATGCTGCTTATATTATCTGCGTAGGGAACAAGTAGCCTCGACGATGACGATAGTATTAAATCATGATATTTGCTGTTGCTGTTGTTGATCGTTATGTTCACTGCCTGCGGTGCTTTCCCAATCCATCTGTTCATCTTCCTCCTCCTCTAAGGGTCCAGTACTTGTTTCTTCTTCTTCTTCTACAAAGCTATCGTCGCTCTCGTCACTTGGCTCTTCAGCGAGTTCATCCACTTCCGTGCGCTGTTCTTGCTGTTGTTGTGATAAAGCACGTCTTCGGGCGCGTCGTCGCCCACGATTACCCCGGAGAAGTTCCCGGATAATCTTGAGGATTTCCCGACGCCACTGATCCTTACACGCCTTGCGTGAGCGACCGACTCTGTCAGAGATAGAATCCCAATTGAAAGTAGACATGTCTTCCAGCAACTTGTCAGCTGATATTGTATTGAACAGAGCGACGCGCTCTTCACCCGACCATCGTGGGCGTCGCGCTGCTTCTCGACGGTCACCACGGTTGCCTTGCTGTTCAGGAGCATTGTTGTTGTCTCTATTGTTATTATTATTGATGGCACTGCCATCACCTCTGTTGTTTTCATTGCCTGTGTTTGAAGCGTCAAGTCTGTTGTCATCATTTGGATTCATATTCTGATTGTTGTTGTTGTTGTTGTTGGAATCGTTGTTGGGTTGACCCACGTCAGTCACAGTTGTGCCATCGCTCCTTAATGCTTCTGGGCTGTGCGGGACTCTACGGACAGTATCGCCGGCATTGATGTTGTCGTTGATGGAATTGTTATCGCCGTGGTTGTCATTAACGTGAGGGATGTTGCTGTGATGGTCGTTAACGGGATGGTTGTTGTCGCTGTGATGGTCATTAACGCGAGGATTACTGCCGTGGCGATTGTTGTCATGCGGACCGTTTCCATGATGATCACTGCTGCTAGAGGTATTTACAGCCATGTTAAAGTTTCTTGCACACTTGAAGCCTTGCATTGGTGTCACAGGCGTTGAAGATGATGATAAAGATGGAGTTCTTGATGCTATCGTTGTGAATTGGAGTGGTGGGGGGAGTTGACGCGGATGTCCTTGTTGCTGCTCGACCGGATAGCGATGATGTTGCTGTTGCTGTTGATGCTGATGCTGTTGTTGTTGTTGTTGCTCGAAGTCACGGATATCAGGGTGAGGGGGACGTGGTAGATCGAATGATTGGAAGGTTGTTTCTGGTGGCTGCCTTGGTGGCCATTCAGAAAACATGTTTCTAAGCGGTGGCAAATCGTCACGTCGACCGTTGCTATTGCTTGGAGGATAACTGGATGACATTTGACCGAGTTGGATCAAGGTATGTGCGGCGTCTATAGTTTCCCCGGGAACAGAGAAAGGAGGAAGAACAGGATGATGTTGTTGGTCGGCAGAGCATGATGGTGGTGACTGTGGCGGAACAGGAGGATGAGGAGGATGAGGGGATCTGAATTGACTGTGAGTGCTTTGATTCATTGCGAAATGGCAACGAGGTATAGGAGGGGAGATATGCGAAAAGAACTGTAAATTGTGGAGGTGTAGAATGAACAAGAACAAGCAAAAGCTGGTAGATACTGAGTAAGTAAGAGTGTAAAGGTCCGAGTCGTATGAATGCGTGTATTTAGAGAAGCTGATAGGAGAAGGAAATCCAGACGAGAAATGTTAGGCTATATATATAGGCTTTCTTCACTCTTGATGTGATCCATGCTTCTATGTACTTCTTTGTCATTGTATATATCCGTAACCCAAAACAGGAACAACCACTGTGTGTATACGTGTGTATGTCTGTGCCATATTTTGGATATAGAGAGAAGGTGTGTGGGTGAGCGAGACAAAAACAAGGACATTCTTTTCGGTGGATCGCGTGGGTCATCGGGTCGGGTATTCATTCTTTACTTGCGTGCTCATTTATCAATGTATATATGACAGCTGCTAATATTGTGTTTGGTGCATGTGCAATAAGATTTAGGAAAGAAAGAAGATGGGGCCAGTCATCACGTCGTCTGTTCATTTCTCCCCTCCCCTTAACATGTTCGACATATGCAGTCTTGATCTGTTCTCAAAGTTCATTGTCTTTGCAATGTGTACCTTGGTTATACACAACGAAAAGAGATAAAAAAAGCTTCTTTTTTACATTGGCATGTTTACTAAATCAGTCTTTTTACCACTGGCTTGAGGAGGATCATCAGCACGACTGCTTCATATAATTTAATTGAGAAAAAGATACAAAAGAGAGAATATTGACAAACGAAAGAGTAAAACGATAAAAGCAAGCGATGAAGGAAAGAAAAGAAGAACTGCTCTATGCTAACGAAGGACCTTGGGGAATGAATGAAACAGAGAAGGGCGCACGGCAATAAGCCTTTTTCCAGACAGATATTACGGGTGATGAGTAATGGTGGTGATTTTGAGTGCAGTGTGTGTGTGTGTGTGTGTATGTTAATGCGCAAACGAGAAGAAAGGCGATCCAGACCTTATAATGATCATTAACGATACGTTCAGTTATTGGATGTTCTTTTTAAAACAGAAGTAGTAGTAGTAGTAGTAGCAGGAGGAGGAGGAGGAAGAGGAGTATGTGTGATGGAAAGGGGAGGAGTGTAGTGGGAATGGAAATCACAGTACAGAAGGAGTCCATCTTGCTTTTTTAACCTTCCTTCCATGCCATTCTCGTTCTCTATTTCACAACACGAATGATGTTAAATGTCAAACAGACGCCCATCACCAGAATACCATAAATGGCCAAGCACACGGCGGAGATTTTGCCCGGTTTCCAGGGATCATTCTCATGGATCTTGTAATAAAAGATGCCAGGGAGAATGAATGAAATGGTTGTAGATCCTGTCGATCCCACAAACGCCAGTACCTAGAAATGGATCCCAGCACCTGTCAGTTTGCCTTTGTTCTCTCTCTCTCTCTCTCTCTCTCTCTTTAATCTTGTCGCTGTCGCTGTTTGTTGCTGATCAATTGCGTTTCCCGCACCTCCACCCCAGTTTGCTTGCGATGTGTACTTACCAGGTCCAACTCGGACACTGTGATGGCGATCAGATAACTTCCCACGAGGATCGTCGTCGTCATGATAAAGTATTTGAGTGCAGATGGCGGCGGAGGTACTTTGAGTCCCCGAGCTTCCGGTGATCGCCATGCTAAAATCTTATCCAGGGATGCACGGCATGGATGTGCTTGAAGGGGATAGCTGAACACAACGAGTACCACGATAGCAAGTCGACCACCGGCAACAAATGGACTTTGAGGATCTGGAACATATGCCGGGGGGTTATATGTGAATTGAACTCGTATTTTATCAATCAAGAAACAACTGACTACAGGCTGTGAAGACAAAGACACCTACATTCAAGAATGACGTTGCTGAGCACATCCTTGCCAAACGTCAGATATCCCATAATGCCAATGGCTTGATAGACACCAGCCGCACTTCCAATAGATGAGCTGATCACCTTAGTGACTTGGAATTGGCTATTGTCCTTGAGCTCATTGTATACAGAAAAAATCTACATGAACAAACCATAACGTCAGTGAGTCCTTCTATATAACATGACAACACACACGGTTCGTCGTTGTCGATGCTGCTAAGAAAATTAGGTGCGCAGCCACGTACATTCTGATGGCATGTGAAGGCAAACACAAACAGCGGCAATCGTCTGAAAAATACGACAGTAAAGCTGACGAGCTCGATGACAGGCTCTTTGCCGTCAGGAGTAAGGGGAGTGGGTGCAAAAAAGTAGTAGATGACGATAGCACAAAGATAAACGACTGCAACCAAAGCAACGATGCTGGTATATTTGAGAGAGTCCAGCTTTCTCAAGAAACTAAGAGGGAGGATGGTCATGGCCATGAACACGGTGATCCAGAAGCGTCTATCCAGTAGCATTTGGTCCTGTGCTCCTGCATGATCAGAGAACGAAGCAACCACCTGAGCATGTACAATGTACGATATACAGAATGTTTATGTGGGTGCATGCAAAGAAGGTTAGGATCTCGGATTTCCGGTAAGTACCCAGGTCCTCACAACCCACTCACACGATCTCCCTGCCCCCTCTCCCGTCTTCTTTCGGTGGGTAGAATATTTTCTGTCCTTGCTTGCAGCGTGCTTTTCTTACCTGAGGCATAAGGTCACCGATGATGATCAGATAGCTCACCGCCACGCCAAAGCATTTGATGGCAATAGCCAGATCAAAAAATACGGCAAGATTGGGCCACGTTAATTTGGAAATAGCAAAGAATGATGCATTCCGGCCTTCCGTGCGTGCAGCGCAGCGAGACAGAAAGTATAAACCCATACCTGATGCCACTGCCGATAGGAAGACAACAGCAATGCCTGGTATCAGTCCTATTGAAGCCAATGCTGCTGGCTAAACAACATACACGCATATAATGCAAATCAATCAATCACGAGTCGTCGCCGTGGGGCTAGAAGAGAACGAGCATAGGTTACATACCATGGCAAGTAAACCAGTGCCTAAAATAGTGTTGACAAGGTTGATCGCACAACTTGCTGGAGTGGCTGTGGGTGGACTTTCTTCATAGTTCATTTCAGGATCTTCATTCTGATAGATCGAAGTGTTTGCCGAGGATAAAAGAGGCCGTTGATCATCTGGGTACGATCCACTTGGAGCGTCTGTGGATGAAAAGATCGATGATGGAGCCGGTGCGGAGGTTACGGACGATGCTGTCGCGCTGTCTGTGTTTTCTAAGCGCTGGTATCCTGACATGAATAAATTACGAAATGAATGGGGCTACTATTAGAGTGAGATAGAGAGAGAGAGAAGAGGAAGGGAGGGGAGCGAGAAAGGGGAGAAAGAAGAGGGGGGGGAAGGGCTGGGAGTGCTAGTGAGAAACAGAGCTGGCAACGAACAAGTGAGAAAGGGGAGGTTTTGGTTTGGAATTGTCCGCACTAAAAGATTGGTCGACCTTGATTTTCAGTCACCTGTGTTAGTGTGTGTGCGAGTGTATTTCTGTACATGTGCGGGAGAGAGAGATCAAACGCTGTCTTTATCATTCAAGCAACAGGGTAGTGCAGATATCCGCGTATCTTTTTCTCTATCGAGAGATACGCTGTTCGCCTTTAACATCTATTGTACGACCTGGACAAACAAACCAGTTAGCATATCATTTACACTATATAATCAGCCAAAACTTACTATACTGGCCGATGCGTTCTTCACCCCCATTTTCGATTTATAGTTTCTGCGTGTACGGGACGTATTTAGTAGACACGTTCTGATAGCTCAATGAAAAAGTTTAAAGTGGATAGAAGCAGCGGCAGGGCACACAACGGAACCAATGTTGTTTGCAGGAGTTAAAATATGAGTCAAGGTGAATGTCAGTACAGTATGATACGTGCAAAGCAGAACAGCATAGAGAAGGGGTTACCACTGACAACTTAAAAAAAAAAAGCAGGACGGGATTAGATCTTTTATTTTCTTTCGTATTAATTTTTTGTTTTCTCTCACTCTCAACTCTTCTTCTTCCTCTTCTTTGAACTCTTTTGTCTTCTTCCATTCACTCTTTTCTTTTGAGAACAGTTGACTAATAAGCGAAAAAAAGTGTACTGCATAGTGATGGATACGAACATTTGTCTTTACTGCGAAAAGCAATTAACCAGCAATTATATCTTTAATAATAATAATAATGCAAGTTAAAATATCTATTTTGTTGTATTGCTTCAAAATAATGTATTCCTTCGTCTACATCTTTATGCTTCACTATATCGAACCGGAAAGGATATTTAACCGATTATCCCTTTGACTTTTATATACGGTATCAGACCTCGTCCACTGGCTTTTGTTCGCGCGCCTGCCATGCAAAGGAAGCCGCCAAGACTCAAATACCACCTTGGGCAACGCTGCGTGGAACGTCCTCCAGCCGCTTTCAAAAGGCCAAGGCAATTGCGAGCTGTGCTAGCATCCGACGTAGTCCCATCCTATTATTCAATTGCAAATACTCTCCAAATGGCCCGGTAGCATCTGCAGCAGCTAGTACTACGACCGTCACTATACCAAGCTCTCCAGCTTCCCCTCCATCGCCCAGAAGCAGGTCTCCCAGGCGACAGTTGCTGGGGGAAACCACCAGTACCATGACAGATGTGTCTCCACGCAACCGATCCTTGTCATCACCACCGGAACGCTTCACCACCACCAGCACATACAACAGCATGACGTTAAGCGACAACGACCATCATCAAGTTTACACGGTACAGGCAGCCCCTCCTCTATCCTCTCAATCTGCAACCACTACCACTGTTTATGGTCGTCATCATGAGCAGTAAAGCCAACAACAAAAACATTATTTGTCAGCAATACGTTATCCGACTAACTGTAAATCTTCTAATGAAGAATAACCCTGAGGAGGGTTGTTCCGTGTTAGAATTATACCTGCATTACAGCATACTAAAAAAACCGCACACATATGCACTCTATTATCAATATTTCAAAGAACAGGGCAATGATGATGTGCGCAGCACAATTGTAAATATGACTTCCTTCTTCAATAAAGATTGGCGGGCAAAATTCCTTCTCTTACATAGCATTGATAATCGGCTATCCATTATCAACAAAACACTTAATTTCAACAAAGAGCATAAACCTAAACATAGCCTTTTTTCCTCTTCCCCACCACCTCGCACACACGGACTACACATGTTGTTCCACGTGTCTTCTTGTCGTGAAATGAGCAAATAGGGATTTGAAAGCCCAACGACTGGCTGTCTGTGGGCGCAACACAAAATAAGAGCCCAAAAAACGATGTAGACAGACAAGTTTTTTCAATCTTAACTCTCCTGTAATTACAAAAGGGATAACTTAATAGTAGTGGTAGCTACAAACAAAAGTAGTGTTTTAAACAGTCCATTATTTTCCGTATGATAGCGATAGCTGACTACTACCACTACGTCATAATGATACATAAAAAAGTGTGAGTGGGACATATAAGACCGCGAAAAGTGAGAATAAGGAATTGTAGTAGTAGAGTGGGAGGATATATACAAATAATTTTTGTTTAATATTTGTTGTTTGCTTCCAAAGTTGCAAATAGAATTAAACGCATCATCATCCAGAGTTCATCAATATCATATTATTTGACTCGTAGGACGGCACGTACGTCCATCAAGAACACGAAAAGAGCCTCCTTGAATCCAGCGACATTTCTACTAGGCGGAAGCACACCCCGTAGTTCCCTGGGCGTTGTGGCATCCAACTTTTCAAATGCATGCAGTAATCGTGGTTGAATTTCGTTGGCTTGCTGAGAAATGATCTGGTTGACTACCGCGTAATACTCCTCCTGAAGCATCACAGAGAGACAATATACAAATTCGGAAATCTGTTGTTAGCTTTTTCTCCTCTCTTCCTCTCTCCCTTCCTCTAGCTCCCTCCGAGCCCTTACTTAAAATGCACACCACCCCGCCTCCTGTTATCACTACTTTTTTTTTTGAGTATTTACCCTTCCTGCACAGATCAAAGATAGCAAGGCTTCTGAAGCTCCATCGACAGCAGACGAATCCAAGTTCTCGAATAAAAGTAATTTAATCAATTGTTCCAGGAACTTGCGTAACGCCGGTTTTAAAAAGTCTACATTGTCTATTGAAAATGGAAACCTTTTTTTAGTAAATTGTTTTTTAAGCACATAGAATTTGGCTTTTTTTCTGTATTCAGCAAATGACATACTATTAGCAAGGACTTGGTTATGAGCCCAAAGGGCGAGAGGTGCGATCGCTTGCAATGCTAGAATATTGACGTCTACAATATCGTGTCCCACGCCAAATTCCAAGCTTGCCATCAAGTTGTTGAAAAGATCCGAAGGCAGAGCTACTAGCTTATCAGGGAAAAACTCTATCAGGTTGGAGATAAGCTTAATGTACTGCTGGCACAAGCTCGGGATCTATATTTGAGATAATACAGAGAAAGAGACGTTTGTCCGAGTTTAGCTGCTTGTAGACATCCTTGATTTCCTTTTTCATTCTATCAAAAACTTGCCTTGAGCATTTCAAGATCAATCATAGGGATGATCACGTTAACACCAAAGAGAACAACGTCTGCTACGTCTGGATTGCCAGGAAGAACAGGTGTGGCGTTTTCACTACGATCTAACAATAGAAAAGGTGACCATCAATTCGTCTAGTCCAATATATATTAGAAGTTTAGAAACACACAATATCACTTACTGAAGTCTTCGAATTCAGAAGCCATGGTGTTTGTTAAAAGAGATAGGGCGGTAGCGACATCAGGGTATGGACGATCGGCTTCTTCTTCTTGTGTATGGATTCGCTTCTTTCCTATTATAATATTATTACATAGCAAACATCAGCATATTAATGTTCCATATACTTTAATATCTCATAAGAAAAGTTCATCATAATTTACCTCTGTTACTAGCACCATAGCTCTTGAGAATTTCGACTATGAATTGAAACAATAGCTGCTTTTGATTAGGTTCCAACAGACCGAAATCCTACAAAATATGAGGTTTGAAATAAGTTAAAAAAATTCTCGTTTCTTTATAGATTTCAAATTCTTCTTCGGTATACACTTACCAAACGGCCTGCCAAGTCTGAGAAAAACTGGAGGAGTAACAACTGAACCTCGGCTACATCTTTGTACATGTTCATCAATTGATGCATGCTCTCAAAGAAGCGAGAACAGAAGTTAAATATGACTTGGGTGTTGGTGTACTGACTTGCTAATGCCAGGCCATCAAACATCTAAACAGAGAGTTAAAAGACGAAATATAAGACAGGAATAAACGGCGCAGCATTTATCATGATGATGAAAAAAAAGTTACTAGGTGAAAGGAATTGGTTTAAACCATCGACTTTTGCGACATACCTCCAAAGCATTCATAACGTCGTTCATCATATCAACGCGCTGGAAATTGTGGACGAATTCTGGATTGTGCAAAACAGATCCAAGTCGTTTCTATATGCATGTATTGATTACTTGTATCAGATGTCTTTATAAAATGACACACTAATATATGGTGACCATGTCTTACCTCTATCATTCCAAAGATCAGGCCAAGATATTGTTCGCGTACTTGTGCGTCGCCAGCGCCGCTCGAGATTGTCGCAATAGTTTGGATTAACGAACTAGAACGGAAACATCTATTAGCTGACCATTCTTCCCATGATTTGACTTTGTTATTATACTTACTTGTGCACGTTTTCTGGTAGTTGTTCCAGGTTTGCTGTGACGAACTGAACCAGATCAGGGAATTTACTTGATTGCAAAAGGCCAGTTTTTAGGTTTGTAGAAATACCACACGAGTGAAGCCATCGGATGATCTAGTGGAGTATGAAAATCTCAAATTAACACCATCAGAGTATGCATTATCTGCTTGGTTGTCAATAGCGTACCTGTACAAGCACATCAGGATCGGCGCTCCAAAGAATGAAATTGGCCTTGATTTGCTCGATGAAAAAGTCTATGATTTCTAAACCGTGTCCGTCGGATGGTCCTGGTCTGCCAAAGACTCGGGCAATGTTTGGACTATGAACTTTCCATATTAGCTTCTAATATCTCCATTAATGTTTTTATTTCACAAAGTAGTATATATATTTATATACCTCATATAGCCGTATTCGTTTTCATCCACAAGCAAATATGTCTTACTCCAACGTTCCATAAACCAAACAAGCGTCTCAGCAACTTGAGGACTACAGTTCGACGCCTGGTCATAGACACATAAAGTTAATATTAAATAAAGTTGCCAGACATAAAAGCCTTACTCCCTTCTTCCCTCCTCCCTTCTCTATTATAGTAATCACTCGCACAAGAGTACATACCTCGACAGTGTTCGCGCTAAAGCTTGAGAGGAAGCGGAAGATTTCGAGAACTAGCTTGGACAGATTCGCGACTTGATCTTGTTCGAGAGTCTATATCAACATTTATGTTAATACATTAATGCTGCACCCTTAATTATCGAGTCCCTTCAACCTACGCTAGGAGTTTACCTGAGAGCCAGATAGATGCATCAAAGAGTCTGGTATCATGGGCTGTTCGCCTGTGCCTGGATCTGCCATTACGTGAGCGGTAATAAGAATCAGCCAATGCAGATGCTCTTGCAGATGGTAAAGCTGGTTTTCTGTAGATACGTAATTGATATAGTTAGCAACGGAGTTCCTAAGAGATATATGAACGCAGGATTATACCTTCATTAACCATTTCAGACATTGTAAAGTATTGTTTCAACAATTGGAAGCGACCTTCCATTAGTTGTTGTATGTTCAAAAGACTTCTTCCTGGATCCAGGCGTCCAAGAGTGCCAATATAAGTAAGTTGGTCGGCAAAGGTATCCTGTATAGCATCAGTTGGAAACGATGGATTAGAGTTAAAGATGCTGTATAAAGCTATAATCTTTCCTTTCTCCCATAAGATTATAATGAAGACACAATTTACCCAATCTTTAAAACCACTGCTAACATCCTCGTCTTCTTCGTCATCGAGCACTGTCTGCTGCGACTGCAATAACTTCGACTCGATATAAGTGGCTATGATACCTGAACAGCCATTTTTGATATAGCGAACCAAATCTTCTGCTTCGGCGGGCGATAATCCTGCTTTTGGATCAGGTCCTCGGCCATCTGATGGTTGAGCCACTTCAGCTAATCTCACCCATGTTTCTAAACATTCATCGCTAGCCTCGCTGATCCATCCTTCGTCAATGTCTCGTGTTGCCGTTCCTCGAAGACAAACAACGGTCACCTCACCAAAATCGTCCATGAACTGATAAAATTCGGGAATGCTCCATAAGGTTCCCAAAGACAGACCTTCGCAAATTCTGCGAGTGATCTGGATTGTTCCAAGCAGATGCGGACCATTTTCTGAATATGCGGCAGGATCGCTACCAAGCTTTCGAAGTCTGTATCAATTTCAGCGACAAGAAAACATGCATCCGGTTAGAAAACATTGTCTTTATTTATTCGACAATATGACTTACTCTGACATCATTTGGGATGCACCATGGATGAACGTCGTTGCATATTGTTTGGCGCGGTTCACATCGTTGTCAAAGAATTCTTCGTTGAAGCCGGCTAACTGAATAAGACATTGTCGGCACCTGTGGCCCAAAACGTCATCTGTTTGAACAAGTGAGCAGGTCTATTGTCAAAACAGTTTGCCAACGGTCAGTAAGGCATCATCCCTCTCCTTTTGCCCAGAAAGAAGATTGTCGAAGAAATTCATTACAGGTACCATATATCCTACTTACTGTAAAGAATAACCAGATGACATCTGTGTTGGCGACGAGGGGTTGCCAAGTCTTGGGGAATACGGTATAAGTCTTTTTCACTGCACCAGGGCCATCTTCTTTATCAAAGTCCTCGTCGTCAGCTTTCTTTGCGAATGTGCCAGGCAATACTTGTCCATTCTGGGTTGATTCAAATTGCCACTGCAATATCTTTTCTATCAAAGTGACAAGCTCTGTCAAAAGTGGAGGCGGGGTCGAAAATGAGCCTTGTTGTTGTAATTGAGAAACGAAAGCATGCAATCGCGTGACAGACTTCTGGAAAATTCCGTGAAGAATATGAGACTATAAAGGGGTGGAATGGCTGATATCAGTGAGCAATTCTATTAATTCCTTAGGCAAATGGTTTCTACTTGCCTCGAAATAAACCTTAGCTTTGTAGTGGAATTCCCAGCTTAAACCAATTGTCGAGGATCGTGTCGTTGAAAATTGATCGACAAGAGCACCCGCGAGTGCCACACCAACAACCTATTTTAGTAAAAGTAAAAGGGGGCATAGTTAGTGTCACTTTGTTCCAAGGCACGGACAGGATCTCTTGCTTCACCATAGCCATACACAGCATTGACGGAAATCACACAGAAAAAAAATATGGAACTTTTTGTATGCTTACGGATCCGTGATCTTCCATAGCAAAAAGGTGCTCGAGCGACATGTAGATTGCTTCGCGATCCGCATCCGGGATATCAAATAAAGTTCGCTTGGTGATAAGAGCAATGTCGCATAAAAGTTGTTCGCGAACATATTTCATAAGACTGATAAACGCGTTGAAGTCATCGTCAGCATTCCCACCATTACTACTACCATCACCTACACCATCAACCCCTTCTCCTTTTTCTACGCCCCGCATCCTGAATGCATCAATCCAAACTAACTCTACTCGTTTTAAACAGTATTCGATCATATAGTTCTTGAGTTGAGTCAGATCAGCTAGCGGATAAAGCGTGTAGTCTCGCATAGACACTTCACCAATAGCAAGAGCGACTTGAAACTGTGCCATAGGACTTTGCGCGTGATCTATATACAGAGATTGAATGTGCACGATCAGTTTCAAACTAATTAAGACGCAGTAGTGAGATCTACTTTAGAATCGACTAGTAACGCATTTACCTAAAATGTATTTGCATATTGGCAAGACTTTAGGGATCTGTCGAAACGACGACAAGACGTGTTCGGCTGCTGCTCTTGTTGCAGGTACCTGATTAAAAACCAAAAAGATCCCGAAACACGATTTAAGCAACCGTGTTTTTTCTCACAAGTTGACTGGATGTGTTGTCAAGAGAGTGAAATTACCTGAAAATCAGAGCAAGCTTCCTCGAATTGCGCGCAAATGGTTTCCGCCTCGTTCATTAGTGCAGCAATTAGTGCAGAGGGAAAAGAGAGAAAGAGAGTGCTTACTTAACTAAAAGAAAAAAAAAATCCTTAAGAACGCGGGGTAACAATTATGCAACCGCTTTCCCTCAGAAAACATTTCAACGACACTTGCTATACGCACAATTAAGACAAATTTTCTGCGTAGTTTTTGATTGATCCCCAATAGCGTAAAGGCTTTTGTGTCTTTCTGTGATTCGAGAACTAGAACACGCGGTATACACGCTTAATGCAGCAGAAGAAGGGTTACGAAAATACACGTGAGCTCAAAATTCTAGTCGATGCAATATCATGCAACAGCCGATTGGATTGGCAAGACAAGCGTAGCAATATAATGCAGGGCAAATATCTGGTCAAACAGATCCCATTACACTGTGCTGCTACATTTGTTAAAAAACCTGTTTTTTGCCACGTTTATTGGCAAGGACCTACTGTTAGAGACAACAATCCTTCGCGCCCTCAGCGCATGATCAATTCTGACAATGAGTTTAATCTTTTTGCAATAATGCTAACCAGTAGTGCTTTTTATGTGGGAATACACAGGTGGTTCCCATACATCAGTCCATAACACAGGATTTCTACTGTAGACGTTTACAGTGTAATTTACAAACTATATTCTAGGGGCTTATATACAGAGGCGAGATAACCAATATAAGCAGTTTAAACAGATATTGTTCAAGTATGTGTATAGAATAGCGTCTTGTTATTGTGATGATAGAACCGGGCCTAATGCTTCGTTTGATATACTTAATCTTTTTTATCTGTTGGCGCATCCACAGAGTTCATCAAGTCAATGAGGATTGCTTATAATGATATTTAATACCTGTCCTACTGCAGCAAAAGATCAAATGTATTGATCAGCTTGTTTGCATCGAGATTGTTGGAAATGCTTAATGGCATAATTATGCAGGTAGCAACGGCGGGATACCAGAACATCAACTCCCGTTCCTGCATAACTGAGATTTTAGAAACCGGCTCACTGCAATATTTCAGTTTGGCCTTCAGGCTGGTACACTCTTGGCAAATTCTGCGACCGAAATATTGTAGCTTGTGCCGTAGAAACTAAAGTGAAAACAGAAGTATACCTTGTAGTAGCCATCATCCACTTAATCGCGAAGTCAGTTTCTCTACTAATGAAATGAGTATCGCTAATATATTTCCAAAAAGAGGTTTAGAAGTAGACGTATGATACCATGTCAACTCTATGCTGCGATAATTTTCGAAAAATGCAAACATGAATGGAGCCCCACAGTCGCATCACAAAGCCTTCTCCGTCAATGTCTCTTTTTTCTTTTTTCAACAAAGTCTTCTGGATGCCACTCCCTTAATTCGAACTACAATAGACTTAAACGATCTATCCGTGTTCTTCATTCAATTTATAAACATAGCCAACATAGCCAGAAAAGTTTCGTTCATCTCCACCAATAGCCATCTTCGTAAAGTAACATCGGGTATCATCGACTCTGTCACCAATATCCGACGGGCCCTGTACCGTAACGTTCTTTAATATACCCCTTTTCATCCTTATACTCTCACAATCCTACCGCTTTGCTGTCATTGGAAATCTTATCAATATCACTGGCCAAAAGTCGGTCTCCTACATCATACAGCACAATCCACAAATCAACGTAGTAATAAGCAACAGCCGCATATGTTGCTTAGGCTTCTATAGCCATATAGAAATTCTTCTGGTCTTGCTTGTTTTGTGGGGATCTTCTGTGAAGAACGCATATCTGGCCAATATCGGTTTATGGTATTCTTTGCGTTGCAGAAGAACTTTTTTATCAAGTATAAGCATTTTTGTCCTTCTTATGGCTATCCGCAAGGTTCAACACATTGTTCAGGGTAACACACTAAAAGAAAATGAAAAGGAACTGGTAAATGACATTTCAAAAAAAAAATTATTATGAGAGACTATACAATTGCATACAGGATGAAACTTAGTTCTTTTGCACAAGCTGCCGAGTTCTGTTCAAGATAATTCTTTGTATTGCTCTTCATTATACTGCCGAAGGTCTTCGATGTCTACGAAACAACCACAGAGTATTCGTTGACAACATTTAAAACGTAAGTACACAAATAGCTCTCAGACATGCACAGCTCAGATTGCTCGTTCGTTATGTTTGTTTAACATACCTCCACTTTAGCCTCGCGGTTTGTTTTTGAAATTGGATTTTGGTTGCTGTTTCGTACTTTCTCTTCTTCTGTGCTCTACCAGTATTGTATTAACTTAAGGGTGCACGCTCCGCCAACGGCACTGGGTTTCTTGTTCTTGTTGTGCGCTGCATTATGTCGGTCGAAGCTCGACATACGGACACCCACAACTCATCAACCAATTTTTTATATGACGCCTATTACGGTATCGAATTAGAAATTATATCTAAGGAAACATACACAACTCTTTACTTTTTAACATCATCATGAGAAAATATTTTTCAGTCTTTGCAGCATTTCAATCACATCGCGCAAAAGAATGGTGGAGTACTGTACTTGCGAGACTAAAGACAAAATTTTATAAAGAACGCAACTGGGTCGAAACGGGTCGAAGCGAGATAAAAGCTCTTTCAAGAGTAAAAGTGACTTTGATCCCTAGTTAAACATTGAAGAGGTTTTCGTTGTTCGAGCAAGTTGGTAACCACAGTGACTTGGCAGTTTTCACTAAATATTATATGATTGTTAGTAATTGTACTTAAATCGTTGCTTCTATAAAATTCCTATGATAGCATGCATTTGTCGCGGTCACTTGATGCTGTATGATTTTTCTTCCTTCATAGTACAGTATTATCATGCGTGTTGCTAAAGTGAGCCTAGATCCAGAAAACAATCGCGCCAGGTAATAGCGCTCATATTAAAATTTGTAAGTAATCTTTTATAAAACGGTTTCTTTCTGCGGTCATGGTGAATAACAGCTCATATTATAGGAGGGTGCAGTCTCTAACGAAGATGTCAAAGTGGCGTACTGTACAGGGATCGCTGCCGGCAGTGAGTCCTCTTCCTCAAAAGCCTCATAAGCTTTCTTTTGGAGTGCCCTACGATTACTGCGGATGAACGTTCGATACGAACGATTGAAAGTGGTGGGATCCTATCAATACCGTAAGACATCCTTTAGGATGATTACAAGCAGACATGCTGTGGAATGCTTAGCAATAAACCCAATATTACAAAATCGGATTTACCATCGTTTGTACCTCTTGCATTCAAGGCGCTTCTACTTACGATGCGCCAATATTGTTTGTATGATATTATCTGCTGCTTTGGGTGACGAATATAAAGAAGTTGGGCTTGACGCATTGTGCATTTTGTTTTCGCTTCTCGCCAAGCCGGCCGTCTGCAATATTCGTTTACGCTCAATCAACCCTATCTTCAGAATAATCATCAAAGGCTTGCATCAATTTATGACAAACTATTATCGGTACGAAAAGAATGGCTCAAGATAAAAAATAGATGTCAGTCCCTTTCCCACTGTTTGCTAGAAACAGAGATTGAAATACGCATTTCAGCTGCCTCACTACAGTATCTCATTTGTCAATATGTTTCTGCCAATTGTATAATCCATTCGCTAAATTTTAACAGAGCGCATCCATATCGATGATTAATGGTAATTCAAGAAAGCCATCATGTCGTTTTCGCTACAACAGCAGTCAGATGATAATTGTAATGATCTACTGTACTGTCGGGCAAATGTTTATGAGTTTAGGGTATTGCCGAAAACTCGCGATTTCTATACTTCCTTTTTCATGTTGATATGCATAAAAAAAGATGCGATGATTTATGATATGTGGACTTGAAACTTTCAAACGTACTTTAAGACTTTTATGTGCATTACTATAGTAAATGTTGGGAAAAACGAAGCGGCGGCGGCAGAGCTTTGGTCAGCCTCATCTAACAGCTCTTAACGCTCAGAAAGAGATATAGTGCCGTAAGTTAGTGAAATTACTATAAGTACGTCAGTTTTCATACAAAGAGGGAGCCATTTTCAAGCAACATACCTTGGATCCATAGTTTCTGTTGTTGGCTATCCTCACCGAAACAATTGTATAGTTCCCGTTATGTAATCAGTATTATTTTTGGAGTATCAGCCATTATTACTTTTGCATATCACTAGATCGAGTTTATCAAGTAAACCACCAAGTTTTTAGTTGGAATCGATATCTAGTCGAAACCACCCACCTAGTAGCACAAAGTTCTAGTAAGAACTAGCACCTCAGAAGGCCGGTTATAAAACAACAAAATTGTTGCTTAGTAAAGCCTTGAAAAAAAATTGGCGCCGACCTAGCAAAATCTGCTTTGAAAGACTCAAATGTGCTTTTTATGTCTCTCGCTCAAAAAGAAGGGTCTCGTGATAAACGCGAAAGCCTCGTGCTTATTTCGTTCATCTGATAAGCTCAAACACTCGAGCTTTTTCCTCAGCCAAAAGTAAAAGTGGTTTATCATGATGATACTAAAGTTAATAGCGTATAGAAAGTATAATTGGAAAATGGAAAGTATGTATAAGGTAGGTTTGGTTGGTTGTAAGTGCAATGGTAGGGACACTTGGCGCGTATCACCAAACCACTAAGACCGGAAATCACTAAGCCACTTATTAGTGTGCGCCCGCAGCCGCTGTTCAACCACCGCGCTAGCGAGCCGCTCTAGTGTACTGCGTGTGTGTCTGTCTTAAAACCGTCAAACATCCTCGCACACCCCTCATCGATCCCAATTGTTATAGCTGATTGATTCCTACGAGGAATTGTATAAAATAGCAACTATGGTAAGTTAAAAAAAATAGTTATATGCTCAATTAAAATAGCACGAGAGACCCAGACATCAACTACAGCACTGAAATGAGTCTATGAACGCGCGATCTAATTGTGTGGGCATGAGGGCTAAATCATTTCACTGTTGCTGTAACTGTTTGACTTTCTTGACTATTTGCACCTTGTTCATTGCTTTCTTTCTCTGTTTCTCCAAAATCATTTTTACTTTAAAAACACGAAGTTAATTCACAGTTATTTATAATGATTTTTCCCATTTATAGTCGAAAAGTTCAAAGATGACGAATATAATAAACTACCGTCTGCGTATTACGCTTTCAGATTCGCGTACGCTGACGGGACAGATGCTCGCGTTTGACAAGCACATGAACTTGGTGCTCGCCGACTGCGAAGAATTCCGCAAGATCAAACCAAAGAACAAGAAGAATGACGAGGACGAGCTTGAACAAAAGCGGACACTCGGTTTGGTGATTCTTAGAGGCGAAACAATTGTCAGCATGAGCATCGACGGTCCACCACCCCCAACTACAAACGAAACCAGAACACGAGGACCTGGATTGCAAATGGGTACAGGCATGGGCAGAGTAAGTATTATAGTAGTGATAGGAACAGTAAAAGAAGAAAGGACGCGTGTTTGCAATTATCGCTTGTTATGTGAAGATATGTATACTTACCGATCACACTCTATCACTATAACTACTCTAGCCTGCCGGCCGTGGTATGCCAGCTGCTCCTCCACCAGGTGGACCTATGGTTGGATTATCTGGCCCTGTCAGAGGTGTTGGTGGTCCTTCGCCGCAGGTAATGAATTTACAAAATGATCTAGCTACCAAATATGTAGCTACCTTTGTTCAGGAAAGAGAGCATCACAAACTTACTTTCCATTGCTATTAGATGATGCAACCACGACCTGGAATCCAAGCGCCGCCAGTTGCTTATGGCCGTCCTCCTATGCCCCCACCTGGTCAAGGCGTAAGTTTATGGCCATTGTTTTCGAGTTATCATGTATCAATTCGCTTTTAACTGACAATTATTTGCGTATCTTATTTTCTTTTTCTACAGCCCCCTCCAGGCTTCCGTCCTCCTCCACCTGGTATGCAGAACTTCCGTCCCCCACCACCCGGCTTCAGACCTCCCCCGCCCCCAGGTGCTCCTGGCACGCCGCCACCGGGCTTCCGCCCGGGTATGGTAAGTTTTATCCACTTAGTGTGCCTATCGAGAGGAGGGTGGATGCGTACAATATGAGTGATGGATTGGGGTTCTCAATCGATATATATGACATGATGAAACTAAACTTTAAAATGTTACTTATCAGCCTCCACCGGGTTACCCTCCACAGGGCGGTCCTCCACAATACGGTAGACCTCCTCAGCAATAAAAGGTTTCGAAATGATAAAACAACTGTTTGCAAACGAACGACAAAAAGGGCTATCTATTGTGGCTCAATTTTATTTTAAAAAAAAAATACACCGTGTCTTTCTTCCGTCTCTTTTTTTCTTCTTACGCACAAACCACACTCACTTCTCGCCAACACTTATTCAAACGCCTCTACCATCATGCTATCTTTTTAAATTGCAACAGAAAAGTTTGTTTCGATTGAATTGGAATTAATAAACCTTTTTTCTTTTCGAGATCTGTAATAACACACGCACATGTTTGACTTATCCGTGTAAATTGTTCCAGTCCAATTATGCTCAAAGGACGACTGCATGTGAAAAAGAGTGATTATAACGGGCCTGTTCTATCGTCGTTGTGCACTGTCAATTGTTAGCTGCCGCTATTGTCGGATAATCGATAAATTCAGTGGAGCACTCATAAGCTGCATATATGTCTATCAAGGCTACACGATATCCCAATTTCAACCCCTTCCCTTAGAATACATCCCAATCGATGCTTTTTTTGAATACACAAACAAATGACAGCTTGGTAAAAAGCATTCGCTTTTATTATTATTATTATTGATGCACAGATCCAAAGAGAACAAGCTTATTTGTTCACGACGATACCATCGAACTACATTAACGTAAAGAAGCAAAATAATCATATTAGTTCCGACCTTGATCAGCACCATCTCCAGTACACCACCACTGCTATTTACACCAATCACTAGAATAAAACAAAAAAAAAAGTATTCACGTACGCGAGACTTGAACCATTCGACGGATTCTTCCTTCTTGATACGGTGAGCAAAGCCAACTCTGGACTTGGTGTGCTTGCGGCGAGCGACACGGTTACCAGGGCGGCCCATGACGATGTAGTAGTCCATACCATAGATACCAATGGAAGGATCGTACTTGATACCAAGATCAATGTGTTCGTCAATACCGAAGCCAAAGTTACCGGTCTCGGAAAAGTTGCGGGCACGAAGTTCGTATTCCTTGACCTTCAAACCACGTTCCAAGATTTCCTCGGCCTTAGGACCACGGACGGTAACGTGAACGGAAATCTTTTCGTTACGGCGAATGCCAAAGGTACGGACGGTGTAGCGAGCCTTGGAGTACACGGGGGTCTGACCGGTCAATTGTTCCAACACCTTGGCAGCACGGGTCAAACGATCACCAGATTCACCAACGCAAATGTTGAGAACGAGCTTCTCGATGTGAAGCGACTTCATGGGGTTCGTCTTGGTCTGTTGAGTGGCGCTCTGTAAATTTTCGTAATTCGAGTAATGGTGATTCCATTCAATTCATGTAGACATGTATATAGAATTGATAGAAAGTTTTGTTTTTTGGTAGTAAGGTCAGTTTTCTATTTCTCGTTTCTTTTGCTTTATCCATCCCATCCGTGCATTTATCCATCCATTCATCCACTCTATCCATCCATCCGTTTGCGTTATCTGTATGTACCATAGCTGTCGTGGTGAAGCCCGAAGGACGATTACAACAAAGGGAAAAGGGAGGACTTCTTGATCATTGGCCCAATCGTCTTGTAGCACCCTCTTTCCAGCCGTCCATCCAAATCCATCCGCCCATTGCCATAATGGTCAACTCCGACAGTTCATATAACCAAGTTGCTATCCAGATGTTGCCTCTTCTTTATTTCCAACTTACGAGTTCATGCAATGCTCTATCTCTCCCTGTCTATTTAATGTTTCATTTTTTGTGGAGAGCAATTATATGGAGAGAGAGACTCGTAGTATCTCTTCAAAACAATACCTAGTTCTGCATTTTCTGAAGGAATAGAACTGGATCGTATGGCAGACGAATATATCAGCAGTTATCGAGAAAAAATATACAAAGTACCAATATATGATACATGCGAATGGCATAAACCTTGTAACATATAGAGCAAGAACTCAAAGAAACATGATCTACTCCAATTACTTCTTCAGTGATTACACTTGGGAGTGAACTAGCAAATTGGGTGCTTGTGCAGAGCAGAGCTACTTTTTTAACACATTAATCCATGAAAGGATGACCTATCCTACTTATCGACTGCTGTCGAACCAATCCGTGTCTCCATTTACTTATATAATAGTTCTTACCACATTGATTTGGAATACTTTGATCGTTCATATAGTTTCTTCAACTTACTATACCGGCAGCTAACTTGACCGCCAACATACAAATATCCTAATAAGCAGTTACATAAACATACTTCCAACTACGACGGTGGTAGGGTAGAAACAATTGTTGCAGAAGAATGCTTTTGCTTGTCATATACACACTTTCTTATCTTCTGTGACCACACTTTTTTCCCCATTAGGGTTTTCTCAGTGATGGCATCCTATTTACCGTTTAAAAAACCCTAAACAATCAGTACCGAAAGGAAGCGACCGCATGCTCACGGTGCGGGTCAGCTAAGTTTATCACATCAGTATTGGATCATAGCTTTCAACTATAAGAGTGCCCAATATTGCCGTAATGTCTAACATGCTAATCATTTTCTGAGGCTTTCAAGTGCAAAGCATGACATCTTGAGTAGCGTTATCGATTTGTTTTAGAAATACTTTGATCCTAATTTAATTGCATAACCTTGTAGTCTATGCTTTGCCATAGTGTTAAGGCTAATTTAAGAGCTCTCACCAGCAGCTGATACAGACTGAAAGAATTAGGAATAATGATACGGTATTTAAAACACTTCTTTGGTGGATTGAGCACGACGTAGATTTGACGTGTCGAACGTTGTGTGAGAAGCCTACCGAGTTTTCTGATTCCGCTGAGCTAAAAATTTTTTTGGTATTGTTGAGAGGCGCACACTTGGAACGGTTCTTTCTCTCTCTTTTCCGGACTCGAGACTTTCAGCATGAGCACTTTTGAAAAGGTACACACACACACACAAACCTTCTTCTTTTCAGCACCAACTACGGCCTTTCATATGCGTTTACGGCGGTTGTGTGTGCAAAGTTGAACCGGAAAAAAACGATTTCGACATTCGAACGTTTGACGTGATTTTTTCGATTCCATTTTGGGAGACCAGAAGAAGAAGAAAAAAATTTGCTTCCTTCACCATTTGCCACCCAACCAGACTAAACGCGATCGCCCTAGTACTATCTTCTTTCAATTTGTTTGGAGACGACATGGTTTACTCATTTGAAAATTTTTGTGTGTTTTAGGTGGTTGTCATTGACGGTAAGGGTCACCTCCTCGGTCGTCTCTCCTCTATTATTTCCAAGCAGGCTTTGAGCGGCCAAAAGGTCGTTGTTGTTCGTTGTGAAGAATTGAACGTCTCTGGCGAGTTCTTCCGTAACAAGCGTAAGTAGAAAGAATTCGGTTGTGTATGGGGAGAGAATATAGATAATAATATATCGGGATGATGAAGGGGAAGAGAGAAGACGCTAAGTTGTCATGGATTTTATTTTTAGTCAAGTACCACGCCTACCTCCACAAGCAGAACCGTGTCAACCCTCGCAAGGGTGGTCCCTTCCACTTCCGCGCCCCCTCGCGTATTTTGTACAAGGCCATCCGTGGTATGATTCCCCACAAGACTGCCCGTGGTGCTGCTGCCCTTGAGCGCATCAAGCTGTTCGAGGGTGTCCCCCCACCCTACGACAAGGTCAAGCGCATGGTCATCCCCGATGCCCTCCGTGTCCAGCGCTTGAAGCCTGGCCGCAAGTACACCTCGCTTGGCCGCATCTCGCAGGAATACGGCTGGAAGTACCAAGATGTCGTTGCTAAGCTCGAAGAGAAGCGCAAGGCCAAGTCTGCTGCTTACTACCAGCGCAAGACTGCTTTGGCTGCTGTTGAGAAGAAGGCCGTTGCTTCCAAGGCTGATGCCGTCAAGGATATCAACGCTTCGCTTGCTGCCCTTGGTCACTAATTCTTCCTTATTCTTATAAAATATAAAAAAGTCATTTGTAAATCCACTGCCAGAAAAAGAAAGTTTCTTTTGGTTTTCTTGGAAATTGGAAGGGAGCGAATTCAGGTTGAAGGGGGTAGGAGGATTTTTTACATTGGGAGAAAGGGAAAGGGTATAGTGAAGAAAAGTGAGTAAATAAGATTATTGGAGTAATTTAAGTAAGATGGGTATCAGAAGCAAGCAGATCAACCGTCCACTCGTCACGTTCATGCAGATCGCTTGTGTCCTTTTCTTCTTTGGGAGAAGGGAGTGCGGACGATATTGTAGTAGTGGAAGCAGCAGGAAACATTACTATGGGGGACGGCAAGTGGTGCGACGTCCGTGTTACCCGTGAAATACTGCAATATCCCGTCTCAATCGGTCGCGTCAACTGATTTCTAAACCCATCCAACAATGCATTAACGCCCACAGCGTGAGTGACAAACAATAAAATCATATGAGACGAACAAGCTGTGGTCTTCTTGTTGGTTTTCTGCGGTGGCAGCTGCTGTGCCGTGGCCAAACAGTGCATCCGTGCCTCATCGAAACGCCGCAGCATATCCCCATACCGTTCTGGAAAGTCAAATTCAGTCCGTAGGGGTCGGTATCCATAATCCACCCATGGTAACATTGGCACTACTGGCGTTGTTAGGGCTGTGGTGTTACCAAGGTAATCGCTATAATTGTTGTTCTTTGTCTTTGTTGCCATGGAAGCAAACGCTTGTGCCTGTTGCCTTGCCAACGCCTCCTGTTGTCGCGCAATTAACCGTGATGCAGGTGCCAGATCTTCATCAAAGAACCGTTCACACATCCATTCTCCTAATCCCAACTCGAGTCGTAGGATCGAGTTGGGCACATGACGTGCAATCCCCAGTGAAGTGTCAATGCATCGTTGGAATGGTGAACTGTAGATAACAACGCTCGTTGTTTCCAAGTCCACGCCCACCTCCTCTAACAGCTCGACGAGCCGTTGTCCGGTCTTTTCAGCTTGCTCGTGGCCCTAAAATGTATATGTACAACGTAGTGTGAGTATGTCGCTCTTGGGAGATAATTAACGTAGATACAAAAGAGGTTATATTTATCATACTTGCTAATATCATGTAACTTACAGCAGGCGACAATGGTGGGTCCCATAAGCCATGTGAAGGGTCTGGTCGCCACATCTTAATGGCATGGTCTATCAATCGATATGTTGTTGTTGTTATTAAAAAACAAGATGGCGCGGTTCCCATCATCACCAGGATCATCCAGCAACAGGGTTCCAGTCCCACGAACTTTTTCTATGCTGTCCTTAAACTCATACACAATGGCTCCTCGGACAGATCAACATACCGAGTCGCTCACCATGCCGTATAATAAACACATTGTTGATTTGAGGGGGTACCATGGAAATAGTTACCCACGCTGAATGGATGTGTGAAAAGAAAAACTTGTTTCGAGAAAAAAAAAATGTTGAGAGAGAGAGAAAAAGAGAAAGGGAGAGAAGAAAGAAAAAGAGGGAGAATGAGAATGAGAGACGCCACACATTCACTTTTACTCAGGTGACTGACATGTGAAAATCTAAGGACGAGCGACGATGACGAGCAGAAGAGAGAGTTTTACGTATTACAGCGGAATTGACATAACAAAGCCCTCAAAATTGCTTGGGAGTCTGTATAATAAAAAACTCCGTAAATGAATATAACGGTAAGGTATCTTATGCTGTCGTCTACGATATACCTTGTTGCTTAAAGACTGGGTTGTTACACCAAAGATGCAATGTGTCACGCTAATTGTTTTTCTCCAAATTTAAGGTTTTTGGCAGGACAAGTTCAAGAATACATATTTTTAATTATCGACACATGATGATGCAAGATGGTGTGAAAGAAGAAATTAAGTTGTTGTTATTCTTTTTTATTATTGATACTAATATAATCAAAGAACAAAGATATGCACAGCAAAAGGTAGATTGATTGATTTGATGAAATAATGGATGAGGAGTTGGGGTTGAAAGAAGAAGGAGAGGGCTATTTAGATGATGAAACGGACAAGAAGAGAAAGAAGAACGGGTGGGAGGGGGAGTGATAAGTGATAATGAAGAGGGGGATAGGGTTATTCATGATTGACAGACGAAAAGGCGATATACATACAGGTGCAAGAAAGAAAAGCCCGCAGTGGAAGTGGGTGGTAATAAGAGACATATACATAATGTAAAAGAAAAAGCGTACCAAGTGCCAATGATAAACTTACAAAAAAGAAAGAAGGAGAAAAGAGCATAAAGAAAAACAAATATAGACAAGGCCAGTAACATATAAGGTTTGATAAATGTGAGTGTACGAGAATGAACAGAAGAAAAGCAAAATGATGATTGATGATTGAACATTGAAAATGAAAAAGATGTTGTTGCTAAAGAAGCAGGGGGACAGATGATCCACACTGTGCTCCCCATTCGCTTGCTGTTGTGTCGAGTAGTTTGAGCAAAGTGTGTTGTGTGGGTATGTAAAGTTGTTGTTGTTGTTGTTGTTGTTGTTGTTGTAAAAGAAAGAAAGTGAAATGAATGTGCTTTGTACTGTTAGAGAGAAGGAGAAAGCAAGAGAGAGATGCTGCATCGTCATTGTAGCTGTTCGTTGTACTAGACAGTCAGTGCGAGCATTTTTGGCATAAGATCATCTGCTTCTGTTGGTGCTGCTGCTTCTTCTGCATCAAACGTCGACATCGTCGCCTCGTCCGGCGTGGCGGCGCGGGGTATCTTAGACTTGCTTCCCGTACGAGAAGAGGGGGGTGTTGTCAACCGCTGCTGTTGTTGCTGCCATGACGACGTGGTTGCGAAGGACGATCGGGATCGGTCGGACCGCGGTGTTGCCGGCGGCGATGGCGGCAGGACAACTTTGGCTTGTTGTTGCTGCTGCTGGTGCTGCTTCTGTTGCTGCTTCTGTTGCTGCTGTTGTTGGAATTGTTTGTGGTTGAAGCGTATCGAAAGTCCCAAAGACTCGCGTTCCAGATCCTGCTGCAATTCCAAGCGTTCAACCTCGGGTGTTCGAGTAAAGTGCTTGCATCGCTTGATACGCTCTTTGAGTTCGTCGAGACCAATACGACGGAGAGGATCAATGCAGAATATCCGCTTCAAGATCTGGTTGAGCTCACGGGAAATAGGCAGGATCTTGAGCAGGAAGTTGGGGTCGGCGAGGTAGGCGCAAAATGTGTCATCGCTCAACGATGCTTGGCGCCATGGGTTTCGACCAGCGGCCATGTTGATGAGAATCACGCCCAAAGACCACACATCGTTTGGAGCTGTAGCATAGCCAACGCGGCGAGCGGATTTCTTGTTATTACTGCGGTTGAGATCACCTTGGCATTCTAATTATTATTAATTATTAGGGGGGGTGGGGAAGGAAGGGAGAACATGAAAATAAATTAGTCTGGGAAAATAAAATGACTAGTGGAATGTAGTGTCATGATGATGTTATTATTATCATTACTGTTGGCTGTGGGTGACTTACCAGGCGAAAAGTAGAATGTGCTGCCGCACCCATAATCGCTTGTGATTGGCTCAGTGGTGGCTAAACCAAAGTCGGCCAGCTTGACCGTATGGCCGTTGTCAAAGACGAGGACGTTTTCGGGCTTCAGGTCGCGATGGTAAACACCGTTGTTATGACAGTAACTGACTGCATCAAGCAGCTGCAGGAACACGTGCCGAATGAGCTGATGGTTGTTAACGTAAAGGTCTCGCTCAGTGATGGCCGTAAACAAGTCGCCTTCTGGCCCATACTCGAGCACCACATGAGTCCACTCGGGCTCCCGAATGACGCGCTCGAGTCGGATAATGTGTGGATGGCCAGAGAGTCTGGCGTGCAGTCCGATTTCGGTGCGCTGGAACGCTCGCTGTCGGTCGTCAAGTTTCGATTGCCGAAGGGACTTGATGGCATACAGCCGTGGCCTGCCCTTGTCGAGCTGCTTGGCCAAGTATACCTGGCCATAGGCGCCTTCGCCGAGCACATTGACGATTTCGAGGTTGTTGATGCGAGTGCCGAGACGGAAAGTTGGGTGTTGGTGGATCATCTTTTGTTGCTGTTGTGTGGTTGTGTAAGTAACGTGGGGCCGATGTGTGTGGTGCTGGTGGTTGGTGCTAAGTGCGTTGGTATGCTATGACGATGGTGCTTTTTGGGTTGTTGTTTTTCGGATAGGATATGAAATAGGTAAAAAGAATTTACAGATGGAACATAAAGTAAGAGACAGAAGAAAGAAAGAAAAGACTGGCCAAGTGGGAAAAAATCAGCACAATTTATAATCGGTAGCAAAATAAGGGTCAATCCGACCGAACCTAGCACTTTTTTTTTGAAGGGCGTGATAAGTACTCTACTCTCAGGGGAGGGGGGAGAGGATCATTTACGAAAGATACCAGATTTGGTGAGGTTGAAGCATTGTTCAGCTTTTGACGCCAATAATAACTGCACTCCCTCCCTCCCTTTTGCTGCTGCCCATCCCCCTCCCCCCAGAAAAAAAGAGGCTCTCTCCTTTGCACGTACCCATTTTCTCCAACTCCCAAATAAAACTGCCCTCCTCCTCGCACCACACCCACCCCCCCCCACACACCCACCCACCCAAGTGGACCAACACCTCCACCAAAGCAGAGGATCTCCTGCGTTGATGTCCATAACTTAAATCTGTTTTACGCATGATGTCAAACTACATTTACGTGTGGTTGACCGCGGAACTACAGCAGAGATTAGTCTAGATTACCTCTCGTATCGTATATCTAGTAAAGAAAGCCACTTGGAAGAGGATTTGCATAAAGGAGAAAAAGACACTTCTTATGCGAAACATACAGGCACAGGTAATCTTATTAAGAGTCTGTACACAAAAGTGATGGTTGACACGAGCGATGTTGTTGTGCGTGTGCGTGTGCGTGTGCGTGTGCGTGTGCCTGTACGTGTGAGTGTGAGGAGGATGGGCGTCTGAACGTAAAAACAGATGCGCACATACTTGGCTGAGCATCAACCGCATGATGGTTGATCTGCCCTTGTGAAGAATTATTACTGAATCGACCATGCACCTGTCGCTCATCATCCCCGACAGCAACAACAACAGCAACCAAACTCAACAAGACTCATAGTTCGCTCAGGAATTTGCCTTGCAAATAGAATATGACCGAACGCGGTAGGCGAGACAGCAGCAGCTTTAGGCACGCACGCACGCACTACAAGCAACAGCAACATGATCTAGCTGCGTGAGCGGGGAAGAGAAGGAGTAGGAAAAGTATGTGTGCTTCTTGCTCTGTGGGGGTGCACAATTTACACAGGAGATAGCGAGAGAGAAAGAGAGAGAGAGGATGTGCTCTATCATGCAAACTGGCTATTTTTACGAGATGGTCTGTGTTTCTTGAAAAAGGTCAAAGAGCAAAGCACAAGTTCTATTGTAACAAAAATTCTATAACCAACGGGGAGGGTTCCTATTTGTCTTCTTGCAACAGCATGTATGAAAGTACCAGTGATACGAACTCACTCACTCACTCACTCACTCACTCACTCACTCATCACACACACTCATCGCACACACGACACAATGTGCTGCTGATCGTCCATCATTGTGTTACCCACACACATCGCATACCTGCTGTGTTGTGTTGTGCTGTTGGGCGCAACTTACTTTTATGCTGCAACAACAAATAACAACGACAGACGACAGCATGTCAAAGGGTACATATTAAAGAATCTGCAGTGTCACAATAGGTACCAGCTTTCATAGGATGATACTGTCGCTCTATCCCAATCCAAATAGAACAATACGCCGCCCTTTTCATTCATTCTATTTGTTCTTGTGCAAGGGTTCTACATAGCACACACACACACATACATAGCCTGAACCCGCTTGAATGACGGACGAGCAGCACATCCAAAATGAACCACTGTTTTATGCCGATCTTTTTTCTATCAAGCTACCACTGTACGTATCTGATGGAATAAGACCAAAAAATAGCATTCGGCATCTTACCTTATAATGTCACACGCGCCTCGTTTCCTTATTTGTACCATGTGCCGATCTTCCGGCATTTGCCTTTTTTGTTCGCATACACGACTCAACGGTCCGTTTACTAATAACGATCATCATCGCTTTTAATGTCGACGATAGTAACCAAGCAATCTCTTAATGCAACTTACTACAGCTTATTCTATTGTTTTAGCGATGGTCGCTATGTATATGCAACACGAATGTATTATATTTAGCTCAACCCTTCTTCTTGGGTGGTTTCTGCTGGATTTGCACTTTGTATTACTATATACGTGCATACTCTAGAAACGTGGATGGCAATCGATTCTATAACAGCAAAGAGAACAGAGTCTATCACACCACTTATTCAGAAATCGACGAGAAGGGGTGTGATTAGCTTGCTCCTCCTCCCTCCTCTCTCTTGGTCTCTAACCAACTATAACTGATCTGCTATGATTCCTTCTCTCATATTCTTAAAAAAAGCTTGTGATTCACATCCTCCGTTCCCTATTCTTTCGCTAACCCCTACCACTCCCTCTTTTGCCCATGGACTCTGCCTTGTCCCTAAAATAACAATTTAGCTTGATCTATGCTCGATCCCTCCCCGCCAATCCTTCGTTGCGACAGGTGGAAAAAAAAACCAAAAATCGATGCGCCCTAAAACACACTACGCGATTTCCCAAAACAAGGAAAAGAGTATCGATTTTTGACATCAAAGCGCCTCATCAATCCACCAATCATGTCATTTTGCTATGGATATCAAGATGACAGTTGCTGTTGCCGTTGTTGTCTCTATGGCGATTTTTCAATGATGTCGAAAACGATCAGCGTCTTACACCGCACACATACCTTATCATATCCACTCCTGTAATAGACTTGCATCCTTTTCCTGCGTAGCTCTTATTCTTAGGAAGAAGGGTTGCTGATGAGGCATTTTAGAAAAAGGGTACATAAGCAGAAATAAAAACAAGTGGGCTGTTGCGCCCACGCCTACATAGACACCACCACGCATATGTACACACACCACGATTAGCATCACAGAGAAGAACACGAGAGAGTGTGGAGTGGTTAGTTATCTCAGAATAGGCTTGCATATCGCTTGACCTGTAATGGGTAAATTGTACTCTGTCTCCCTCTCTCTCTTTCTTGCTCTTTCTCTCTTCCGATTACGACTGAGCCACTCCCCACTATGTACGATAAGAATAAGAGAAAGCAAGGAGAGGTAGGGGTGCAAAGTAAGAATAAGTATCACTAACGGACCCAAATGTGGGGATGAGGCGTCTATGTGCCGGGGCGTACAGCTGCTTCTGTCTCTCTGTATGGCATCCCATCGCGCGATTGTGATAGGTTCGACGGTCACTCAAGTCAAGTATCGATCTACGGACGTGCATCTTGGATAATACACACTTGCGCGCGCTCTTTAGAACCATCGTCCATCCTTCGTTCTTTTAAACAGCTCGTACATATTGAATCTTCTTCTCTTGCGTATGATAGAGAGAGCAAACTCCCTCAAATTGAAAGAAAAAATAACTCATTACCATTATTATGCCTCCTAAAAGAACACAGCAAACCAATTTTATTTTACTAAAAGAGGATCAATTAGAGAGGGTGTACACCGGTCACAGACCAACTGACTCCACAGCGCACGGAGGCCTCTTATATCCTTACTTTTACATTTTCAGAACTTTGTTTTACTAGATCTATTAAGGAAGCCGAGTACACTTATTTAGTAGTAATGCAACAGCCCATGCAGGCAGACATGATACTTTTAGAAGAAATTGCTCGAAATTAGGAATAATGCTTTGTGCTCTCCTTTGGCGCGGGTGGTTATTAACTAACTCATCTGTGACTGTCGCCTGTCGTCGTATACATTGCACTACATCTGGCAACATCGGCCGAGTACTGTATGTGTATCACAACAGGCAGAAAGAGGACATTAATATCAGGGCACTACTTAGCATCCGTATTGACGTCTACATGCTCAAGTATTATAACGCGCTTATTAGCAAAGTGTGCTTCCCTGAGACTATGCCATGGCGTGCCGTGGTGGTCAACGTTGTTTTATTTTTCCACAGACAAGGAGGAGGGAGCAGCAGTCGACAAACTCACGACGTTATGAAGGCGCGCTTTGGGTATGGTGCCAACCTGCATCAGCGGTACATGGTATCTTTTCACGTATGCACACAGAGAGTCTATAATAGCCCCCTGAGTATCGCACATTCCAGTCCCCCCAAAAAAGCAACCCCTGTGGACTTTGCTCTGCTTTATTCCTCCCCCTCCCTACCGATGGGCTCGCACGCCCCCTTAATGTCCGTTGTCTGTGTGCACGTTATAGAGAGTGAGAGCAAAAAAAAAAGGTTGTTTGCTCGTCCGAGCTCAGGGCCATGGGCAGTAGTGGGCGCCGCGGCAGGCAGACAGCCAAAAAGCAAGCAGGGAAAAGAGGAATCAAGTCTAGGAGTGGAACCCTTTATTATCAGAACAAAAGGGTGAGAAGAAAACTGGAGCCGCGGGCAACAAACATCAGTTGCTGACATATCATCTACTAAATTGGTAATAAGCAGATCGTATTATTACTTTTTCCTAGTGCTATTGACTAGAGGAAAAGCAGTAATACATTAAAAAGGGAAGATATAGAAAGAGCAAGGGAGAATTAAAGCTGTTGTCGACAACTAATCGTAAGACATATCAGAAGCAGCAGCAACAGCAACAGATTAGTCAAAAATCTTTGCTGCATATTATATCATTTTTACAACAGCATTACACACCAGTATGTACATTGACGCGACATACATACGTCAAGCACTCGAGAGAGAAAAGTGCCACGGGATTACTCACGCATAGTTTTTCTTTCTTCTGTTCTCATTGATATTGTATCAAAAAAGGCTATTAGAACGAGCTCGTTAATGCCGTGATTAATTAAAGCACAGCAGCAGCAGTACACACAGTGTCCTATAGTAATGATGCCACCTAAACCAGAAGGTGCAGTAAATCACATAGGAATTATCGGTATGCATAACAAGAAAAATAGGAAACGGGATGAAGACTTAATTGGACAATGCACAATAGGAGGAACTGGTCCGTTTTTCTTGCCGTTGCCGTTGCCGTTACTGCCATGCATTTATGGATAGTATGGGTTAGTGTAAGTAACAAGAATCGTCACACATGTGACCATCTTTAATCGCTATATGTATTAGTTTTCTCCTGGGCTACGATATTAACTAGCTTTAGAGATATGTTTATAACTACTACTATCATTCCAGGCCAAGTAGTAGCAGTTGTTTTATGTCATGTGGCCCCAAAGAAGCAGAAAGAAGGAGAAGTTTATTAAGAATATCGCGGGAGAATTCAACCAGTCAAGTTATCTTCCTTCTTTTCTGATTATACAAAGACACTGTCTTCTTCTTAGTAGTAGCAGCAGCCAAGCTTCTTTTCCTTTCCTTTGCTCTCCTCCGCCCGCTCCCTCCTTTTGCCCTTTGTCTCTTTTTTATTCACACATATGTTCCTCGAAAATTACTAGTAACTATTAGCGATAGATACACCTTTATATGGTTCAATAGTGTGCTTTATTTTTCATTCCACTCCTAAGACCCCTGTGCATATCGGAACTTGTCTCTCTTTTTTAGCGCGGTCTGATCCAGGAACGATTTGCCTACTATCGTAGGACGACCCTTACATTTTTTTTCTCGCAAATTAAGGCCCTTAACTACTTACAATTCAAGCAGCGACTTGGGGAAAAAGGGAAAGTATCATGTCCTTGTAATTACGCTCCCAACGGCCGCCGGACGTCGTCGTATATGGATTGTTATTATATCTTCTCGACGAAAAATTCAAGTACCAATAGCACAATGTTTAGATTTGATGATTACACGTTACTGTAATCGGCATTATTAGATTGAGCGGTCGATGAATTATGTACATATTTATCGAGGGTCGTACATCGTGGTAGCAAGTATACGTGGCATCTACTGCTGTCGGTCTCCTTTTTTTTTCTTACAGATATGCGCGGGCGGAATTGTATAATCGTTTTGTACCTATTTTCAGCATTACTCTTCCGGTTTCTTTCTCAAAATAAAAAAAAATACTTCTTGTTCGTTTGTCTTTTCTTGCACAAAGTAAAGGATGAAGCTTGATAGCTCAACTAACTTCTTCCAGCTACCGGGATACCTGATTCTATCATTATTATTTACGGCAACAGCTATCCATGCTACTGGCAATAGACACCAGGACCATTATCAGCATCATGAGCAAGAACAACAACACCACCAAGATGGTGAGGCAGGAACAACACATCAGCACCACCACCACGATTATCATGGCTCCTACACGTGGTACCTGAAAGATGTGCATCAAGGAAGCACGTTCTTTGATGGGTTCAAGTTTTTTAGCGAGCCAGATCCTACGCATGGATTCGTCCATTACGTCGACAAGGCCACGGCTGAGTCGAACAAGCTAATACAAGTTCAACATAGAGATGATAATGCGATCATCATAAAGGCGGATAACCATACTGTAATTGCCCCTGATGACGACATTGTTGGTCGGTCCTCTGTGCGCATTATTTCGAATGAAGCCTATGATTCTGGACTTTTCGTGTTTGATGTATACCACATGCCCATCGGCTGCGGTACCTGGCCAGCCCTTTGGCTTTTAGGTCCTGATTGGCCTCATGGCGGTGAGATTGATGTAATACATATATCCATTTTTTTTCTATCGCAAGAGAGTGGGCTCAGCCGGGAAAGGGGTACATAAGGGAGGGCGATCTTGGGGCTTATATGTAGTAGATTGATGTGTCACACAGAGAAGGCAGAATTTGTAATGAGAAGAGATGAAGTTGGAGAAAAGAGGGTGCCAATCAAGTAATGATATTACCACTACTAGTGTACAGGGAGAAAGAGAAGGAGATAATGCATATTGACATCATCAGTCATTATATCATTCACCCTGTGTGCATAGATAGTCGAAGGTGTGAACAGGCAAACCCGTAATTTAATGACCTTGCATACTTCCACGGGCTGCATGCAACGGCCTCATGCTATACAAAGGGGCAAGACCATCACCGACGACTGCGATGTAAATGCTGCCGATCAGGAACAAAACCAAGGCTGCTCTGTGCAGGATAGATCAAAGCGCTCATTTGGAACGGGATTTAACCAACATGGCGGTGGCGTGTTTGCTGTGCAATGGATGCCTATGACGGGGATCCAGATCTGGTTCTTCGAAAGAGACCACATCCCGCGCGATATCAAAGCTGGCAGTCATCCTGATCCAAGAACCTGGGGCACTCCTTCCGCCAATTTCCCGTTTGACCAGCACTTTTGCAGCGCAACGCGTTTTCGCAAACTCAACATTATCATCAACACGACCTTCTGTGGCGACTGGGCCGGTAATCCCAAGATCTACCATGCCTCCAGATGCCCTGGCGACTGTGTCGAATTTGTCAGGAACAATCCAGAGAAATTTGATGAAGCTTATTGGCGCATCAAAAATATCAAAGTGTACACGGCCCTTTTTTTCCATTAAAAGTACTCAGCAGTAATGACTAGTAGCATAGTACAAGCTGGTATCTGCATCCCCTACTTTTGTAGTTGCTATCGGTTTCTAGAGATTTCCAGGAAAGCCAACATTTTGACGTTATTGGCTGTACTGGATATCATGTTCCCACACACAGTAGTAACAGACAATACCATAGCTTATGGTACCGCCCACACACGTCATTTGAAACACATACTGCCTAATTAATTTTTACACGCGGATGAAAGCAGTAGTTCTCACGTCAACGTGATGGGTAGAGGACCCTGTCGGTTTGTCCCACATACGAGCCATATTCGCATTGTTTGTTACCCACTTTTAGGTGCTCCAGTGATGATGCTGATGATGCATTGAGTTTGACAGCATGAGATCACGTTGTTATTGTTCCTTTTTATTGCAGGCATCCACCCCTCCTCCTTCTTCTCTTTCTTCCGTCCTCATAAAACTTTCTTTCCCCCCCATTCAATGACCATCATCTTTTACCCTTATGATGGACTCGTGCGCACCGATTCATCAGCATCAAAAATATTGTACGTGCAGTATCAGTATCACTGATGGCGAGAATGCCTGCAGCAATAGTAAACGCACCAATGACAGATGCAATGACGTAAAATTACTACCGGCAAAAACACAACCTGTACCTGACATGTTCGGTGGTGGACATTTACTCGATGGGCACTTGCTTGGTCTGTCGCCTTCTTCATTTTTTTTTGTGGATACTCATGACGAGTCAAATGAATGCGATGGTTATTTTAACGAACCCAATTCTACTCTTGCCGACCCCCAAATTTTGTAGTGGGTCCAAAGGACAGGGTGCCATATCGGTGTCTCGACGCGTCGAAGAAAAGCAAAGATCCAGGTTTCTGACGACACATTTTTTTTTCTTTTTACCCCTTCCCCTTTCCCTCGTTCATCTCCATCCATCCATAATGTTCTTCCTTTTTTATTGCAGAAAACTAAACCTTGTACTGGCTGAAATCTACATTCTATATCAATAATAAATAGTGCCACCTATAACAGATGCGTCAAAAACACCAATACAACTATTACAACCACAAAACACGCTAGTACCAGTAAAAGAGCATGCAACACATCAAAATACATTTATTGACGGAGAAGACCACAATAGCAGCAAGATACACCAACCACAACAAGAAGAAGAAGAGGAAGACCAACATGAGCGACGTCCTACTACTACTACGACTTTGTTACAGCGTCGGCAATCCACGGTTATCGAGCTTTCCGACTTTCAGCTTCTGCGTACACTCGGCACCGGCTCTTTTGGACGCGTTCGTCTGTGCCGCTCTATACACAACAATCGATACTACGCTGTTAAAATCATGAACAAAGCCGAGCTCTTCTACCTGAAGCAAATGAGACACACCAACTCGGAACGCCAAACGTTGATGCAGATCGTCCATCCGTTCATAGTCAACTTATGGGGAACATTTCAGGACACGAATTATCTGTATATGGTGATGGACTTTATTCCCGGTGGCGAGTTATTCTCTATGTTGAAGAGTAAAAATGTACGTACATAACAATTACGTCATTGTGACATATTGAAAATGTCGACAGCAAAACGTGCGCGCTATTCTACTGCACTACTACTGACTACCTAACTTACTATATACTACGTAATATCTTATTTGTTAGTGCTTAAAGCCACACGAGGCTAAGTTTTATGCGGCGGAGACATTACTTACTCTCGGTTACCTACACAGCTGCAACATCGTTTATCGAGATCTGAAGCCGGAGAATATCTTGCTAGATCGAGAAGGGCACATCAAGTTGACGGATTTTGGATTTGCTAAACGCGTGCCTGATCGAACATATACAATATGTGGAACAGCCGACTACTTGGGTAAAAGCCAAAGTTTTACTTCTTTATGCTAGCCTCCCATATTGACATACTTTTATTATATCTCTGTTATCATAGCGCCCGAAGTGATCAGGTCGAATGGTTATAACAAGACGGCTGACTATTGGGCGTTTGGTATCTTTATCTTTGAGATGATGGCAGGGTAAAGCACTTATTCTTTTCCTTTCACAATCTGTCATTGATACCGAGATGCGGCATTTACGCTACTACAAACACTCATGATGATCGTGATCGTTTATGTATATCAGATACACACCATTTCAAGATGAGGATACTTTGAGAGGCTACGAAAAGATCTTGCGCTGCAATATCAAGTACCCCTTGCAATTTGACAAACAAGTGCGAGACCTGCTCATGCGCTTGCTGACGACCAACATCAGCAGCCGATTGGGAAGTCGGGCTCGCGGCTGTCTTGACATTATGGAACATCCATGGTTTGCAACTGTAGACTTTGAACTACTAGCGCACCGCAAGATACAGCCGCCCTATATACCCAAATTTAAGGAAGGTGGTAAGGAGGATGACACAAGCTGTTATGACGTTTATGATGAGAAGCCAATGATATCATCATCCATTACAACTACTGACGGAAGTGGCAGCAGTGGTAATAATGACGACCCGTTCCGCATCTACTTTAAGGATTTCTAGTGGCTGACTTTATTATTGCATAAACACATATGTTACCCCGGACCCCTTTTTTTCCTCAAACACATACTAAATCTTTCATGCACAAAAAAAGAAATAAACCATCTATTAATTCTAAACGCCACATTGTACACATTGTTCCGGATAAAGGAGATCCGCCTTTCTTTGAAAATGACGCGGTCGGGTGGCGTATAAGTCCTGTTTGTTTGTTAGAGTGCGGTGGTGTGCTCGGTGGTGCTTTCAGTCTGTTTTGTAATGAAGAGAAAATAAATTCCCCCATATCCCTTCTCTGGGCATTTTTTCTTTTTTACCCCCACTATCATCTTGTCTTTCTTTTAGTTCGGTCATTAACTCTACACTCAGCATCATACAAATGGATTCCCGTCAAGTAAAGACGCCAAAGTACATGTTGTATTGTGTCTTGGTGGCATGCATAGGCTCGTTTTGTAATGGCTGGACTATTGGATGTTCAAACTTACCCGGCCAAGTGACGCATGCTTGTGAAACTGGAAGTCGACATATTGCTAACCCTGAATTTCCTGATTGTATACCGATGAGTACTTCTTTATGGTATTTCACACACACGCACCCTCTCACTCTCTCTCTATCGTTTACGTTGTAAGGATGATCACTGATGATAACTTAACGTGACAATAGGGGCTTTGCTGTCGCGTCATTCTGCGTTGGTGGTCTTGTTGGAGGTGTCAGCGGTGGTGCGATACAAACAAGATTCGGACGTAAAAACACTATCATCTATAACACAGCCGGCTGGATCATTGGTGGCCTATTGATTGGCCTTTCAACAAACGTGGCCATGTTTATCATCGGTCGTATCCTCTGTGGCCTTTCATGTGGAGTTGGATCACTTACAACGCCCACTTACATTGGAGAAACATCTAGCATCCGATCTCGTGGTGCAATGGGAACTTTGAACCAGTTAGTTTATACACAGTTCTTGAACGATTGATTGATTTGAATCTTTTAAAACCTAATTAATACCACCAACGTAGATTTTTCATCGTCATTGGTATTCTCTTGTCTTCTGTGATCGGCCTTCCTACTTCGACCGTTCCTTACTGGCGTATCAACTATGCGATTGTCGCTATTCCTGCTGTTGTACAAGCATTTTTCATGACTACATGCGTTGAATCGCCTCGATGGCTCGTATCTGGCAATCGTTTTGACGAGGCGCGCCATGTGTTGCAACGATTACGAGGCACCGAAGCATCGATCCAAGGCGAATTCTTTGAAATTCTCGAAGGCCATATCGGTACTGTGCGCGCACAAAGGGTTATGCAATGCTCTGCAACAAAAGACCTATCAACCATAGAAACAGATACTGAAGGTCAGAAAAGCCAGCAGTCATCCCAGCCAACAGCAGCAGCAGGAGATGAAAAATCAGCAGTGGTTCAAGACGTCCCGCTTAATCCTAAAGAAGACGAAGTTCAATGCGTGCCACCTATAACAACGGCACTGACACAACATAACGATGGTGTGATTGTTGGCGTCGAAGACAATAAATCAGAAAACGCAACGATTGTTATGGCAGACCATCCACAAGACGAAGGCCTGCACAAGCCCATGAACTTTATCGAGATATTCAAGGACCCGTTGATCCGTCGTATAGCTTTGGTCGTATTGACACATCACGCAATCCAACAATTGTCCGGCATGAATGCAGTCATGTATTATTCAACCACCATCTTCAAGTCGGCGTTCGACGACGAAATGTCCAAGTATATGGCAATAGCCACTACAGCAGTCAACTTTGTCGTGACTATGGCGGCTGTGGCATTTATGGATCGCATGGGCAGACGACCGTTGCTGATGCTTGCAGAAGCTGGCGCGTGTATCTTCTCCGTATTGCTCGTGATTGGCTATGCATTCAACGTGCCCGCGCTTTTGGTACTTTCGGTATTTATGTATGTCGCTTCATTTGCTATCGGTATTGGTCCAATTCCTTGGGTAAGTCTTTTCGAATGCACGTGTAAGCAGTAGGGTGAGAGTTTTCATCAAAAAACGTCATTAACAATAATCCTTTTTTGCTTTAGATGATCACATCCGAGCTGACTCCTACATATGCCAACTCATCCGTGGGCGCATTGGCCACAGGCGTCAACTGGGCCATGAACTTTTTGATTGGCCAAATATTTCCTGTCATTTTTGAAGCAATCAGTGGCTATTCATTTGCTATCTTTGCAGTTATTTGCTTCTTGGCGTTTTGGTTCACATTCTTCATGCTCCCGGAGACCAAAAATCGCTCTATTGAGAATATAGTGCGCGGTTTTGAACGAGGTCATCGCCGTGCTATGGGTCATACCGAGGAACCTGTTGTCGAAGGTGATGACACTGTCGTTGTTACCCAAAAGTAGCAGTAGTAGTAGCACTTATCCCTCTCTTCCCTTACGCTTTCTCTCTGTTTCTCTCCATTGCTTCTTCTCCCTTGACACACTCTCATATAATACCTTATAATTTGTACAGTTGTCCCTCACTCTTTTTGTACAGATATAATCTTTTTTTTTTTTTTGCAAAGGAACAGATTGTATTAAAATATGTTACACTCGTTGTCAATTAGCGGATCCTACCCTTCCTGGAAAAGCATCTAGTACCGGAAGTTTTTTTTATACTGCAAACAATAAATCTTGTTTTTTAGCTGTTGTTACAGTTGCATAATAAATCAACAATGACGTGTGTGATGTACTTTCTCATAGTCCATGACTGTTGATAAGTGGACAAGCACATGATATGCATGGATCCCGTCACGATCATTTCCCACCTGTTAATGTATGCAGCTGCACTGCTTACTACTGCTATTTCAATTTAACATGATGTAAATAAAAATAACAAATACTTGTTCTTCTATCTTTGCTAAACCTCTTTCTCTTCTACTTCTTCCGATTAACACGAACCATGGTCAAAGGATCAACACTATCGGTGATCGCAGCTGCTTGGCTAACTGTTGTCAATGCATTCCCGACGTCCTACGATCATACCAGCAACCACATTAATAACGACAGTGAACTCCTCGCGCCACTTTACGTACCATCGGATGCCGAAGCCATTTCCGACTCGTACATTGTCATTCTCAAAGACCACGTGGACTCGACCCAGGCCCTGGGCTACCACTGTCAATGGGTCAGCAACTCGCTTGTCAAGCGTGACCGAACGATGAGCGACTACTATCTGGACTCCAACGTGGCCTTGGGTATCAAGCATACATACGACTCCCCCGGCTGGCGAGGATATAGTGGAAAATTCAGTCTTGAAATGTTGGAGTATATCCGTAGCTCACCGGATGTAGCCTATGTGGAGCGTGATACCATGGTGTATGCATCTGAGCTCCAGCGCAATGCACCCTGGGGTCTTGCACGAATTTCCCACCGTGATGAGCTCAACTTGCGCTCTTTTAACAAGTATCCTTATGAGGCCAATGGCGGCCAAGATATCAAAGTGTTTGTCATCGATACCGGCATCAATGTGCTCCACAATGACTTTAATGGTCGTGCCAAGTGGGGTGTCACCATTCCGGATGGCGACGACGACGAGGACGGCAATGGCCATGGATCGCATTGTGCAGGCACTATTGCAGGCAAGCGGTTCGGTGTAGCTAAAAAGGCGATGCCTGTTGCCGTCAAGGTGCTCAGATCCAATGGCTCGGGAAGCATGTCCGGCGTACTGGCTGGTGTCAACTGGGCTACCGAGCAACATCAGATCGATGCAAGCGAAGCTAAAGCTGCTGGAAAGGCGTACAAGGGAGCTGTTGCAAACATGAGTTTGGGTGGTGGCAAGTCAAATGCATTGAACAAGGCTGTGAATGAGGTAAAACTATGCAGTACCCCTTAAATTAGTATCTCCCTTGTTAAGTATGATCTCTAACAAAAAGTGGATCTTCGTAGGCGGTCAATGCGGGCATCATCTTTTCTGTGGCTGCAGTGAGTTATAATTTCTTTATCCACTCTCCTTTTTTCTCACTGGCTCCGGTACAAATAATCATCCATCTGATATAAACACAGGGCAACGATAACAGGGACGCTTGCAACTATTCACCTGCAGGTGCCGAGAATGCCATCACCGTCGGTGCATCCAATATCCGTGATGAACGTGCATCTTTCTCGAACTTTGGTCCGTGTGTCGACGTGTTTGCACCTGGTAAGCAAGTGATAAATGTATTTACAACAAACAGTCACGCACGTATCCTTGCCACCTAATGATACCGATCTACATTAATATGCATATTTAAGGTGAAAATATTCTGAGCATCTGGCGTGGCAGTAAGGATGCAACCAATTCCATCAGTGGCACCAGCATGGCAGCACCGCATGTAGCTGGTCTCGCAGCTTACTTTGCCAGTTTGGAAGAAGCGCCGGTTTCTCCCAAAAAAATCAAGGAAAAGATTCTCGAACTGGCTTCCAAAGACAAGCTGTCCAATATTCCAAAGGAAACTCCAAACCTTCTCATTTTCAATGATCCACCCAAATCGCTCTTTTAAACTTCCTGTTTTATTGTTTACGCAATAGCGACTTGTCAAAGACGTCGTTTCTCGGGAATAAATTTGCCGATGATATCGTTTTTTAACTCAACTCGTGATGTTACTTTTTTTCATTGACTATGCTGTTTATAACATCAATGGAGTCATCCATCAGATAAGAAGCAGGTAGCTGCTCGTAGTCTGTAATGGAAACCATCATGTGCTTAATTATTATCCTGGATGTCCGTTCGGATAAAAAGAGTCTGTGATTGGCCAGCATTGACAAAATCTTTCATTTGCCAAGTTTTGTCCTTTACTGCGGGGACGTACGGTCATTTTGTGGCATCTATTGCATATCAGATCCGCAGCTGCGATTTTTCCCCAGTCGATATCATTGTGCTTTCTTCTTGTTCTCCTTCTCTTGCCTTCACATGTTTCTGTTTCTCTTACAAACTATAAATTAATGAGCAAACGAGTACCGTGTAATGGTAATTAGCGTCATAATATAAAGTATTCAGGTGGAGAGGGATTTGTTTTGTTTTTGTGTGTTGAACATGGTAATTTAAGACATACTTTTCGATCTAATTTAGAATGTCGAGAACATAAGCGTGGATGTTCGGGCGAGATGCCCTGCCAACGGTAATGGAAGTTTGGGTATAGATTTATTCACGCAAACTATAAATGCATATGGTTCTACTAACACCTGTGAGCAATTTTTAATAATAGATGCCAACGATTCAACTTGGAATGCGTGTATACAGTCAATAAATCGCCCAAAGATGAAGAATATATCCAAGAGCTTGAGCTACGACAACAAATGGAAACTTTACGAGATCATATGGCGACCATGGAAAAAGAACTAGACTTTTTACGGGTCATGCAGCCTACATTAGTAACGACTCACCAGACCTCGCCTTTCAGCAAAAGTTCTACGTTTACTTCGACGTCAGATACCACCAGCACAGCTAGTCATGGTTCTGTGTTTTCGCCACAACACTATACTGAGCAAGATTCACCATCCACCACAGCAAGCGACCTTTCAGACGAGCAGCAGTCATCGACAGACAATGGAAAACAACTTATCGCACGTAACAAAAAGGGATATTCGGTTACTGTGGAATCCACGACGGCAGCAACGGGGAAAGCAGTCGAACCTTTAGATTGGACCTTGACAGTCAACAACGGAAAATTCTCGATCCAGACGAATATACACAACCACAACGAACTCTTCAGCAGTTTACAAAAAATCGTTAGCACACTCGAATTCCAGGACAAGGTCCCTGCTTTGTTTGAGAATAGCACAGAGCCCAGTCCAATTGGAAAGGCACTGCGGTTTTTCATGTGGAGACGGTACGGCAAGTCGCGATACAAGAGCATGGCACGATCACAACGCTTGTTGTTGTTGGCAGCAAATACACGATCGAGTGGTACGACGGTAGATGGATCCACAGTAGCACTACAGTTGCTGAACGCTTACTTTAGCTGCCAGCATTTACTCAGTATCCAAGTCCATCGTTTGACATTTTTAAACCTCTACGTATACGACGGCCGAGTCGAATTCTCCCCTGCTGCAATGGCACTCTGTGCTGTGATCTGTATGCATCCATGCCGACATGTACAAATGGTCATACCGGGCGAGCAACTGACGGATTATGGACGATATTATGCTGAACGGGCGCAGGACGCTTTTGACGATCGATTCGACGAAATCAGCCTCGAGATATTTGTCACATACGCATTTCTGTCAGTCTATAAGATGCGGATGGCACAGGTCGAGGATGGAGTTCGCTATGCAGACATTGCAGAACGTATGGCACATGTTTTGCAAAAGGATTACAAGTTGCCCGAAAGCATGGATGAACTTGCACACTGCGACCCAGAAATTGTGGGCAAAGCCTCGCTTCTTCATCGAGCGATCCAAGCAATGGTGCGTGCACGTATGCTGGGACTTATTGTTCTCCATAACGAGGCCGAAGAACAACCGGGATCGGAGAAAAAGGAACGACAAAAGATGGATTATGCAAGGCTACACGCAAAAGTTCACGGCGAAAATGCCAAGATCCGACCTGTGGTGGGCGATTCGGAAGATGAAGTGCAGTATATTCGAGCGTTCCTGTACATGCAAAGCTTGCGTCTCGAAGCACACAAGATCGTCCAGAGCTTCGAGTCAAACGATTTACTCAGCTTTGTCGGAATGTTTGGTCACCAGTTGGAAATGGTTATGCGATATTGGTATAAGGAAGTGCTGCCACCAGATTATCGCTTGTCGACACAGCTTTTTGACACGCACATGACGGAGGAACGGTTTTTTGAAATACTCGACAACGACTGTACTGGGAATGCAGTACCTTTAATAACGACGATGCGGGTCTATGGTGAATACCTGATAATGGCCAAATCATACCTACCGCCCACCC